ATATTAAAACAAAGTATAAAAAAATATTGTAGTGGCATAGAGTAGAATAGAACACAATATCGTATAGCATACCTTTGTATCAAAAATATAATAAAATCGAAATAACAAAGCATATATGTATATATTATATATTTACTGCTATTTGATGTAGAATTCATAATACACAATACATATTTCTTGTTTGTTTGGCGCCGGGCAAGCTTCTTCAACGCGTATGAACCCCTTCCAAACCCATGATGCGAGCATTGTGTTTGCAAATGGGGGGGGTCTGCGCCCCCCCTTCAAACCCCCCGCTGTTGTTTAAAGCCGGGCAAGCAGCGTATGAATATCTTTTCCAAACCAATGATGCGAGCATTGGGGGGGGGGGCTGCCCCCCCCAACCCCCCCCCCGGCGCTGTTTTCTTAGTCCGGGCAAGCTTGCTTCAAAGCACATGAATCCTTCCAATCCCATGATGCGAGCACTTTTTGCAAAAAAACATGAAGGCACAATAAGATGCAATGGTATACAAGAATGTATTACAAAAAGATGCAATAATATACAATAATGCACAAAAATACAACAATATACAAATATGTACAAGAATATGCAGCAATATACACGTAAAAAAAGAGTAACTTACAATAATTTTCAGTAGTTGACAAGAATACTCAATAATAGACAACAATATACAATACTATACAAAAGTATACAAAAATATACAATATCATACAATTTTTCAAAAAGATACAAAAAATGTACAGCTATATAGAAAACACAAAAACACAATGACATACAACAATATATAATAGTGTACGAAAACTACAATAATATACACTAGTAGACAATAATATACAAGAATATACAAGAATATACAAGAATATACAATAATATACTATAATATAGAATAATCTGCAATAATATACAAAGAAAATTCAAGAATATACAAGAATTTTGAAAATAGCATTCAATAACATGCAATAATATGGAATATTCCACAAAAACACAAGAAAATACAAGACAATACAGAAATACTCAACAATATATACAACAATGTACAATAATATGCAAGAATATTCAATGTCATACAATATTATACAAGACTTTCCACAATACTATGCCAGACTATACATGCTTCAGAGTAGATGCATTTTTTTGAAACTTCTAATGCCAAGATGCCAGCATTGATTTGCAGCCTCTGCAAACTCAGAAATGCTGCTATTTACAGTATGTCCAGCCTCTGAAATCGCAGAAATGCTGCTATTTTCAGTATTTGCAGCCTCTGGAAACTCAGAAATGCAGCAGTGTACAGTATTTCCAGCCTCTGAAAGCGCAGAACTGCTGCTATATACAATATCTGCAGCCTCTCTAGAAACTCAGAAATGCTGCTATTTTCAGTAGTTCCCGCATAAATGCTGTTTTTTTGCGGTATTTAGAGCTTGCTAACAGCCAGAAATGCTGCATTTCTGAGCGTTTACAGCCTCCGCTCCGCGTGCAAGAAGCCTTCGAAGCCTTCAGTAAATTATGTCTTGATCCCAAATAAGTTTTTGTTTGATCCGCCTAGAAATAAATTATTTCTTGATCCCAAATATTTTTTTTTTTTGATCCCCTACCCTTTTCTATATCCCCCTTGGGATTTATTTGAACTTTTTTGTTTAAATAAAAAACCCAAGAGGATATGAAAAATATCGTTTTTTCATGAAGGTTCTAAGGGGACTATAGTAGTTTGGGGTCCCTGTTACGATACGGCCCCGAAATATTCAGGTATGCCCCAAGAGGGATCGTAACGAAGAGAATGGTGATCCTTCAACATTTGGGTCAAGTTTCTTGCTTCTCCTGGTTCTCTGAATCCCAATCCTCCATGCCAGCCTATGCTTGTTGCGAAGCGCGTCCATTGGTAGAACAGGTGTTCGGGTTATTTGTTGCGACTCGCAAGATCTCTAGGATACCCAAAGGGCTTAGGATCCATAGCTGTTTAGGACCGACTTCTTAAAATCTTTGACCCAGTATGAAGCCCCCAAACCCCGCGGGGGGTGGGAGATGCTCCGCCCCCACCACCTCCCTCCACCCAACACAAGTTAACTGCAACATACGGCAGCGCATCAGCAAAAAAACCCAACACCACAAACTCCAAGCAGATCCTTGACAAAAAAACACCCTCACTGAGGATGGCCCGTGCTAAGCTCTCTGTGGACGCTGGCGACAGGGAGGCATGGATGGATCCATATGCCTGGACCCCCCCCCCCCCCCGACATTGTGGTATACTTTATGGGTACCTTTACACTTGGCTCCAGGGGAAGGCTTTGCCAGAAGGAAAACAGGTGGGCACAAAAAAACGATTTGGGCAAGGAAGGGCGTGCACCACTTGGCTCACTGAAGGGTAGGGTTTAGGGTTAGGGCACTTAGGGCACTTAGGGCACTTAGGGCACTTAGGGCACTTAGGGCACTTAGGGCACTTAGGGTTTAGGGTTTAGGGTTTATAAGTTTAGGGTTTAGGGCTTAGGGTTTAGGGTTTAGGGACTGTTCGTGAAGATTATATGCAGCTGGTTGGCCTCGTTGCTCGCCGTAATCCTGATTCGCCACCCTGAAATGGTCAACGACGCCGACAACTTGCACATCAAGTGCCACAGGGTTTAGGGTTTAGGGTTTAGGGTACGCCAAGGTTGTCACGAGGACATAAATGCCATCAGGCAAGTGCACGGCCAGACTACGCGAAGGCTTGTGCTGGATGCGGTCGGAGAATCAGACTCACATCGTCAATGGCGTCGTAAGTTTCCATACAAGACACACGGCCCGACCCGGGAGGCTCTGCACGCATACCTGTAGACAAAAGGGTCGAGGCTAAAGGCTCTTGCATTTGGGCGGGTTGCGGGGGGTTGATGGGAGAGGGTAGGACGTTTAGGTCTTTGGTGAGCATCTAAGGGAACTCCTTGTCAAGGCTCCTATCCCCAGGGCCCTGTGAAATCTGCAGGGCTTGGAAGTGGCGGCTTAAGGCCGGAAAGGGCGGCGCGCCAGACCTTGACGGGCTCCAGCTATGTATCAAAGTGACTTGAAGTACACACCTATAAGGTTTTCGAAGCCTCCTGGGGGCCCCCCCAGCAAAGCCCCCTTAACAACCCCCCCCCCCCCCCCCAAGCAGCCTGGTCTGCAGGCCTTGTTAGCGGAAGCAGCTCGCCGAGCCAGCGCCTTCCAAGAAGAGTTGGATGCTCAAAGGCGAGGGCTGTGCAACTGTGCTGCTTATGGCGTTAAAATGGGGGGGTACGTAGGCAAAAGCATTGCAGGTCAACAGCTTAATACATTCCTGTTGATGCTCAATGAGGTTTGAAAGTTTGGTCCGTGGTTGGGCTGCTGTCCTCTGGGCCTGTGTTGTTGCTCATGAGGTTTTGGGATGCTCGAAGGCTGAGGCATCCCAAATCGTCCCGAAGCTTGAAGATTTTGGCTTCGAGATGGGGGAAGATGGAGTATGGCGGGCTTGTGTCGGCAATTTTTTTGGATTCAGGATTCTGGTCATCAAGGCAAGAACAATCTTAAACCCTCATGCTCTCAACCCAAGGCGTTGAACTCCCCTAAGAAAGGGTGCGTGTCTAGAAGAGATCATGTGAAGGTAGCACAGCGCCTCAACTGAGAAGCCATCAGCTGTTGTCCGGAGGCTGCGCTTGAAGGCCCGCCGCCGCAATCAGTCCGACGGAGCGCCGCTAAGCCGAAGAAAGGGCCCTCTTATCAAGCTTCAAACCCTGCAGATCCAAAAATGAACCCAAAGATTGAGGGGCCATATTCTACCCTACACTACCATAATTCTTATTGAGGTTCAGGCACTATGAAGCAGACACCCTGTTGGGGGTTCATTTTGCCCCCAAAGTATAGAATGGACAGTGGAAACAGCGGACCTTCTGCACCTCTTGGATCATCTTAAGCGAAGATGAGGTCGCTGCTAGCCACCGGGGCGCTGCTTGAGGAGCGCGACAGCTTGTCAGAGCTCAAGGACAAGGCGGGGCTGTTCGGCAGTATTCAGCCCATCCGACTGAACTTGGTGTAGTAGTCATCTTAAGAGTGCGTGAATCCGCTGAAACCAGGGGGTGCCCTGCTAAGTCGCAAGTTTTTTCAGCTGGAAGCGGAGTCTGGTAATTCATTAATCATCAGGAGGATTTGGGGCTGTCGCTCTAGGCTTGTTCGGAACCTTCGAGATCCTTAAACCCTCCCAAACTACAATCGGAACCTTCAGGATCCTCAAACGCTACAAACTCTATAAACCCTAGACCAAGCTTAGCCCTGGAACCCTCAAAGCGCGCAGGTCGCCGCAGAGTTCGCCGCCCTGCCGGGGCTACGGGAGGATGGCGCCGGCGACGAAGCCTGGGATTTGGCGCCTTGGGAGAACACGGGGGGGTTCTCGCGATTCTCACTTCCAGGGCTCCAGGGCTCAGAGTCTCAGAGGTTGTTCGATTGCAAAACATGGGGGGTTGCGCATCTTGCGCAGAGGAGTGGCTCTGTTCAAAGCTTGGTCCTGGGGTCAAGCTTTCTTGTGCAGTTGGGGGGTGGCTTGCTCACATTCCGCTTGTGCTATGACACTGTGAGATGCAAGTTCCTCTTCTTCGACCACCTGTAGTTCCCGACATAGGCAGGACACTCCGAAGAATGTGCTGAGCCCCTGGGCCAGGCGTGTGATGCTTTGGAGGATGCCTGGAAGCAGCTCTCCGCAGATGTGCAGTCTGCCGCGCAGGCAGGGGCGGCCTTCGAAAGGGCAGTTGCCACAGTACTTCCTCGCTCTTCACTTTGGGGGTTTGCGAAAAGTTGGGGACCCCTAATACAGACTCCCAAATAGTATATGATCCCCTTATACTACCCCAATGCCCTAGTTAATATCGTAAACCCTCATATGGCCCACTTAAGTAAGGCATGAGAACAAGAGTTTTTTTGGGTCCAACGCGCTCGAAGTCTCCGCGTTCCGGGTACCCACGAGGACACTCAGGAAGAGTTGGCCGAGACGGTGGTCGGAAGCAAGGTCGCCAAGGCACGATGCCTAGAGGCTTCACGGTTCCCCACTCATCGGTAAAAGGATTGTGCTGGCTTGATAATGTCTGTGGGGGTCTACAAAGAGCAAACACGGCCATGGCTGCGCCAGACACACCCCCAAAATCCACCTAGTGAAGCCTTCCGTCGGACCCTGCCCGGGCCCCCTCGGTTGTGGCTCTCTTTTTGCGGGCTACTCCGTGGTTTCAAAGTATAGTCTTTAGCTTAAATCATACAATCAAAGGAACCCCATAAAACCACGGTTAGACATCGAGGTGTTTACACTGTGACAGACACCGGGTGCTAGTGTAGATTCCCATGAGAATTGGGGAGATGTGTCTGGGGGGCAGCCCTGCGCCTAGTCCCTTGAAGACGCGGATGCCGAACGCCGGGCTGCGCTGGCGGAGGCTTCGTTTCGAGGGCTCAGGGAAGTTCGGGCCACCCTGGGTCTGCCGGAAGTGGTAGCAAGGGATAGCAAGGGCAAAAACCGCCATAGCAGGGTGTGTCTCCGGAAACATACACTCTGGAAACCGTATCATCCCTATACTTAGCGTACTACAGACATGTGAAGGCCTGCTTTTGATGATTTCAGGAAGTGCTTGCACCTTACTTTGGCTTGGAGCTCATCTGGAGGCGGCGCGCCGGGCTGCAGCCTTCGACGAGGCGAGGGCATGGCGTTGACGGTTCCATGATTACCATGAACTATTGGTCATTACGATTTTTTGGGACACTATTGCTGTCATTGCTGTTGCTGCTCTTTGGTTTTAACGGCATTGCTACAATTCTACTGTTCGACCCAACTACAGATACTTTGTGGCTTGTAGGCGTTTCAGTCTCTAAAGACAAAAGGGTAGGCGTTTCAGTCTCTAAAGACAAAAGGGCCCCGACCAAGAATGCAATGTGTGGGCAAAAACCGGAAAATACGGAAACACCCGAATATGGCCGAATGCGGAAGCTATGTGCTGTCGGCGTTTGAGCAGGGGTGCTGCTCCTTTCCTTTGAACGTCGCAAATGGCCGCCTTTGCCCCTAGACGAAAGTTCCTGACACAGCGCTGAATCTCCTCGAGACCCTAATATGCCAAAGCATAGACGTCATGGCGAATTGCATCAATCACTCAGATCTCTGCAGTTAAGGATGCATGTGGCTCACTCGCCCAAGTAGAGGCAGTTTTGGTGTGCGTTGCTGAGCGGGCAAGCTCCAGGCAATTCAGCCAAAGAAGGCGATAACTGTGGAGAGAGGCATGTGAAAAGCGCTTAAAGCCTTTGGCCGATCCACTACGGGCTTCCTCGTTCGCATAACAAGCAAGTTCTGCATAGCACTTCTAGCTTAACTAGCTACGTATCCAAACATGCATACATACAGATCATACACACACACACACACACACATATATATATATATGGTACCCCCCCCCCCCCCCCAGTGACCTACCCTTTTTCGCCTTGTCTCAAGTCACAGCTGCACTGCAAGCAAACTCGGTGTGCAATATAGCGTATTTCCTAGGGCGTAGACTAAAATACAGCTAAAATCGCATACACGGGACAGTAGAAAAACCAAAAATACCAAAACCAAAAAAACCAAAAAACCAAAACCAAAAAAACCAAAAAAACCAAAACCAAAAAAACCAAAAAAACCAAAAAAACCAAAACCAAAAAAACCAAAAATACCAAAAAAAACCAATTTTCCGGGACTCTCAGGAAATTCCTATGAGGCTTCTCCAAGAGCCCCAGAAAATTGGTTTTTTTGGTATTTTTGTTTTTTTTGGTTTTGGTTTTTTTGGTTTTTTTGGTTTTGGTATTTTTGGTTTTTTTGTTTTGGTATTTTGGCTTTTTGGTTCGCCTTCACGGTCACGAGGCAACAACTACGCATTTTTAAGTGTGCTTATGCTAATTGTGCTTTTCAAAAATAGTATACAAGTGGTCTTTCTAGTGCTTCAGAACTTTTTGTTTCGTTATTATGTAAGTAGAGCCGCTAGTGTTTAGTGCATCTTTTGGTTGCACTCAAGTGTAGTAGACCTTATTCAGCCATTACTTGGTGCTCTGGTAGCTAAATTCGCATGGATAATATTTGCCTGGTAAATGCGATTAAAATTATCTAGAAGCAGCATTTGCAATACTTGTCTTGAGAAAAAGCATTTATTGCTTAGAATTGTTTGCTTAAAAAGTGACTCCTACTCGTCCAGGGATACCCCAAAACCCTATAATCCAAACTTCACCAGAGATTCTCCTGAAAAGCTTGCGCTTTTGGATGTTTTTACGTATTTGTGAATTTGCTTGTGGTATGGCCTTCACTTTAGAAGTACTTGTCTAGGATTCTTGTGCATTTTTTAAGCCTGATTGTGCAAGTTGCGTTTTTCAAGCATAGTATATATGTGGTCTTTATTGAATACTTCAGACATCTTTGTTTCATCGTTATGTAAGTAGAACCGATTTCCATTATTGTGCATTTTTAAGCTTGCTTATGCAAATTGTGCTTTTCAGACATAGTATACAAGTGGTCTTTAGTGAATACTTCAGCAATCTTTGTCTCATTGTTATGTAGGTAGAACCGTTTCCATTTCCGCAAGTGTTTATTTCGTATTTGGTTGAGTATGGTCCTTTAAATAGTATTCACTTGAGTCAAATTGGGCTATTTGCTTAAGAATTCCTCTAGTAGTTAAATTCGCATAGAATGAATACTTCAAAAAAATTGTTTCATGAATATGTAAACATAAGGTGTTTCATTTGACTTTGCAGATAGTATTTCAATAATACTTTGCCTGGTATAAACACAACTGTTTCAATGCATTAGTTGCTCAACAAAGCACTATTTGCCCTTTAAACCACACTTTGCCATATGTTGGTTGTATATGGTGCTTATTTCGTATTTTGGTTGAGTATGGTCCTTTAAATGGTATTCACTTGAGTCAAATTGGGCTATTTGCTTAATAATTACTCTAGTAGCTAAATTCGCATAAAATGATTATTTCAAAAATAGAAACGATTCATGAATATGTAAACATAAGGTATTTCAGTGGACTTTTCAGAGAGCATACTTTGCCTAGTACAAGCACAATTGTATAAATACAGTATTTGCACTTTAAACCCACACTTTGCCATATTTTGGTTGAGAATGGTGTCTATTTCGTATCTTGGTTGAGTATGCTCCCTTAAATGGTATTCACTCGAGTCAAATTGGGCTCTTTGCTTAATAATTACTCTAGTAGCTAAATTCGCATAGAACCAAGAAAAATGTTTCACTATTTGATTAATACTTTGCCTCGTACAAACACAATTGTATAAATAAATTAGTTGCTCAACAAAACATTAATTGCCCTTTAAAAACGCACAATTTGCATAGAAAAACACTGATCTAAACATCTAAAAACAGCATTGTCCGCTTCAGATTCAAAATGTAGATTCTTCCAAATGCTGGCTTATCGGGGTCTGTGAGGTGGGTGTCCCAGTAACTGTCCTTCATTACCCGGTGATTAACTACGCGACTTTTGGGCCTTGTTTGTTATTTTTTGTTAAAAAGGCCTAAAAAGGGTAGGTCGCTGGGGGGGGGGGGTAGCATATATATATATATATACATACATATATATATACATAAGTATGTACGTATGTATGTATGGATATATGTATGTGCATGATCGCATATACATACACAGTTATATTTATATCTTGAATTGTCAACGAATATTCACGTCTTCCTCACACATGTAGTTCTGTACATATCTATTTGTCGAGACATGTATGTACTTACTTGTGTCTAGGCACTTCTCTCGCCAGGAGCTCCAGAAGCAGCGGCAGAAGCTACAGAAAAGGGCCAAGGTGGAGCCACGAAGTTACCGCTGCAATTCGGGTCTCGCTGTGCGGAGGATGATAGGATGTCACGGCATTCTGTATCAAACAGCAGCCGTCCAGACCAAACTCTAGTTCCCCCACCCTCCAGGCCAAGGGCAGCTCGGCACCTGCTCTGGAGCTGGGAAGGCTTCTGGAGGACTTGGGCTGTAGGGTTTATGGGGACATTCGGGTTTAGAGTCTAGGGCTTCGGGTTTTGGGTGTACTGTTTGACTTCTGTTCTGTCGGGTTCCTAGCCTGCCTCGGGTTCAGGGGCACCTGCACGAAGGCACCGATGTCAGGATGGCTTGTAGAGCTGCTTCGGGCGTTGTTTTCTGTGGGGCCGATGGAGTTTCAACCAGTCTCAGTGCGTAGCCACAATGCATTGAGCCTGAAAACCGTATAATCTCGTAAATGGCAGCTTCCCCGTGATCATGCCTCAACACAGCCCGTCCTGGTGCTTCCTGACGGATGCAGGACCGAGAGGCGTTCCAGGCTACCTGGCTGCCTGCGTTCTGGGGTTATCGAATTCGCTTGCCATCCCTTTTGCAACTTCCAGGGTGCTCAGGACCGTTCCCAAAAAACAAGCAGTGCGGGAGGGAGGTCCCTTAGAAGGGAGTGCGAAACCCTAGGCCCTAAACACCCTAAACCTCCTGAGCCCCTTAAGTCGGACGTTTCCGCCGACCTGCGCGAGGCCCTCGAGGCAGAGAGAGTTGCTGCCCTGGAGGAATGCCAGAAGTTGGGATGCCCAGAAAGGAAGCGCGCTCTTAGGGATGCGGGTTTAGGGCTTATAAGGCTTTAAAGGCTCTCAGGATTTATAGGGTTTTGGTTACCGGGTTCTAAGGGTCGTTTTGGGGTTGAGCTTGAGGCTCGATGTTAACTTGGTGAGGTTGGGTCCCGACCTGCCCCCCCCCCCCCCCCCCCCCCCCCAAAAAAAAAAAAAAAAGATTGTGGAGGTTCGGAACGTTGTGGATCAAGGGAGCAAAAAGACTCGTCTAAGGATGTACCCAATCGAGGATTGGACCTGAAATTCCAGCATGTCCTGGCGAGGAGACACGATCTCAGGTGAAAGCACCTTTGCAACTAGACCAGAGGGCCAACAACCCTCCTCGAATGCTTTGTTGAATTGCTACATGCAGCGTTCGTGCATTTTGCCTTGCCAAGTTTGTCCACAACCAGGTTCTTGGCCGAGGAGGGCCAAAAACTAGGCGACAGCGAGGCCAACGATTGGACTCAGCTGGTCGAGGCGCTTGGGAGAGGGGAGTGCGCAGGAGAATCAGGACCCCCTGGCCCTTCAAATCCCGAACCTGATGTCTACAACCCGCAAAAGAAGTTGCATGACCACGCTCCGAACCCAACAAATCTCAAGACAATCCAACAAGGAAGCTGGGCTTTCCCAGGCCCTGGATGCTGCCAAAACAGATCTGGACGAGTTGGCCCAGGAGACGAGCGCCGAGGCAGATTTTGCAAGAAGTCACTGGTTCTTGCATTCAAGCCTACGTTGGCCCCCTACTTAATCGAAACTCTCCTGAACCCTAAACCCCCTTGCCCCCATATCTCTCCTCCACCCCCCCCCCCCCCCCCCTACCCCCCCCCACCTCCCTAAACCCCAAACCTGAAACCCTACACCCTAAACCCTAAATCCAAGTCCTTCTCGTGCGAGGCGCTGCCGGGCTCCAGCACCTGGGCGGACATCGCCGCCAAGCTCAAGACGGGCAAGCTCGAGGCAGCACTGTGGGTTTAGTTGTACTTGGTTATGCTTGGAGGTTCACGGTACTGACTAAACAATTATAACGATTATAACTGTACTTAGAACCCACTTTTAAGCCCCTTTGAATGGTTATACAAGTAAGCGCAGTTGTAAGTGCAGTTTGTACTTGCTTAATAAGTACCATGAACCTCCAAGTAGGGTTCTCAAGGGAGGGGGGCTCAAGGTTCCCTAGTACTCCCCACTACTATGACACCCAATTTGGTGTCCTGGTACTTTGAGGACCAAAATGAGCCCTAGAATTTAGTGTCACGTACCCTAAACGACGATCATCCCCGATTCAGGTATATGTGAGCCATAAACCTTTTAGGGTTCACCTGGTCCCCAACAGGCAAAGAAAAAGGGCTGGGGGTTAGGATACCCCCCCAACGGTCCCTGACCTGAAGGATTCGACCCATACTTGGTGAAATTGGCAACTCCGAGAGCTTCAGGGGTCAAAACCAGCATTTGACCCCTACGGGGCCTGATTGCATACCAGGATGGGCCATGATACCCTATTATACCCTATAGTCCCTTAAAAGGCAACAAGCACCTCAGGCTTTCCCTTTATAGGGTTCACCCTATTATACCCTACAATCCCTTGAAAGGCCCTTTCTAGGGTTCATTATGGGGATTTTAAGGCCTTTCATAGCCCATCCTGGTACTGAGACCTGCGGAGGTTGACAGTCAAGAGCACCTGGCCATGCTCGCCGAGGCGTCTCGACGCCCGGGCACCCAGCGCAGCGAAATACCCACACTCGTTTCACCATCTCTCTCTCTCTCTCTCTCTCTCTCTCTGCCTCCAGCATACGTTTCAAAGACCCTGTAATTATGCCGCTCATCAGCTGCATCTGTGGGCATTCGAAACTCCATGAAACAATGACCTCAAGAACAAGTCATCTGCACGGTTATTATACCCTATAACCCCCCAAAAAGGCCATTAGGGTTGATTATAGGGATTACACGGCCTAATAGCGCCCGTCCTGTCTCTCTCATCCTATTGATGTACGTCGCGTGCAAGGCTCGGCTGCACGTTGTTGCTGTTCGGAGGCTCTGTCGAATCATCTAATGCCCTTGGCCTTTGTTGGCCTGCTGTCCTTGAAATTGAAGCATCTTAAATTTGGGGGTTCAAACCAAGGTTCTACTGCCTTAGAGGCACGTCGTAGTTTTATAGCTTGCGTGCAGTTTTGGGAACTGGTCGATCCCCCTTGACCTCCTAAGCATGAGGCACAAAGGAGGACGCACAAGCCCGATGCTAATGCTGTTAATGCCTGCTGCCTCGTGAGATGGGCTCAGGTGCTGCGGCCTTTGACGAGGAGCTGCAAAAGCAGCGGTCGCCACAGCCCTTGCGGGATTATCTGCGGGTTGAGTGCCGAAGTGACGACAAGAGATGCAAGCCGCTTTAAGCCACATTCAGCCACATTATGTTCCTGAATTCAGATGATGCCGATGCATGGGCTGCAGCTCACACCCAGGCAGATGAAGAAGCGCCGCAAGGCACTTCAGAAGGGTGTGACCCCAGACCAGGCGACAGGGAACTCGGCAAATGCGACACGATGTTGCTTGAGGATAGAGTGCAGGGTTATGGTTTGAGTCGTTTGAGATTGCGTAACCTGACCACACGCCGCATTTAGCGCATTTTCACTTAACCTCCTTCAGATGATCATGGACCAACGATCTTTCTCTATGGGCCTCTCCGAATCGAACCCGAATCGCTGCCAGGTGGACCCTCTCGAGGCCTGCCGGTCGCTGGCAGACGAGCAGACACTGAAGAAGCTGGCCAAGGAGCAGGTGACAGTCGAAGCCAAAAGGGGCGCTTTTTTGGGGGCACCCTGAACTCCTTAGGGTTTAGTAGGGTTTCAATAAGGGGTTTGTAAGGACAGTGGCTTTTTGGGCACCTCAACTCCTTAGGGTTCAGTAGGGTTTACTAAGGGGTTTGTAGGGACCTTCTGCGAGTTCATAGGCCCCTCTGCAAGATGTCCAAGCGATTCTCAGCATGTGCCCTGGGCTCTGGCGGATATTGGCGTTCAGGTTCTGGTCAGGATGAATTTTGTTGGGACGAGTTTGCACGGATGCTGCGAGTCTGCAAGTGGGCGTGTGTATGGGTGCTTTGCTGCCCATGTGCGGCTCAACTGGTCAACTGGTCATATTCTGCCGAAGTGTTTCCCTTTCTCTTCAGGCGGAAGCGTGCGCGCAGTGCGAGGCGGAACTCGGCTACAGAGTATCACTCGGTTTGGACTCCCGGGAATTGGTTGACTCATACTGCTTTCGCCCTTCTGCGTGCGCACCTAGAGGAGTGAACTTAGGTTCGAACCAGTGGTTTAGGGTTTAGGGTTTAGGGTTTGGGGCTCTACACTGCACAGGGCGCTTAACATGAGCTCCAGCCTTCGCTCCCTCTGCTCAAAACACCTCTTAAATGCCTTCACCACATGCCACGCTGCGGCCCTACTATTCCTGCGCTTGCTTCTTCTAAGTCTTACTTTGCTTCAGACCCGTGAAATTGAATCTTCAACGCTGAAGCTCTGAGTGACAACTGCGACTGCTAAGACCTGGTCGAAACCAAAAGTTGCCATGGGGAGGCTTTAGCCGCATCTGCCGAGGGCGATGCGAAAGAGGCCAGACATGTTTGGTGTGTGCATGCTGCCTGGGATAGAGGTGTTTTAACTTTTCAACCATGACAGAGTATGAAGGTTTTGAGTGTTTTAGGATTTGAGACAGCTGCTGCAAGTTGCAAGCTACCTTTTCAGCATCACGGCCGGCTTTTGCTAAGGCCTGGACCGAGTTGGGCGCTGCCTGGGCAGCGATGTCGCACCCCAGCTGCAAGCTAGGGCCGCCAGGGGAGGAGGAGGGGAAAGTTCGGGGCACACACTCTTGCTGTCTTCGGGACCACCCTACAATGCGTGGTGTCGCTTCCTGTGGCACAAGAACAGCACGTGATAGCCTAAGCCACACAAGGTTTCAGAAATACCTCCGCCAGGACCCGGGTATATGGTATTTAGGATTTAGGGCAAGCCGCGTCCGGTTTACAATCGTCACGCCTGACTCTTCGAAAGTGCCGCCAGCAGTCGTAGCCCAGGAAAGACATGGCCAAGGCTGAGAAGGCCTCCTGCTGCACCAACCCAAAACCCACCCAGAATTTTTCTGCGATTTTGCGCCCCCAGGGTTCTGAGCCTAAAGGAGGGACGGGCTTTGGGGTTTAGGGGACGTTACGCCCCCGCTCTGTCTCTCTCTCGCTCTCTCTCTCTCTCTCTCGCTCTCTCTCTTTCTCTCTCTCTCTCTCTTGCTAGCTCTCTCTCTCTCTCTCTCTGTCTCTCTCTCTCTCTCTCTTGTTTTTTGGGAAGGTGGGTCCCATAGCGGGGACTCTCGAGTTTTGGAGGGTACAAGGGGGGGGGTATACTGACCCCTATTGGTATCCCCTCTCCCTCCTCTCCCCTAAAGCTGAAGAGGAAGCCAGGGAATCGGCGAAAGTCGTGACCGGCGAAGCTGGTAGCCCGGGAGCTCAGGTGGAGTGGTTTAGGAGGTGTTAGAACTGAACCCGAGACATTCTGGCTTTCTTGAAGTTGGTATGTTCAGGGTGTCTTGATCGCCTTGCTAAGCCCGACATAGACGACCCACGCACACGGATGCCTTCGAATGATGTACCCCAACCAGCGGCGACACCTGAATACATTAACCCATGTCAAGACCTGAATCTGCGACATGTCCCCACATGCCTCACAGTTATTATTATTATTATATTATTATTATTATTATTATTATCACAGGGCACCCTTTGAATCACCGGAAGTGCTGCAGAGTCTCCTTCTGAGGTGGTCTTGGCGAGGCCCTTGGGCTCGTGGATGAGGCGTGCCTACCGTTGAGGGCTCCACATTTGGATCGTGGCCTTTTCTTCAGAATCCTTGCCTTTGACCTGCCAGAATCTGCATGAAGAGCGCTTAGCCCGCGGAGCGTTGGTCACGGGATGCTCTGAGGTGCGAGTGTGCATCAGCACCCTCAACCCTGCCAAGCCTCCCCGAAATCGCTTTGGACTTCAGGTGCGGCGCTGCACTTCGTCCCCAGAGCTTGCCTTGCTTGGCAATCAAATATGACCTTGTTGATGCTGCTTGCTGGCATGAGGCCACAGGAGGCGACATGGCCGGAGGCAGCGCCAGGCTGGATGTTGGGTGCACGTAGGATTTCGGGGGTTTAGGGTTTAGGGTTTAGGGTTCAGGGTTCAGGGTTTAGGGTTTAGGGTTTAGGGGTCCGGTGCAGGATGCAGGTTCCAGGAAGTCATATGGGGGGTTCCCGAAATTAGGGGTACCCTATTGGGGCCCCTTATTTTAAAAAGGGGATCCTACTATTTGGGGGTCTATATTAGGGGTCCCCTTTTTTCGTAAACCCCCATATCGTGAAGGTAGGACTGATATATATATATATATATATATGTATGTATATGTCCCCACCTTGCAGACCCCAATGAGGTTTCAGGGTCGAGTTGCTCTGCAAACCACTTATGAGTGTTTGCTGATGCCGCCGCCGCGCTCTCAGCAAGTTTCGGCCTCTCACTCGGGGCCAACCTCAGAGCGCCTTGGCACGAAGTCATGGCCCCTGCAGCTTTGTACCGGTTAGGGCGCCTTGACGCATGTGGGGACACACAGTAGAAGGCATACGAACGCCGCATAAGACGCCAGGACCTGAGTTGCGCTCGATCCTCTTGTCTACGCCCCTGCCTTTACTTGGATTCTTGGGGCGGCCCTGCCCAGAGCTTCCACTCCCTGTACTTAAGGAATATCAGGTCCCCTCACAACTCAATGGTAGGACCCGCAAATATTCCCGAAACCCCTAATTAAACCCGAAGCCCCAATGAGATTCCCTAAGCCAAGTCTTACTAACCCTAGACCCCAAAACCCAGAACCATATCCCCTAAACCAGAAAACCCAAAACACCCAACCCCAAGAGAAAGCTCTGGCCTGACGAAGCCCTACAGCCCTAAACCCTAAAACCCAATATTCCCCCCCAAACAAAATATCTCTCCAAAACTAACTAAACCCTAACCCACCCTCAACCCCCCCCCCCCCTCAAAAAAAAAAAAAAAAAAACTAATGATAAATAAGGCAACATAAAACACAGAGAAAGCTTTGATGAGGACAATGGAGCGGCGCACGAGCGCCCTGGCGGCTCTGGCACTCCTCGTGGCCTCGACCGCCGCGGACCTCTGCGTAGTTTTGGAAAGAGAAGAAATACAGCAGATGAACAACAAATGCAGTTATACATCATGTATATGTTTTAGTATAGTCATATTAATATTCAGTAATTATAATCTTCTATATAACATTGCATAGGAAGTATCTAGAGGGTTACTTGAGGCTCTTACATTGGGGGGATCGGAGAGGAGGGCTCCAGAGTCTTCATCGTTGTGTCGTGTGCGCTTTCTTTATTCGGGATTTCGGGTTTAGGGTTTAGGGGTTAAGGGTTTAGGGTTAAGGGGTTTAGGGTTTAGGGTTAAGGGTTTAGGGGTTTAGGGGTTTAGGGTAGGGTTTTGGAGGTTAGGGTTTAGGAAGTTTAGCGTTTAGGGTGTAGGGTTTAGATCCTTGGCTTCTCTGGATGTGAGAGAATTTCGGGTAGCCGGCCCTCTACCTCTTGCAGAGGATGTTCTACAAGGATGAGCCTGGCAAAGAATCAGGTATGCATGCTGACCTCGGCTGTCAAACAGCACTTCCAGCTCACGAAAGTTCAGGGGGTGGACAACCGCCAAGAACCCTAAATCCCACAAACCCTAAACCCCACAAACCCTAAACCCTAAACCCTACAAACCCTAAACCCCACAACCCAAGTGCCCTCCACTCCAGGATGTGCACACCCGGAACCTGCGATCCGGTGCACATGTGCAGCTCGGAGAGGCCAGGCGTCCGATTGACAGCTTAGGTTTTAGGGTTTAGGGTTTAGGGTTTAGGGTTTAGGGTTTAGGGCGGGGGGGGGGGGGGGACACCTCTCTCGTGATGGTTCAACACCAGCACGCCACAGACACAGACACAGACACACAGACACAGACACAGACACACTGACCCTGACCCTGACACTGACACTGACACAGACACACACACACACACACACATCCACACACACACACACACACACAAGCACACAGAGGCACAGAGACACACAGACACACAGACACACAGACACACAGACACACAGACACACAGACACACAGACACACAGACACACAGACACACACACACACACACAGAGAGACAGACAGAGACACGGACAGACAGACCGAGAGACAGACAACCAGACAGACAGACATAAACAAATATAAACACATATATATATATATGTATATGTAAATGTACATGTATATGTATATGTATTTGTATTCGTATTTGCATATGTATATGTATATGTATATGTGTATGTGTATGTGTATGTGTATGTGTATGTGTATGTGTACGTACGTACGTACGTACGTACGTACGTACGTACGTATGTATGTATGTGTGTATATATATATATACACATAAATAAACAAATAAATATATATATATATATATGTTATGTACGCCTATATACACGCACGCATAGATGATTCTAACGTACATTAGATTATATTATGTAGTATCTTACGAATATATTCTGTATGATATTAAAATAAAACCTGAAAGTATGTTTATACGATATTATATATATATATATACTATACTATATCCTATATAATACAGTCTTGATGCATTCGAACCTATACATATGCCTTTTCCACAACAGATTCTACCCGTGAAGGTAAGGGCCCACAACCCTTTCATCGACGACCTGGAGCCTGTGGCGCCACTGGATGCTGTGGCGGTGGGTCGGAAGCAAGAGCTGTTCCGAAGCCTTTAGGGCTTCAAAGGGTGAACGATTGGGTGTGCACAGGTTTGGGGTTGAGAGTTTACAGAGGATGAAATAGGGCTTAAAAGAGAAGCCTGGGCTTGGGGTAGCTCGGCTTTGGCAAGGTTCAGGTTGGGAGGTTCTGCACCTTTCGACCTTCTACGAACGCAGCAGAACCTCTGACAAAATCACACCGTACAATTTCCTGAAGTTCCCGAATTAAGCCTGAAACCCTACAGCATAGACCCTAAACCCTGCGGTATGTAGGATATGTAGTGCCGCTTGGCAGGCGCCTGGGGCCATTGCAGCTGCGGGCATCCCTCGTCAGGGAGGGGCTCGGAGGCCTGCGCTGTTCGTTCCCTGGGCTTAAAGTAACCTTGGGACACATACCCTGGGAACCAACTCAGAATTTTTGGGTTCATCTACACTTTTTGATAAACATTTCTTTTCAACCCTTTTGGGGTTCGTTAGGTGCCGAAAGTATGTGTCGATGCTCTTCAGACGGCCTGTGGGAGTTGAGGATGCTTTAGAACCAGGTGTCGTTCGCCCTTCAACGATCCCTTAAGCCAATGGGGGTCTCTGTCTGTTAGAGGCTCGATCTCCCCATATGAAGTAGGGTTTATATTACAAGAAATATATACCCTACTTCATATCTCCCCACATTCCAGAGTCTGGAGAGGGCTTGGTTTGATTTTTGGGGTTACTGGGTTACAGGTGGGCAGTTCTTCCGAAACCCCCCCCCTCCCCCAAAAGAGCCCGAAAGCCCTGAAGCCAGGAAAAAAGTGTCCTTGAGCCAAGGTGCCTCCGTACTTGTACCCGGACGCCTTCCCCGCATCTGCCAAGGATGTTTGCCACTGTGACGCGCCCAAGGAGGACCAAAGAGTCAATCAGCTTGCAGCCAGGGCTCAGAAGGGTATGTATCAATACGAAAACATGCATATATATATATACACAAAATATATATATATATATAATGCATTTCCACATATGTTTCGGTCATGAAGACATGTAACAATATATATATATATATATATATCTCTAAGTACAGATATATGTGTGTACGTATGTGTATATATATATATATATATATTCATAAACACAAGTAAATACATGTATACATGTATGGCTATATACTTGTTTTTCTTGCTAACCACGCTTGAGCGATTGAGCGCTCGGATCAAACAAGGCACATGAGAAACAAGATGGGCAGGGAGCATCTCGCACCTGGTTCTCCGAACAGCCTCAAAAGGCCCCTACGTCTCTCTGTCTCTCTCTAGTGTAGGGTTTAGGGTTTAGGGTTTAGGGTTTAGGCTTTCGGGTTTAGGGATTAGGGTTTAGGGTTTGGGCACCTACCTCTCTCTCTCTCTCTCGCTGCGTCTCTCTCTTCGAAGCTCGGACATGAGAGCAGTTTCAGGGGCAAGCAAGAGCAAGAGCAAAATCAAGCCCTGACCCCAAAACTCTAAAGCCTTAGTGCCCCCTACAACCGTTTTGTGCATCCATACCCTCAAACCGCAATGGAGTCCAATCAGGTAATGTCCGCCAGGCCACTCCAGTTCCTCCTCTGAAGCCCTGGCCCTGCCTGCAAGACAGGAGAAGCTGACGAAGGAGGAGGAACTCTGGGCAGCCGAAGTGGCGAAACAGCTGAACCTTCCCCTGTCTCAGGTGGGGCTCCAGGGAAGGTGGCTTGAAGGGCTTCGGGGTGCTTGTGGCCGGAAGACCCCAGGCATGCCAAGGATCCTTTCATCTGGAGGCTTGAAGCTGGGAGCTGGGGCACGGCGCTGGCATGTGGCAGGAATATCAGGGGCCCAGGTCGATGTTCAACTTTGAGCTGCGAATGCATAGATCCACGACATGACTTCAACCCACCTGGTTTTTGTGCAGCCCAAGCGCGACCCCCAGGTCATGCACCCTTCGGACTTCAAGGGCGTGGCACATTGCGACTGTGGCAGTGCGGAGCAAGCAAAAGGCCGAGCCTCGTTTGAATCAATTAAAGTCACGCCACGGGCAGGGCTTCATGACGCTTGAACGCGGGGGCACACCTTCTCCCTCTACGAAAATAGGCCCCCCACTATGGATCCCCAAGTAGTAGGATCCCTTTATGGTAAGGACCCCAATAGGGTACCCCTAATTCCGTCAACCCCCCCAAATATTGGCTGAGGTGTCTTCCGGTATGTCAAGGCCCAGGCCGCCAACAACTCCAGCTTCACCGTGGAAGGTTTCCCGCCCTCCTCTGCGCACGCCATGGTCCATGTCTTGCTGGTCCTTAAGCTAGGAATTCTACAGGGAGACATATACGTGTAGATATATCTATATATCATTGAATGGCACATAATACAAGATTACATACTGTAATACGGTACACATATATATATATGTATATACAAATAAATGAAAATATAAAAAATACATAAATATAGAAATATATATATATATATAGATGTAGGGAGAACAACTCCACACGCCACCAAAGGCCTAAAACAAAACATGCACTCCGAGTGTTGGGGAAAGCGCAGGCGCGGACCCCACGTTTCCGCACGGAAGCTACTGGGAGCCCGAGGTCATGGCCTGGCTTTCGGACTCTTAGGGTTTAGGGTTTAGGGTTTAGGGTTTAGGGTTTAGGGTTTAGGGTTTAGGGCTTAGGGTTTAGGGGTGTCCGGATGTGTCAGGTTACCAGGTTTTCTGGGCTTCGCAACTTTGGGCCCTTTTTGGGGGTTCGATTCCGGGCGGGATTCAGTTCTGAGAAGCGAAGGCATGAGGGAGCTTGAATCCAGCAGCCTCTCTGCCCTACTTAGCAGTTGAGCAAACAAGCTACATAACCTTCAGAAGTTTCCCCCGAATCTTTCGTCCCCTCCTTGCATCTCTGGAGGTGGTGGGCTCTTCCGGCCTTATGGCCCCGGCAGACCAGCTCCGTCCCGAGGTTCTTTGGGCTTGAGATGGTCTTCACATCCCATTGAAGTGGCTGGCGGGTTTTTGATGGTGTAAAAGCAAAATTTAAAGAACGTAAAATGCCTGAGTTCAGGACATTCAGGGCGCGTAAAATGCTTGACTTCAGGACATTCACGAATATTCGGTCGCCAGTCTCTCGAACAAACTATGAGCATTGCATGTGGTCTTGAACAAGCAGGGTGCCGGGGAATCCAGCTAGGGCGACAGAGACTTTCCTGCTCTAACACATCGCCAGGGATCTTTGTTGGTGTGTAGTGCGGTTGAAATTGGCAGCCGTTGATGGAGGACCTTCCTCCTCAGGCACCTTACGACGAGGCTGTGGACGGAAAGCGTATGGAAGCGTCCTTTGCAAAGACTTTATCTGTTGCTACGCGTACTCGGTATACCGTTGCATAGTGGGTGAGGCTTGTTCTGCATTCAAAAGTTGCAGCTCGCCAAACGCACGCGTCGGACCTGGCAAGGTGGACCTCGCTATCAACTTGGCGAAGCACGATCGGATTCCCAAGAAGATTGCGCGATACCTGGACCAGGCGGATCCGGAGCCTTGTTCCGTAGACTTCAAAGGGGTGTAAGGCCACGAGTCCGCGAGCACGTTTCGGTTGAGACAAATTTGCCTGGCGCTTATGGTAAGTACATGTTACAGGCCAGGCGGTTCAAGAACTATCCGTCTTGGAGTTAACGACGAGAGTAGCCTGGATGTTGAGGGGACGGATCGTGCCACGTGTCAACACCTCACCTGGTGAACCTCTGAAGCAACTGTGGCCAGGTGGAGAGCAGGAGCAGCAGCTGCGATGATGCGACCCAACCATGCCCCACAGATTGCGCGGCTGGCGATGCCGTTTCCTTCGAGTTGGGCCGCTTGCCCTGGCCTTCATAGAGTCCGGCATCCGCAGTCTGTTAGGGCTCCATCTCGCCAAATATCTAGATGCAAACATGTGATCTAAAGTTAACTCTTTGTATTTGTAAGATGTATATGTACATATGTATATATGTATATATGTGATACATACAAACGGCATTTTGTAACAATAACAATGTTGTTTAGATGTACATCATTTTTAGTCGTTGCATCCCCAAAACGACCACCACCGGGAAACTTATGTGGGATTTCCGCTCGCTCCAACCAAGGCAATGCACGCCGTGCAGCCACAGTGCTGGCCACGGCAGCGGGCAACGCGCTGGAGCAATGTGTAATTCCGACACGTGAAAATTGAATTATATTCCGAAGGGAGCCGGGAGTGCAACACTTTGCTGCAGCTGTGAGGTGCCGTCAGTGCAATGATTTGTTCAGGACTTTATAGGTGACAAGTGCCCAGCCCTGCAGGAGATCGAGTTCGCCACGGGCCTGGCGGAGGGCGACGTTTGCGAAGCGGAGGCCCTGTTCGGCTCAGAGTCCTTGGGGCATCCTGCATTGCATCGGGCCATCGCGAATGCGCGCCCGTGCACGCCACTCTCTGTGTCCTTTGTCTGTCTCTGTGTGTGTGTGCGTGTAGGTGCGAGTGTTGCGTTTGAGTTGTCCGCCGAGGGCCTCAGAGTCATTGTGAGGGTTACTCTTAAAGTACAGGGCTTCAGAAAGTTGGTGCTTCCGACATAGCACTCCCGACACATCGCAGCATCTTGGAGTTTGTGAGGCGGGCTGCTCCCTCTTCCGGGTCTGCGCTCCAAAGCCTGGGCTCGGCGCGCAAGCCCCGCGGCAGTGCGTAGCGCAGGACCTGCTCGGGTGATCTCGGGCAGGCACACCTCCAAGACCGGAAGCATGTTCCTAAGCACGGCGCGCAACACTGATTTGTTCACTGAATACCCCTTGTGAAGAAATCTTGATTTTCCGAGTCTTCTAGACTTTGAAGTTAGCTCTCTGCACCATGGGGAAAACTAAACTCGCTCGCTCGGCTTATGTGGATTCTTGCTATTGCAACGTCTACTTCAACCACTACGATTATTACTCGTACCATTCTTTCTGTACCTATGACTATCATTCCTTTTATTACGTGCTTGACTTTTGTTGTTACAAAACCACGTACTAATTCCCACCGTTACCACCACCATTGCAGCAATCTGGGATGAGGTTGTTGGCTGCAAGAGAGCCAACAGGGCGAGGGGTTGTGCAGCAGCGGCTGTTGGTCTCCGTCGCCCGTCATGCGCATGTTTGTTTTTTAGCCGCCTGTAAATCTGAAGGACTCCGACGAGCGCTTGCCCCTTGGCCACCCAAGTCTTGAAGGTCTACCGAGAGACTGGGGCGCAGCAATGTTTCCAGGTGCCCAACCCTCAGCTTCTGTATTCTAAACCCTAAAACCTAAACCCTAAACCCTAAACCCTAAGACCCGAGAAGAGAAGCCTTTTCATGCCTCCTCACTCTGTTCCACCGTGACCATGTGCAGTTCACTAATCGGCAACACAGCCAAAGACCCGCTGCAACCCCAGGAGTTTACGAAAAGTAGGGGATCCCTGAAATAGACTCCGAAATAGTAGGATTCCCATGTAGGACCTCACTAAGGTACCCCTAATTTCGGAAACCCCCCCCAAGTCAAGGTCCTGGCAGGGTCATGTCGAGAGGCACTTTCAGTGTCCTGAGAACACGGCGGGGTGCAAGCGCGTGCGCCAGGCCGGTCGCCGGTCCTGCCTTGCACATCGCAGCCTCACTTTGTCATAGTGGGGAAACATTTTACATTCTTAAGGGTACATTTCCCAACCATGAACTAGCTCACACCCTGACCCAACTCATGATGGGCCTAGGATAGACTTTAAAAGCCGAGAAATCAGATACGTGCAGATGTGTAGCGCCAAGAGCAAAAGTGCCATGCCCCTGCAGGTCGTGCAGGGCCTTTACCTCCGAAAGGAGGGGAAGCCATGCAGGGCCAGGTAGGCCGAGGAGATTGATGTCGACAGGAGCTGACAGCTAAGCAGCTACGCCTTTACCGAGAGATGCTAGAGCCTTTGACAGAGGTGCTCTGCATAGGACCGGAAAGCAAGAGTGGGGGTAGGGGTGAAAGATGGCGAAAGTTCACTGAAGACACATGTGTCACATGTCCCGTTAAGGGCTGACGTTTCAGACGGCTACCGCAGTTACAGCATCTAGCATCTAGGATGCGATGCAATTGAAAATCCAGATGCCTTCTTGGCTGCTGGAAACCGTCCAAGACGGGCACCGACCTGTCGCGAAAGTGCGTGCCACGCAGAAGAAGAAATAGACTGCTGATTGCTGCTCGTCAGCATCTGAGGCTCTCTGTTGTTGTTGATCGTTCGAATCTGTTTTAATCCTGATCCAGAGACCTTGCCTGAAGGGTAGCTGCATGGGGCTTCCCACAAAAAGCTCGCAGACCACCAAAGTCTCTTAGAGATCCGATGGACCTGCGCGCAGGTCGTAGCCCGGAAAAAGATTCAGATGTTCAGGATCTCTAAAGGTTCGGCTGCCCAAGGAGTGTAATGGAAAAGGGATGCTTGACAGGCGTCTTGTCGAGGATGACGGTGACGCTCGCCGAGCAGCGTTGCAGGAGGCAAGCTTGCCGAAGCTTCTAGGTGCACAGCAAGTTCTGAAGATTCCGACACTCCACACCCCTACCACATCAACCCTTTCGTGCATGACTCTGTTGTGCAAGGTATGCTACTGAGGGGCGGGTCCACCTCATGTGTTCATACCCTCACCCATTGGTGCGTGATGCGACGTATACTGGGCTGAGTTCGAAGCTTCAAGACTGCAATCTCGACCTTTCCGCCGCCTTGAGCTCAAAAAACTACCCCCAGCGCTCGACTCGAACTGGGACTTTTTAGATAGTTGGCTGCAATCGCCCGGTGCCCAGCATGTCACGTCCATGAGACGCGCAGCGTAGCCCAACAGTTGCGTTTTGGTGTGCCGATGCTGAGGGTTTAGGGTTTAAGGTTCAGGGTTGTGTCAAGCAGTTGAGGGGGACTCTCCGAAATAGAAGATGCTCAGACTCAAGATTCCAGACAGCCTACCTAAAACCATGGTCTTCTCTCCGGCACCGCCTCGGTGAACGACCATTCGCCATTAGCTCTGTTGTTAACCGGGGGGGTAATTTCAAGACGTAAACATGGCGTGGGGCCCCCTAATCTCTAAACCCACAGGCCCCTTAAACTCAGGTCGTATCCAGGGGCCCTCAGTACGGTCCCTTAACCTTGTTGAACGGTATCCGAGGTATGGGCCCACATGAAGCACAGTGTCTATAAGGGTGATGCCACAAGGGGCACCCAAATTACGGGCCCCTACTTGGGGCACCCTACATTGGGTGGTTGTCAAAATTATGATCCTTTTTGGGGTACCCTAAATAGTAGGTGCCGTATTATAATAGGGACCCAAAAAGGGACCATAATTTTGACAACCACCCTACATAAAACTCTCCAAGCGCCCCAGCTGGAGGCCCGGTTAGCCTCTGGGCGTGTTGCAAGGCAGGAGCTGCCAGAAATTGCAGGGATGTCGAGGGAGCGACTTTTTTTCAAGGGCGTAGGATTGATAAGGGTTTTCGAGTGTGTTTCTATAATTAAGGTTTGAAGTTTAGAGGGTGTATAGATGTGTATAGGGTTTGGGGAGATGACGGGGAGTAGAGGGTTTCGGGGGTGCTACTAGAAGAGCACTTCCGGCCTGCGGCCAGGAGTGCTTCAGGCCGCCAAGCTCTCGTACAGCCGCAGCGGAGCGACCTGCGTAATGGACGGTCCAGAGCCCAGTGCCCTTTTTGGAGCATCATCAGGATCCTACTCATCCTGAACCCTAAACCCTAAACCCTAAACCCTGGCTTTTGGGGAACGCGTCAGAACCCGAAGGGGCGTCGCAACCCCTCAAACTGAACTCCCAGACATGGGGCCGAGCTCCTAAGAACACGTCTCATCGGGTTCTCTGCCGGGTCCCAGGATGGGCTCTGATACCCTAGAATCCCTTAAACGACCCTTTGTAGGGTTCATTGTGATGATACCCTATAATCCCTTAAAAGGCCCTTTGTAGGGTTCTTCCTTATGAGGATTTTAAGGCCTATCCTGGTAGTCCAGGCCCAAGCCACCTGGGTCCTAGGGCACTACATTCTTCGCGGCCGGTTCAAGTCGCAGTCCGAACTGACAAAGCTGCCCATTGGGGCGGTGTAGGGCTTCTCGGCTGCTCCGCTTGGTACTTTTGGCGATGCCGTACACGAATCCCTTCCCGTGGCTGCCGCGGGATTTTGTGAATGGCCTCTTCCCCTATGTGCGCTGGACGCTTCTTTGGTTTTACCAGGCCGCATGCTGTTGCAGAAGCTTCCTAGATGATCGAAATGCGGAATCAGCACCGGCCAAATGAGGGTTCCCGAAAATGCGAACCCTTCTTATTGACCCCATAAGTAGTAGGTTTCTTTATCTCTATCATAAGGACCCCAATACGGTACCCCCAAAACTCCCAAAACCCCCCAAGATGTGCAGGCCTTGCACAAGCTGCGCCTACCGATGGCTCTGCCAGCCCCTGGCCGCAAGCTTCCGGACGTCACTGAAGCCTTGGCCTGCGGCCGCTGCGAGCACATCTGCATTGGCCGGGGCTTGCCGAAGCGAAGTGTGCAGGACCGCCAACTCTATAACTAAATAACTAGCTATGTACATAAACAGATACAAAGAAATGAATACATGAATATAATATATATATATATATATTATAGGCATAATTGTATAAACTCCTAAAGGGACCTCAGTATGCCCCCAAAGACACACTATACATACCCATATAAATAGCAAACCCCTATAAGAACCCCATTGTGCCCCAACCACCCATGTATAAGAATACCCTACACAGGAGGCGCTTGTGACCCCCCTCGGCATTCCGGGTGACGTCCAGACTGCACCCTTCATCGCAGTTTGGGGCGGACATGCCGGCTTCCTGATCGGCAGTGCGGATGCTTTCGTAGGGCTTCTGGGGTTCAGGGGTTTGAGGGTCGTTAGGGTTTAGGGTTACCTTTTCTTACTTCCCTTGTGCTTCCTCATAATGGCTTGGGCGACTGCGTGTTTTGTGTGTGATTACATGATGAAGCTTCCTGAAGAAAAGCTGCATGTGTGCCTTGCAAAGTGAATGCGGGTTACAAACGTGCCTTGGTTTCGCTTTCTTGGGCTACTGTACCTTGCAAAAAAGATGCAAAAAATGCAAAAAAGAACCTCTGAGGCTTCTCAGGGCTTAGGGAGACGAACCCCCGGAAGGTTTGCAGATGCGTGCGCGTGTGAATGTATGATCTGCGTGTACACCGAGAAGGGAGAGGGCGAGAAAGAGTGTCTTTATTATCTCTGCAGGTGCTATACATCTTTGGGGGTGCTGGGTATGGCCAGCTTGAGCTTGCTTCTTGCGCGAGCGAACGCAACAATTCTGTGGCAATTCTGCATGGTGCTGGAAAGAGTACATGCTCATGCCAACAGTCTCTCCATCAGGAACAAGACTGCCAGTGCTGAAGCATGATGAAAGCTGTGTTGTGCCTTTGTCGGAGGGGGCACTGGTCATGAGGATACGTCATGTTTGGACGGAACCGTCGAGCATGCGGAAGAGTCTTTTGTGATTCCAAAAGACGAGAGGCGCTTAAGAGTATTCCTCGCTCTCATTTAAGAAGTGATGCCGCGCCAGAGAGTGCATGTGCAAGTTCAAGCTATCCTTGTGTATCAAAGTAAGAGCATTGCCTTGGACTCAGAGGCTTCGATCGGGCCGTGATGCTTTGGAGCCAGGAGGCCATTTGGCTGCCTCGGCACAGGGATGTTCATGTCCATGAGCTGATCCACTGTGCCTTCCCCTTTCTAGGATGGGCTATTCGGCCTTAAACAAGCCCCATAATGAATCCTATAAAGGGCCGTTTAAGGGATTATAGTGTATAATCATAATGAACCCAAGAAAGGGCCATTTAAGGGATTCTAGGGTATCATAGCCCATCCTGGAGGTCATGGAGGCCGTCAACTCCGAAGGCGCCAGCTTCTTCCCGGGCGCCAGCGGAGAGCAGATTCTTCTCAGCGGGGTGGACTGGAGCCTGATGAAGACGGGCATCAGGGTGCTGATTGGCAAAGAGGTGCTTCGGGTGCGAAGCAAGCACCCAGACCTGGGGTTTCAATCGGTTCGACTCCAGTTTAACTCTGGCCTGGTATCGTGCCACCCCAAGTGGTGCGTGTTGATCCCGGAATCCCGTGTTCTGCTGTGATGGGCTTGCTGCCCATGTTGCAGAGGTGCTGCTTGAAATCACCTTCCTCAAGGGGCCGTGCAAGAAGCAAGATCCCAACTTCCCGAAGCCGGAGGCGTGGCGGTTTAGGGTTTAGGGTTTAGGGCTTAGGGTTTAGGGTTTAGGGCTTAGGGTTTAGGGGTTAAAAAGGGTTTAGGGTTTAGGGCCTTCAGGTGTTCTTGTGGCTTGAGTATTTAGGAAGTTGAGGATTTGATTTGGGTGGGTTCAGGGTGAGGCATATAAGCTTTCCAGGGCTGAGACTGAGGCCAAGGTCCGGATCAACCCTACCAAGCACCTCGGCAGACTCCTCTCTCTCTTGTGTGTGGGGGTCGGGGGCGGGGCAAGGGGGGGGGGGGGGGGGGGGGGGGGGGGGGGGGGGAAGGCGAAACGTTTAAGAAGCTTCCCCACCTGCGACCCCCTTTAAGGTGATGCCTTAACAAAAACTTGAGTAGCAGAGCCTTCACAAAGCACTTTTCAAAAGGGCTCCACTGCCTCAGCCAAGGAGCCCAGACTCCTCGAGGTTACTCGCCAAGGTGCTTCAACCCGGGCGCATCTTTCGTGGAGACCGCGCCCTTGTCTTCGATCACCCAGAGGGTCCCCAGAAGCTCTTGATCCAGGCCTGACGGCGCCAGGAGCGCACCGGTGCCATGAGCTGACATGAAAGTTGGACAAAGACCAGCGCCCCCACGTCCCCCCCAGCCCCCTCAAAAAAGAGGGAGCTTGCGGACATCTAAGTCGCGCTCTGAGAGCCGCGCAGCTATAACTTTAACACTTGACAGCTTTTGAGCCGACACCCGCGGTGCTCCGCGGCCCTGGGCTGGTCACTTCGGCCCAAATTCTTATTCTTTTCCCATGGGCGGAGCATCTAGAATCCAGAGGCAAAAGGGCACTCGCCTGGTCAACAATCGTTTTGCTCGCGTTGGGAACAGCCCGACAGACGGTCCAGCAAAGCTTGGGCAGCCGTGCGTGAGAACCAAAAGTGCTCTGCGTGTTCGCACCAGGGGCAGTTAGAGGGCCAACCGCCGAAAGAAAAAGCCCAAATCCGACACCTCGGCCCAACAACTTCAAGATTCCCAGCCCACGATCCATCCACGCCCAATCGAGCCTCCCTTGCCCTCGAAGCCTCCGAAGCCCTGTGAGCCCTCCTCTGATTCATTTTCCCGGCCCCTTGCAAGCTTTGGCATGGCGACACTTGTTGGCGCTTTCTGCCGAGGTTCTGATGATGGGTCGGTTGCCGGCGACTCCGTCCCCAGGAAGCAAATTTAAAAACATTCCCAACCTTAGGGAGCTGCGGCAGGAGTTTGGGAGGACGGAGGGTGTTAGAGGTAGGCTACAGTTGCATGCAGGGCCATCCTCGTTGGTACGTAGCACGGGCACATTATGTGTTTTCTGTGGGGGGGAGGGGTGGCTGGGTTCGGCCGTGCCGATTGCATGTGGCACGTCGACTTCGCTCCACAACAAACCCGGAGAGCGCATGTCTTGAAAGAGTGCCATGCCGGGCAGGGGGATGCTTAGGCTCGTCGACCTTTTTACGCCCCAATGGCAAGAAGAGGTCGCAGCCAAGGGGCATACCACAGAAAAAACGTCGGCTGCAAAACCCTGAGACTCAATATGCCATCTAGCTCAAACGTGTTGCTACAGTTGGGCAGCGAAGTTTTGCAAGCCCTAAACCCTAATCCCTGAACCCTGTAGACCCTGTACCCTGTAGACTCCAGGCCCTAAACTCTGTAGAACCTAAGTCTTGGCGGCAGCTCACCCATCTTTGCCCCTAAGCCGGCGCTAAGGACCCTTTTGAGTACGAAGAAGATCAAGGAGACGATGACATGCTGTCCGTCAATGATGAGGAGACCTGGCAAACGGATTAGGGTTTAGGGTTTCAGGGCTTTAAGGGTTTTGGGTTTTGAGGGCTTCGAGGGTTTTCGCGTTTGATGGGTTTTTCGGGGTTTAGGGCTTAGGGTTTAGTGCTGATTAGGGTTTAGGGGTTTAGGCTTTTAGGCTTGAGGATTCAGAGCATGACTGCGCGAGCACGAGGCTTCGGAGCTAGAACCTCTTTGGGCTCCAGCATGGGGCTGGCCAAGCCTGAGGCATGACGCTATACAGTGTATATGCCCCCGAAAAAAATCCGAGCTACTCCATGCTCTGTATACGCACACACAGTCCTCAATACGATAGTCCTTGCGGGAACCCCTTCAAAAAGCCGGCACGGCCCTGGACCCCCCGAAAAAAACATCAGATAGCCCCTCGGTTCGAGTACCCGAAGCTTGCCGCACGCAGGACGATCCGATGCCAATCCAGCCGGCAGAAGTCCGGAGAGCCCCCTACACCATCATGAACAGAGGAGCCAGCTGGAAAGTTGTGCATTGTCTTTTCTTTGGTAAAGGACCCCCCCTGACTTGTTCCTTTGTGTTCATGGTGGTGCTCCTGTGTCTGGCTCTGTGGCTTACAGGATCTCGAGGCTTGTATTGTAGCAAGCCGTCCGCATGCTGAAGTTCTCTTTAAGGCAAAGGTCTGGGTCGGGAGGGTGATTGGTGATTGCCGCGGTGTTCTTGCAGGAGAGCTGGAAGCCCGGCAGAGGAAAAGCATTACCGAGGCTCCAGTCTTGTCGGGGTGATGGGGAGCATGACCTTCGGAGGCAGCCGGCAAAAGGTTGGCGGGATAATATGAGACTTGCGGCGAGGAGGATAGAGTCGGATTTCGGGAACGAAGTGCTATTGATAGAAGTTCCGCACTCCAGACGGCCGTAGCACGAGACAGCACGGAAGAGCCCCTTTCCATGTCGATAGGAACGCCCTGGGCATACCCAGGTCCCCTCAAAAACTTGCGGGTTCAGTTGGAAAGCCTTCTTATATGCCAATATAAGCAATGCTTAGAACTGAGACAATTTCAGGGTACTGTCCCCTCCCATCTTTATGCTACTCTTAGGCTTCAGCCTGAATCCCAACAAATTCACCAGCTCGCTCTTTGCGCCTGCTGTGAAGGCTTCGGAGCTCCTACAAGTCACCAGTGAGGAGACATTTTTTGGGGGGGGGGGGGGGGTTGTAAGTGCATGGGAGAGCTGACGAGGTTTCGATCTGGAGAGAATGGAAATTACAAGGCCTCAAACTGTCACGATTGGTACTCTGACTTTGGGACATCAGCCTGACCATGCTGTCGGTTGGGGGATGTTGGCGCTCGTTGCTGCAAGGTGTTTTTCGTGCCCCGCGAGTGAACAAATGTATCATGGATGTGTTCATGGTGGCAGCGGCACGGACATCTCGACACAAGCAGGTGAACGCACAACCTGGTTGCCAAGGAAGAAAGCTGGTCTTTACAAGAAAGCTCTTCAAGCACCCTCAAAGCCTATGAACTGCGAGCCCCAGATTCTTTGCGCAGAGGACGGCTTCGTGCTGCTCCGAGAATATGGCTGGGATCTACTGAGGTTGCAGGCGCGGCGGGGTTAAAGAGAAGATGTGAAGGAACGGAGGACCTCATCCTCGTGTGAAATCGATGCGCCATTGATGCGCCCAGACATGCACAAGGCTTCCGAAAGAAGCCATTGCAGTTCAGCTCTGCGGGCTCCTACTAGAGGGCTTTTACCACGATATGCTCTTGCGCAGGAGGCGTGGTTTGACAATGACCAAAAGGCGGGTGCATGGATCTGCACGCCTTCAAAGTGAGCGGGAGAGCATGTAGAATTAGCACATTGAGGCTTGAACATGACCGGCCACACAAAGCTTCTGCTCCCCCCAACAAGAGCCAACTACACCCGACGTTCACAAAGAAACAGAATGACCCCCGAGTTCCCTTAGCCCATGCCTTGAGATGATGGGAAGTTATGGACAGCGTTGTAGGCTTGGGAGGAGGGCCAAATTCGGATGATTCTATCATATTATATCTAGTCTCCTTGGGCCTCTGCTCTCACGGCAAGAAAGTGGGCTGCAAAAGCACGGAGGTGCGAATTCGTTGCGGATTGAGCTCTTCTTGCCCATCGCCTGCGCCATCTTCCGTGAAGTCAGGTGCCTCTGGGGGCGTTTCTGCAGCGCTCCAGACATTCCTGGTTTAGTGTTTAGGGGACACCTAAACAACAGCTGAGTGTGGAAGGTTTTGGACAGGGATTCTGAAACTGTGCTTTAGTGTTTCTTGGCACATCAGGCTCCAATTGACCCATGGCGCGGCAGTCTTGCCTGTGAGGTGTGCTTCGTTCTGAAACACATGTTCTGCATTGTAGTGTGCCTGAGCCATTGACATGGAATATATATATATATATATACATATATATATATACATATATATATATACATATATATATATGTAATAGTATTTCATTATACAAGTATATGAGTATATCCGTATATAAGTATATATAGTGCATATAGGATAGTACTAAGCATTTTGCTATGATGATGAAGATACAATCTCCTTTTATCAGAACTAGCCTGAGTCCCCAGCCGGTCATTTCGCGCTCTTCCAGCATCGCCTGAGGCCCCAAGACGTGTTCCATCTGCATGTCCGCCATCGACGACTTGATTGCTTTGGACTGCATGCATGGCTTTTGTGCCCCGGTCTTTCAGTGCAGAGGATGGTAATATAGGCTCTGGCTGATGAACAGCAGGTTGAGCAAGCAGCATAGTCCCAACAGGGCTCAGTCCTCAGTGCCCAGGTGCTGAGTGCTGGAGAGGCTATCTCCACACCCAGGTGGACGACGGGAAGTCTGCTGTGCAGACGCGCTGCTGGGCCGCAGGGGGTAACAAAACTCCGGACGAGTCTCAAGGCTTGAGCGCTATCTATAACGGCAACCCTGTAGGAAACGCGATTGGGGGGCCCGGGGGGTTAGGACTTTAGGGGTACCTTCTTGAGGTCCTTGTGAAAAGGGAATCCTACTATCTTGCGTCCCCATCTTCGTAAACCCCCGATTGTCAAGAGCTACTTTGGTTTGGGTTCGGTGTGAGCTTCCTGCAACAATGGGTGGCCTGAGCTTCAATCCATGCCCAAGAGTCTTGCTGCAGGCTGCCCGCAGCACAAGTGTGCCCGTGTAGTCCCGACTGCCTTCTTCATACGCTTCTGCGACGAAGAGCGGCAAAAGAAATACCAGGAGCTTTTGCACTTGGCATGTGAGTGCTTTCGGGAAGTCAGTGGGCAGGATTCGGGCCTTCACTGCTGCTGCCAGTAACCCGAAGCCCTAAGCATTCGTATCCTGACATGGCGTAGTGGCGAAGCTCCAAGAGCCAAGTTCCGACTAACTTGTTGCGGGTGTGACTCGTTTCTCATCAATCCTTCTGAGCGTGCAGCATCTCAATACTGTAGAATCCCAAGTGCGCAAGAAGAAGATGTGCGAAATGACCAGGAGTGGTGCCTGCGGACCTACGTGGACGAGAACGCCATGGTAAAGTGGTGTACCAACCCGGTCGGTTGCCAGTATGCCTGTGAATACACGGGTGTCGTGACTTGCTTGCAGGTTTGCGTTCTTGAACCAAGGCAGCAGTTTGCCTAAGGGGGTGACAAATCGGACTCTATTGCGCGGTTGTCGCATGTTTGTGTTGCATGGGCCTTGCTGCGGTGTATGGACTGTTGGAGGGATTTGCTGATGGGAAATTTGGTGTCGAGCTGAAAGCATGTTTTGGGCATTTGGTATCATGGGGTGTCTGTCGATTGGGTAACTCGGCTTCTTTCACCAGACATCGAAACTCCGAGCCCACCCTGTACGGACAGTCACAGAGGTTCCCCTCCTGAGATGAGCGCTACTTGCAAGTCTTGGCTTTAGGGCGCCCTAAACCCTCAACCCGTGCAGCTCAGGACATTGTTGACATTCATTGCCACTGCGCCTTCATTTGGTGCTGGGCCTGTGGCGAAGAGGCTCACAAGCCGGCTTCCTGTCACAAGGGAGTTGAGTAGGGTTTAGGGTTTAGGGTTCGGGGTTTAGGGTTTAGGGTTTATAGGAGCAGCTTTGGCTGTTTTCTGTGCTCTTGAATATTGCACTTTGGTGATTGATGTCTTGAGCTTTGAGCTTTGGATTGCTTTGAGATTGGCAGTGTTTAGATGTGGTGTTGGTTGCGGGTCGAGGGCAACGAGTTGTCAAAGGCTGGCCTCGATGCTACCTACCCTCCTGTTGTGCAGGCTCTGGCAGCTTCTGAGCTGTTTCGCCCGGAGCGATTAAGAAAGGCTCCCCACCATTCCTGACCCATGCGTAAGTTGAACTACATAGTAAAACAAGTGCATGCCTTCTTTGTCCATGTGCGTGCTCGAGTCATACTGAGGCCAGTTGCAAGACCGTCAACCAGTGGAATGTCAAGAACTCCGCGGAGTCAGAGAACATCAGCTGGATTCGAGCGCACACGAAGAAGTGCCCAAAGTGCGGGGTGCTTAAGGGGCTGGGACGCTCTCCCTCAGGCAGTCATAAACTTGAAAGAAGACAAGTGGCAGACAGGTGTTTTGCAGAAGGTTCTGCTTAGGTGGAGTCAAGTCTTCACTAAACGCACAGTGGTTCAGGAGAGCTTCTGAAGCCACATAATCCTTTTTGCCAGATGTCCTCACACCAAATGCCACGGCTCATGGATGACAGAAACCCTAAACCCTAAACCCTAAACCCTAAGTGTGATGACATCCTGCCTTGAGGCCACAAGCCCATCGAGAAAAACCAGGGCTGTAACCACATGGTGTGCTCGAAGGCACTGATGAGGGGTTCAGGGTTTAGGGTTTAGGGTTTAGGGTTTAGGGTGAAAGGCGAATTTTGGGGTCAGGTGGGGGTTTAGTGTTTAAGGTTAGGGATTAGGGGGTGAGAGGCCTGGACGTGCAAGAAAGGGCTTAGGGTTCGGGTTTAGGGGGTTGTGACGTGGTCTCTCAGAGATATCGCCATGGCGAGGGCGTTCAGCGGCCAAGCCCCGAAACATGCGACCCTCGGTGCATCTTTGCTCGGGCCCAGAGGAGGTTGTGAAGAACGCGGTGGTGGGATTTCGTATGTGATTTCTCCTCGAAGCAACCTACGCCAGTAGTCGTCAAAGCCACCTATCTTTATGTTCCCAGTTCCCTTGCTGAGAAGCCCCAACCCTCCCAAGCCCGAGCCTGCCGTGAAGCAGGCAGGGGGCTGTGGCCACGAATTCTGCTGGCTCTGCCTTGGAGAGTGGTCCAGTCATGGCACGTCCACTGGAGGGCCACCTGGTCCCCGCATATGGGGGTTGACGAAAACAGGGGCACTCTTTTGGGGGGTTCCAGGGAACCCCTAATGGGGAAATACCCATATCAGTATCCGGGAAGGAGGGTGGCAGGTAAGTTGTAGGCACGTGGTTTGGCATTGTTCTCGTTGGGCTTGCAACGTCGAGGGTTGGATTTCCTGCGTTGTCACCGCGATTACATCAAGCTGTACCTGTGGGGGTGGGAGAATTGGACGCGCCTACGAGTTGCGGCTGACGGACTTCAAACTGGTGTTGCTTCTTGCGCAGGACGAATGCACTCTAGCAGTTTTCAGCTACGCCCAGAACCTGCGATGCATTTTGTCATCCGGACTAGAGCGTAAGACATGTGGTGGAAAGCAGCAGTTATCGACATCGATCACCGCATCACAATTTGCCAAGCATTCCACGGAACCCCGCGAGTCTAGACTCCTATGCGTGTTTCCCAAGACAGGGCCCAGGGCTACCCCAATTTTGCGCCGTCCCCTTAATTTCGGGATACCCACGACAAGTACCTCAATTTTGGGTAACCCCCCAGTTGAGCTGAGGTATTACCAGTGCAACATCTACGACAAGCAGTCAAAGGAGGGGAAGCATGTTGACGAGGACCTTCGGCTGCCTCTGGAGCGTCGCCCTTGGTTGCTAGCTGCATGCCTCATGCATTTCTAGGTAGGGTCTTGGGACATTCTCTATGTTCCCTTTCTGGCGGCTTAAGAGGACCATACTTAGTTTTTTTTCAGGGGGTCTGAAGGGACATCCTAGATGTGAAGAGCTCAGGAGAGGTCCAGGTTGAAAGCGAAGCACGCCCTCGACAAGTACATGCTTCTTGGCCGAGCTTGAGGCTTGGGAGGATTGGGAGGAGGCACTTCATTCGTGGCGGTTCATGAGTCTATATAAGCTCAGTGAAGATGTTGCTTTCAGAGGCGTTTGTCTAAAGAGAGGTCGAGCATCTCCTGTTCCAACCACTAGCTCCTGTGCGCAGCAGGAGCTGCAGCAAGTTGCAGACAAGAGTGGCAGAGCCAGAAGTGCAGGTCTAGCAAGTAGGTGCAACAACCGTCCGCTCACATGGTGCCGAGCTCTGATCTTGTTTTCAGAGCTCTTGCGTTACGACGCCGGCATACTTCCAGGATGCGCAGTGGTGAACATATGCACATCTCTCTCTCTCTCTATATTTATGTGTGTATATATATATATATACATCTGATTTACACGGCATACATATACAGGAATAAGGATATATGGAGGAGAAAAGGAAGAGTGCAGGTTTTATTTCGAGCGCTTTATGGACCACGACCGTGGGATGAAGCTCACCATAACCGAGGAGCAGGCGACTCCTTTAGGGGCCCCTTATAAAGGGCAGTTTTTGGTTGGGAACCCGGTAAAATTCTCCTCCAGACGGGCCCCCGATTTAAGGGCTAAAGTGGGATTGTTGTTTCTCTCTTTTTTTTTGGCGGAGGGGGGGGGGGGGGGTTGAATGGGGCGGAAATAGGGTAATAGAGAAGTGAGACATGGGCTCGGAAACACGAAGCTTTGCCAACTTCCCCTTGGCGTAAATCGCAGACGCCGTTGAGCAGAAGCGAAGGCTGCAGAAAGGAGTTTAAAGTAGGGTTTAGGGTTTAGGGTTTAGGGATTAGGGTGTAGGGTTTAGGGTTTAGGGTTCGTGGTTCACTAGGGTTTTGGGATGACTTTTGTCCCATCATCAGACTGTGGAGCACAGGCTTCTCAACCTCCCAAGGTTGGGATGTTCCCCCTTATACTCACCGTCCTTCATAGGGAATAATAGGGCCTTTTAAGGGATTATAGGGCAGAATCGGACCTTTTAAGGGATTATAGGGTATAATAGGGCCTTTTAAGGGACTATAGGGAATAATAGTACCCCCGACAAGAATCCCTATTCAGGACTGTCAGTATAAGGGGGAACATCCCCATCCCAATAGGCCTCTTCGCTGGTGTCACCTTGCAGGACATCGAGGGCAAAGTGCAAAAGCTGCACGATGAGCATGGCTTTGAGATCATGGAGCTCCAGTTTCTGTATGACGTCCCAAGGTTCAAGACATGCGTAGAGGGAGTGTTTCAGAAATTTGCGGGGGCTTGTGGATACACACCACAGCAAAACGAAACGAAGCATGCGGAAGAGGTAGGATTGGAGCTTCGTGGGCTGCGGCTCACATAGGGTCTTCTAAGCTCCTCATGAAGTTCCTCGGTTTCAGGAATACTTTCTGACGGTTCGTTGGTAGTGATGCGTAGTGTTGCCCTACGTATTATCCAGCTACAACTGCCCTTGAACGTGCGTGGTTCTCACCGGACCCTCTCCGTGATGACATAGGAAAACAGGCTGCACGATCGGTATCTTTAAGAGGCTTGGGAGTCGAGAGTTTAGAGAAAAAATGAAGAGCCCCCATGCAACAAAAAAACAAAGCATACCAAGAACAACACAAGCGTGGCAAGCCACAAGATTCTAGGACTGCGCACAGATCCTCGCAGTACTGCACGTCCCGGATCTGCACAACAACTCACAACTCTACCTGGGAAGATCCGTGTGGGATTTTTAGGGTTTATAGGGTGTAGGGTTTAGGAGTTCTTTGTTCCGTGAGTGCGCGATGGTGAAATCGTGTGACACGGATTCTCAGAGCTCACGCCAAGTGTGAAGATCAACAAGTGCAAGCGTGAGTGCCGATCCAGAACCAAGCATGCAGTCTCAGCATCACTCAAAACCAAGTGCAAGCGCTCATCTAAAGAGTGCGGTTGTGGTCCCTGAACATTCAATGGTTGAGTATTCCCCCCCCCCCCCCCCGGCAAAGGATACCCCTTAAACAACCCCCCTCCCCCCCCCGAACAAAGAATTCCGAAGCTCAAAGCATAGGAACCCAGGAAGGTTGCCCTAAACCCTTGAAACCCTAAGCCTGATTAACAAAACAAAAAGCCAGAACCTTCTTGTATATATATATATATAACCTGAACCTTCTTATATGTATATATATATATATATGCAATATATGTCTATATGTATACATCATACGTATATAACAAACCCCGTAATCCCTAAACCCCACCCCTTTGGGCAGTTGGGCTCCCCTTTTGGCCGCTCCTCTCGGGCCTTCCGAGGCCTTGCGGCAAGTCAGGGTCTGCCGACGCGTCCTCAAGTCACCCGGCTGCTTCCTTTGGGTTTGGGGGGCGGTTCGTGTGGATTTCTTGTTTTTTGTTCTTGTTTGGGGGGGGGGGGGGGGGGGGGTAGGGTTTTAGGGTTTGTGTATGTTATTCATGTATTTATTTATTTATTTTTTTTGGGGGGGGGGGGTGGGGGGGGGCAGGGGGTGTAGGGTTTGTAGGGTTTGTGGTTTAGGGTTTAGAGTTTTTGTTTCGCCACAGGGGTTCTGACTTCAGGGGCCCCAGAAAGATCCCGAACAGTGGTCGGGGCGTAGGAAACGGTTTAGGGTTCAGGGTTTAGGGTTTAGGGTATAGTGCTTCCATGCAAGTGCTTCGCTCAATGGGGTTTACCATGGAGCCGCCGTGTAAACCGGGTGATCAGGGATTATAGTAGGGGGGGTAGTACTATAATCCCCCATTAAGGACTGTTAGTATAAGGGGGGGAAGGCTACACACTAAACCCTAAAGTCTAAGCAGCACAAGGGGGAACGTCCCAAGAGCCTACCCACCACCAGTGAGTCGACAGGTGGACATATGTCTACGGCTATTACCTGGATGACTCGGCCGTGTCTTGGCTTCCCAGGGTTTCCGAACCCTCAAGGTCCTGTAAGCAGGGGTTTTCTGGGGGTTTGCAGGGGCTTCTAGGGTCGTGGAGCACACTCTTCTTTCCGCTTTTCGCCGGCTGGTTCAGGGGCGTGCTTCCCGTCTAGGGTTGTGGTTGTAGCTTTCGTTGGTAAAGGCTCTTGTCAAGTATGTCGGTATGGACTTGTCCCACGCCGAATGCCTGCCCAGCACGACTCCAAAAATGTCGAAGATGCACAAGTTTCTTAGCGCCATCCAGATCTTCCGGGGGCTGAGCCGCAGGAAAAGAACCTCTTTGAGTTCTTGCAGAAGAACTTGGAGGAGAAAACCGACTGTTTGCACGAGATGTTGGAGAAGGACCTCCTGCCGTGGGCACCCCACCACCTGAATCCGGAGCCTTCAGTACAACAGCAGCCGAAATGCCCGAGCGCTGTTTGCATCAGTTGTGTGCGAAAGGGGCCTCCTACATGCAGGAACCTTTCCTAGGTAGGATAAGGGGGACCCTTCAAAGGGAACCCTTCTGAACCCTCTTCTGGCTCTCTTGAACAGGGACCTTATTGAGAGGGTCTATATCCCCAAGAGTCCCCCCAATCCTCTCCCCTACCCTTGCTTGCCCCTAAACCCTAAAACCCCCGACTGTTCCCTGCGGAGTGATCCCAGAGAGGGTCTGCTAGGCGGGTGGCAAAGAAAACCAAAACCCCAAACCCTAAACCCTAAACCAACAGTAAGCATAACGGCCAATGTCCAGGGCTGCACTGCTTCCAGGTCCTTTGGGTCTTTCGCTGACATGCTGGGTTGGGTGCCGAAACGGCTAAACAGTTCAGGCCCCGTCAGGCAATAGGCGTTCAAAGGTTGAACTTTAAAAGTCCTTTGCCTTGTCTGGCAGGACATGCAGGACTTTGACCGGATGTTCTTAATTTGAAGGTCATATGGGGGTTTCCAAAAATAGGGGGCCCTCAATGTAGAGCCCCAAATAGTAGGACCCCAATAAGGTACCCCGAATATCGTATAAAAACCCCCATACGCCTCTTTGCCAGGACTTCGACCGGACGTTCTTCGAACAGCCTGAAGCACAGAAGCTTTCCAATGAAAAAGTGCACGAGGCCTTTCGGACCTTCCGCGGCTCGGCAAGATACCAATTGGGTTTAGGGTTTAGGGTGACCGAGCGCGGCCCTCAGTCCTGGCATGAAGCAGCTTCCAGGTTCAAAAGGGTTTTGGTTTAGGGTTTAGGGTTTAAGAGTAGGCCCTCATTCCCTTCATTTTTATGGTTTGGCTTCCCTTATCAGCCCCATTTAAACCAAAAGGGCACCCTTTTTATTCCTAGGTTCCTTTGGGTCTCGAGGTGTTCAGCCTAAATCCGTTGAGCCACCAGCAGTCAAAGAAGAACACAGGGGACCCCTTGCGCGCTCCAAGCCTCAGTGCCCTTCTGAAGACAAGAATGGTGGCGGTCCTAGAAGAAATGTCTGAAGGCTTTGGGGGGGGGGGGGCATGACTTAGCAGTCAAGTAGCCCCTAAATACCCTAAATACCCTAAATACCCTAAATACCCTAAATACCCTAAGTACCCTAAGTACCCTAAGAACCCAAAACCAAAAACCTAGACCCTCAACCCTGCTTAATCTTCTGAGACAGTCCATGCAGTGCGACTCTCAGTCAGCTAGGCGGGTGGCAACAAAAATGCCTCGGGATTGGGTTTAGGGTTTAGGGTTTAGGGTTTAGGGTTTAGGGTTTAGGGTTTAGGGTTTAGGGTTTAGGGTTTAGGGTTTAGGGGAACTATAAGCAGGACTTTGGAGGGCCCTAAGAGCCCTAAACCCAAAACCCCTAAACCCAAATCTAGCAACCCTAGTAGATAGAAACTCTAAACCCTAAACCCCAAACCCCAAACCCCAAACCCTAAACCCTGAACCCCTAACCCCTCAACCCTTCAACCTCCCGAAGCCCCGCTTTGGGGGCATCGGGGAGTCGGCGCCGGTGACGACGTGGCTCAGGTTTTTTAGGGTTTTTAGGGTCTTTTAGGGTTTTTCGGGTTTTGAGGGTGTTTTTAGGGTGTTTTTAGGTTTTTTTGGGTTTTTGTAGCGTTTTTTTAGGGTTTTTAGGGTTTTGGGGTTTTTGGGGTTGAGGGTTCTGGTAGAAGCAGGGGTGGGAGTTTTGAAGAGTTCATGAAAGCGTAGCAGCTTCAGGGGTCATTTGTTGTCAGTTGTGGCAAGCACATACATTGCAAGCAAGTAAACCTAAACCCTAAACCCTAAAAAACAAACCCTAAACCCAACCAAGCCTAAACCCTAAACCATGGGCGCAGGTAGCCATGCCACGAACTACACCAATGTGACGCAGAAATTTCTGCTTCAAATCCTGACGGACCTTGGATCTGAGACTGGCCTAGGGCAAAAGTGCTCTCAGAGCAGCTCAATTTGAGCTGCCCGAATCTTGTAGTCTTGTTGGTGGATTCGTGCTGCTTCTGCCTACCTGAGTTTGCTAAAGAGGTCTTGGATGAAAAAGCTTAAGGCCCAAGTCCCATCACAGCAGTGCCACGTCTGCAGATCAACAGGTAAGCTGGAGTGGCAATGTACATTGCAACGCGACCCATACATTGCCTCGCGACCCCACTATCAGAGCCTGGCAAAGCATGCTGCTGCAAGCTTTCCAAGCAAAACATGGGTCACGTTTCACTTCCAATCTGTGAAGTCCGGGTGTGCGTCTAGCTGGCCTGTCCTAGCGGCTCCCCAACCGACGACAGCCATCGAAGCCAGCCCATTGTTCGTCAGCGCCAGAACCTGGAGGTTGGTGAGCTAGAAATCATGGCAATCTTTTCGCGACGCGACTTAGTGCAGAGATGCAACCACGATGTCTGACTTTATGTGGTCAAAGCGTCACCGGGAAGAAAAATGGTTGCAGAGGCACTGCGTCATGAGCTGCTCAGATGCCCTTAGATGCCTTCAGATGCCCTCAGAGCAACGCATGTCTACATTCCTGGAGTCACGAAGGCCTCTCTTTTGGTCATTCCTTACGACTTAGCTCCAACATCCAAATATCACCACATGCATCCTCCACAGACAAGCTCATCAAAGCAAGATGCTTCCAAGCCACCACCATTCATCGATAATTGGGCATGCAACTCTCGCCTTGGATGACAAAGCCAGACCTCCAAAGCCCGTCCTCAACCCTTTACAGAGATGCAGAGAGCGACAGAAACAGGCGGCCCGGCGCATTGCAACCTTCGACGAGGAGCCATCGAACGAGGGACCTTGTCGACTTTGAAAGACCGGAGCCCCCCCCCCCCCTCCCTCCACCAACCCGAAACCCTAAACCCTACACCCTAAACCCGTAATGTTGCACCCGCAATATTCTAGGGGGCCGCTATTATGAAAAGTTTTCCGGCTATTCAGGATCTGGACCCTTTGTTTTGGGGGTCCGCAATAATGAAAAGATTTCGGGCCGGGCCTGTTTTTTAAAATGGTTTTTGAGTCAAGTTCCCAGATCCCAAACTAAGAAGAGAGCTCATTTCTCTGCCCCCCCCCCCCCCCCCCGACTGTTTGGGGTCTTTTTTTATTCAGGGTCGCGACTGTTGAGGGGGGGGGGCGTACATTATTAAAGCAGGTCCAAAATTAGACCCCCGCGGTGTGCGCGAGTGCTGGGCGGGTGGCAAAAAACCCGACACCCTAAACCTGAACCCTAAACCCCACTTTGTTCCAAGAAAATTCGGCCCCCGTTGTGCCTGAAATGCCCCGACAAGTCTCCAGTTTGTACAGAGTGGACCTGAGAGGAGCTTGCGAAGCAGAGGGCGGCTGGTGCCTGAGTACCTTCATAAGATGGGTTTAGGGCTGAGGGCTTAGGGTTTAGGGTTTAGGGTTTAGGGTTTAGGCGGCTAGGGTTCCGGATCTTGGGCTGACTGAAGATTTCATAAGGTTCCAGTGTAGGTGACACGAGATCTTTGTGCGACTTCTTTAGGGGTGCAGCTGACGCTGACACTCACGTCCCTTCGCAAGAGCGACCTGAACCCCCAAACCTAATTTCTATAAACCCCAATAAACTCTATAAGCCCTATAAACCCTGTGAACCCTATAACCCTATGAACCATATAAGCCCTAGAAACTTTATGGACCCTAATAAACCCATAGCCCTAAGCCGCAGCAGGCTTTTTTTGCAGAACTTTCCTTGGGACATAGTCAGCTTTTTTGAGAGTCCGAGGATTCCTAGGCTGCTGAAAACTGCTCTATGGCTACGGTATCTCTACCCTGAGCCCGGCATCCCTAAGCCCCAAACCCTGAACCGGTGGCACTGCGTGGAGCCGGTCAACAGCAGGGAGCGCCTGCAGAAGCCCTAAACCGGCAGGCAAACCCTAAACCCTACACCCTCAGAGAAATTCTAGGATCGAACCAAGTAAGTAGACTCCTGAATTTCACGGGCGCTGAGATCTTCCTCTGGGTATGCGCCAATGCGCGCTCGCAGCATGCGCGCTCGCAGCACGCGCGCTCGCAGCACGCGCGCTCGCAGCACCCGCGCACGGCAGTAGCGAAAAACGAGCCCTGAACCGAACCCGAAGCCCTAAACCCTAAACCCCAAACCCTAAACCCCAAACCCTAAACCCTAAACCCTGCGAACTTGAGCCCCACAAAGGCCATGCGCCGGCGCCGCACAGAGGCCTCCGGCCCCACGGTGCTGGGCCTGAAGCCAAGCATTTCAGGGCCGGTCAGGGTTTAGGGTTTAGGGTTTGGGGATTAGGGTTTATAAGGTTTATGGTTTAGGGTTTAGGGTTTAGGGCACCTTGCCTTCAGGAGAAGGGTCTAGCTGAGTTGCCAGGCGAGTTGTGCCCCATCAAGCTTCGTACTGGCTTCTGGGGTTGACGGCGTTTTCCCTTCTTGGCTGATTGTGGGGCCCTTGTGACCTTCTCGGACACATTCCGAGTCCGGTGCAGCGTTCGCAGCTATCAAAGTAGTTTGAGGGGACTTGGCTGCAACCGTGACGTGTACGGCCTTCTGCAATTCGCTGGACACTCTCCTCACGAGATTTCCGGAAAGATTGGGATCTGGAAGGCCTTGCCACCATCTTGAGCGATCTCTGGGGCTTCTGGTTGCCCTTCTGCATGGCTGCAAGCGCACGAGAGCACTTAAGTGGAAGACTGTACTCATCCAGTCTTCACACTGTGTACATCACCTTAACTTAGGTAAAGCAACCATAGCACTACGCACACAGAGTTCGGCCAGTTACCAGAACCCTAAACCCGAAATCCTAAGCCCCCCTTATTGAGGCCACGCCCTCCGGGACGGCGCTGCATTGCGTGGCCTCGCAGAAGCCACCGCGGAGCAGCGCACGGCTTGCGAGGCACTCCGCGGGCTGGATACTCGTATTGACCAACCACATGGCATTGGCCGCATACAGAGAGGAGGGTCAGGAGCCCTATGCCCCTCGAAACTTACTGGTAGCAAGAAAGAGAAAAAGGAGTACACGGCTAGATGGGTGCAGTGTATGTACAGTGTAGGTACAGAGTCAATACACACATGTAGATACGGTATGCCGGTTTTGTTAGCGTGTGTTTAAAATGGTCAGTGCCGGAGTTCAGTTGAACATCAACCAAAAGAGCCTGCAATGTTTTAGGCCTTCGGGACATCTGCTTCATTTTTAACCATTTGTACCCTGCGGCGGGGTTGTTCAGATCTCCCGGAACTTAGCCTTACAAGGCCGAGCATATACTGGCGACACCACCACTTGACAAGGACATTCGCAGGAACCGTAGTTGCTACATGTTACCCTAAACCCTAAACCCTAAACCCTAAAGCTCGTAGAACAAGCCTGTCTGAAGCACCTCGCGCTGCGAAGGCGGCCATCCAAGCGGCACGTGAGGAGGGCGGCGCGGGCGCAGATGCATGGGAGGAGCCGTAGCTCTTAGAGCCAGCTGTCTTGAGTCTTCTTTGTCATAGCTGGGTAACATTTTGCATGCTTAAGGGTACTTAAGTCCAATAAGGAACAAAAAGTAGAATTTTTGAATATTATCCCAACAATGATATGGACTAGTCTTGAGCTCAATAATTACATCGCTACACGCGAAGATATGGAGGCATTCATTCTTGACTGGAAGTTCTGCAAACCCACAGATCCAACGTCACATCACACGGACCTTGCGCTGGCTTCATCAATAGCCAGTCCGACCTTGACAAACAACCAGGATGGGCTAGTAGAAAACCCTATAATCCCTTAAACGGACCTTTACAGGGTTCATTGTGGGGATTTTAAGGCCGAATAGCCCATCCTGGAAATTATGCCTGGTAGGGAACTGTTCCTGCACCACTGAGAGTCCACGCCCGCAAACTTCGACAACATATGTCGGTTGAGATATGAGGTAGAGTTATTGGCAGTTCCTAAACTAGGGGTACTTTTGTTTTTTTTGTGGCGGGGGGTATCCGCTGATATCCGCCCTTGAGACGACCCTTCGTGCGCAGAGGACTTGGCAAAAGTATGGGGAAGGCTGCAGGAGGACGTAGCCGAGGCGTGGTGTGAGAAACATGTGAAGCACATGATGGAAGCAGTTCGCACAGCTTCTCTTGGGCGAAGTCTGTCCAAGTGTCGATGTGTAAGTCGTGAATCCTCACGTGCCCAAGAAGCCCCTGGAGGCCTGATCGTAGGTTGAGTTTAGGGTTAGGGTCTAGGGTTTAGGGTTTAGGGTTTAGGGTTTAGGGTTTAGGGTTTAGGGTTTAGGGTTTAGGGTTTAGGGTGGTTTTTGTTGTTTCAGAGGGGGATCTGTGAATGAGCAACGCATGACAAGGATCGCTGGAGAGGTTGGCTTCCGATGTCCTCACCAGCATTCGCCAGCGCAGCACTCGTCGTCCGCATGTTTTTTTTTGTGAGGCTGCAAAAGAGGCAGAAGCCGATGCTGAGGAGGCATGTGGAGACGTGGCTGAGGCCGAGTCTCAGTCCTTCATGTTCTCTTCACTACTTGCATATGTATGTCGCTGAGATGTCCGGGGATTTGGGATGTGGCCGCCGAGAGTTGCTCGGGCTTTGGCTTTCGAATTGCGCACGTCCGCTGTTGGCTGCTAGCTTGCGAATGGATCATAGCTTCATGTGTGCTTAGTCCGTCTAGGGTGTCGGCTTTAGCTACAGGGTTCGAGGTGCAGCAAGACTGTTTTGATAGGATGCGGTTGTTGTATGGTATTTCGTGATGAGCATTCGAGCACTTCAAACGAACCTGCATCGCCTCCTGATCTTTACACGCCGAACTTCGCCTTTTCGAGCAAGTGCGGCACATCCCCAGTCCAGAAATGCAGACATCTCCAGAAGAGCCCTTCACCACTGAAGCCGTTTTCTGCTTCCGGGAGGGGAGGGGAGGACTTCTGCGCGAGAGGTCTCACAGCACTTGGCCTTCCGCGGCCTTGGAGCAGCTGCACGCCGAGCTGCGGCATTCGAGCGGAAGCTCCAGACGCTTCGGAGGGAAGGCCACTGCAACAGGGGGCCCCAGAAGCCTTCGGCCTTCTGAAGGAGTTCTAAGGCAATAAATACTCTTTATAAAATAAAGGGAAGCATACTAGCAATAGAGTTTGTGGGATGCTAACACAATCTACTTATTGGTACAAGACCAGTCATATAATCGACAAACATAGATGAACTCCTACAAGCTTCGTTTTACAGTTGGCAGGGTTCAGGCGCCGGATTCGTTAGTTATGCAGAATTGAAGAGCAGCTCGGCGCACCCTTCATTTTGGGCCTTTGCTTGCTGCATGAGGCGCATGGGGGTCGGTAGATGGCCGCCGTTCCACCTTCATATTGGTGCAACACATGTGTGTAGTTCTGCAGACTTATCCTTGGTGGTGTTTCTGTTCGTCCGCCAGCCCCAGGAGGGCTTCCATTGATCAATGCTGCACGGCTTGGGGGTGGTTTTGGGATTCTTCCTTCTTGGGCCATCGTTGCAACTTAGCGCATTTTCTGCATCGCCCGTCCGTCCTCAGCCGCAAAGGGCTTAAGGCCGCGGCACCGAACCTATCTACGGCGGGTGCCCAGTTCTAGGCGCCATGCTCAGCTGGCGCACGCTCTGCCTTTGCCTCCTGCTGGCGCTTGTGGGCGCGGCCTGGGCCGAACTGACCGACACGGAGGCTGCGAAGGGTTTCCACTCTAAGGGCATGACAACATGTTAAGCAAAACCATATCTTGTGGGCCAACTTGGCCGGCTCCCACAGCTGGCCTAGCAATGTCAAGCGACGCTGAACAGCTAGAAGCCATCAGAACCATCCCTTCCAATTCTCATGTTATGTCCCCGCCCCCGCTGAAGCTACACCCTACACCCTAAACCCTATATCAACCCTGTATAAACCCTACAGTATACAGTACACAAACCCTAAACCCTCAATTCAGCCTCCCACCACCTCCTCTTCTTTCAGGATGGCTGCCAGCTCGAGATACTGAAGCGCCCAGGCAAAGGCAAGGCTGCGAATGCCAAGAACAAGGGCAGGAGGAGGAAGAAATGGTTCGCAGCTTGGCTTGGTGTTTTTTTTTGGTCTCGGGCCTTCAAGAGGATGGGTTTTGACATCTAGCAGCTGTAGGGGAGTTTGGGCAGAATGCGACGCTTTCCCGGAAACTGCAGCGTGATCGCTCTTACCGTCATCCTTGGAAGCATTGCCGCGACGGGGGTTTAGGGTTTAGGGTTTAGGGTTTAGGGTTTAGGGTTCTTGTGCGAACACCGAGGAACTCTTGAAGATCAAGAGCAAGGGCTCTGCAAAGCAGAAGGCTCATGCGCATCGCGCAAAGGCCGACCCACCTAATCAGGCGACAATTTGCATGGCATTGCCATGTGCCCAGGACCTCTAGTATTGTCGGTTTGTTTACTGATAGTTGTATCACAGTGGCCCCTTTCTTCCTTGGTTTTGTTGTTGTTCGTTTAGCCTTGTTATTAGTCGCGTAAGTCTTTGTTATTCGATTCACTCATTCAATCATTAGTCCACTGACTTGTTCATGAGTACATTAGCGCTTTCGTTGTAGTCGACAACACCCAAGAGCCTTTTGTAAAGGATAGTCCGAATCTCCTGATATCCCTTCTTCCTGTGCCGACCTGTTGCACACATTGTGGGTGAGGCAGAAGTAGTTGAAAGTAAGGCGTGTGTTAGGTCAGGGCCCTAAACAGACATGGGGGTGGGGTCGCTTGTGGTCGACTGTGCGATACGCCCAGCTAGGAACTATGTTGGAGTTACAATAAACCTAGTAGTAGAGTAGGTAACCTTTAACCTTTTTGGGGTAGTATAATCCCCTTATAATCCCAAAGGTTAACCTTTAATTCCCCCAGGTTACTGGACAACTAGGATAAATAACTGAGGGTTTCAACACTCATGCTGAGCATGGACGAGGCGAAAGGCAGGAAGACTGAGCCCAGACTGGATACCCAGAACAAGTTCAGCGATGTCCCGGAAGTCGATGAGCTGCAAGTGCAGAAGAAGCCAGCCAAGAAGCAGCTGCACAAACACGACGGGAAGGCCCATCCAACTTCACTCAGCTTGTGCATCTCATGCTGCGACAAAACGATAACCGCAACCCACTCTACGGCGAACAGGGCTGTGCGAAGCCAATATACGGTCATAGTCCCACAACGCTGGATTTGTTTTTCGTTCCTACTACCTTTTTCAAAACAAAACATCTCACTGCGAAAGGCGAAGCCAAGCCTGGATATGGAGCTCGACGTTTCCAGAGATCGGCGCAGCGGCTTAACCAAAGGAAAGCAAAGCTTCGGCTTTTCCGGCCACGAAGCCGTGCTTAGGGATGTTTGGAAACATTTTTTTGGGGGGTACTTTAATTACCTTAATTCCTAAGAAACAGCTACAATAATAATTTAGGGTGTGTCTCACAAGACTCAGGCAACCGGGCTTTCCATAGGATGGCTTGTCTTGTTTTCTACACACCCACACAGCCACTTTATTTCCCAGAGCCCTACATTGCTGTCGGAGCAGCTGAGGCAAAGGAAAAGGGAGCCAAGGCTTCTCTCATGCGCAAGAATGTCAATGAATTGCAGCATGTTCCAGAAGGGGAGTTTGTTGGCTTTTGTTGACTCGGTTGTGCCACTAGGTTCGCGAAAACTCAGACCCTGAAAACTCAGACCCTGAACCGAAAAGCAGCCTCCTTCCTGCAGTGGCTGTAGTCCAGTCCATGATTGCGTGTTTTGTTTTAGTTGAGGGGTGGTTTTTGATGGAGCCTTGGGGGGTGGTTTCATTCCGGGGTATGAAGCGTATAAATACTTGGATTGTGGATGTTGAACGAGGCGGGCACGAGCGATGAAGTAAAACCAATCGCATATTGTCCCGACCTGCAAGGTTCCCCTTGAGGAATCGCGCAATATGTGTAGCAGAATGTCCTGGTGCGGCGCTGCCTCCACCATGTATTCTGCTGCGGCATTCCATTTTCATTTCCATTTCCATTGCACCTTCGATGACTTTCCTTCAGCTTTGATGACGATCCTTCACCCGAGCGCCCGCGGTCTGAGTACATGTGTGTTACAAGAGTAGTTATATAGGACCTTTCATGGTATGGTAGATGGATAATAATTCTAATGAAAAAATGTCAACTAAATATCAGAATCATATGTAATACAATGTCTAGTAGATGATTTCTCATCGTATAGAGGTATGTCCTGATAATTTTGAATCCATATCATGATATACTGATATTATAGGAGAGAGAGAGAGAACCGGATCATCGACTGACAGAATAGTAGAACAATATACTAATAATATAGAAAATGGTCACCCCCCCCCCCCCCCCCATGATCCATATGTGTCCTTTTCTTGCTTGCCGTTCTGCACCTGCGCAAGCTTACACCTGTGGTTGAAGTGAAAAACACCGGTACTTACGACACTTTCTTGTCTTGCCATGTCTGAAGCTACAACTTGTTATTCATTGCATATAGTTTTAAACAGCAGAAATCTACAAACTCAGATTACATCTAAAGTCGCTTAGTCTTAACAGTACAATAGTATACGTCGGTGAGGTCGTGACTTTGCTTGCTGCGCGAGACCCTTTTGAGATAGCATGGCAGAGAGTGAGAGAGCGAGAATAATGTAATGAAACCAAAAACTCAAGTTTATAGGGTTTAGAGTTTAGGGTTTAGGGACACCATAACCACATGAATCGGAAACCTCTGGCTGCAGTGCTGCAGAAGTTGGCAATCAAGTAGAGTGGTTGCCGGCGAACCCCAAGATCGGCGCAGGGCAAGCACGGGAAGTCTCACGGCCCAACATTTGCCGTCACGACCCGGGTCTACTCCGCCGAGCTGCCGTACCTATATCCCCCTTGGGAATTATTTTTCTTTTTTGTTCATATAAAACCCAAGAGGATATTAAGCATGTTGTTTCTATTAAGGTTCTAAGGGGAGTATAGGTACCTCAAGCACTTCCTCAGCTACTACCTGCACGACTTGAAGGTGGAGCGAGTGTGCCCAGACCTAACTTTGGTCACTTTGATCCCCCCTCCACCCCTTTTCTCCCCTTGATTGAAACAAGTGAGTCTTCCGAAATGGTGGACTCCACCCTATACTTGTAGCCCCAATCAGCCTTATGCGGAGTTACCACACGCTAAGCCTACCGAAGCTGCCTGAAGTCCTTACGCCCTCGGGGCATGGCAACTTAAACCGTTCGATCCTCGGGTATACAATCGCTCAGACTCTCTTCACCTGAGGTATCTCTTCTGCACCAAGAAGTCCGAGGAGAGCCAAATCCGCGCGGCTGTGAGAGGATTCGGCTTCTCGGAGAAGCAGGTGGGAGATGTTGGGATGAGTCAGGGGGCGGGCCCCCAAAGGCACCAAGGGTCAGACGGCCTGGGCGTATTAACAAGAGTTCGCTCCCCCCCCGCCCCCATCCCTGCGGGAGAAGAGAGGCTCGACAATTGAGTTTAAAAGGCGCGCCACACGAAAAAAGCTTAGGAGGCCCAGTAGACTTGACTCGGATTTGGTAGCGGATCCCACGGAGCAACCCAAAGCAGTCCCGAAATCCAGAACAGGGTCCAATATGATGGGGTGGGGCTGTCGGGTCTCTCACCCCGGCCTTTAAAGAAGGCTCGCGCAGCAGAAGACTTTGAGAGCTTCTGAGAGCTGTCCCTGAGAGGTGACTTTCGTGCGTGGCCGGCGCAACGCAAGCCTGCAGCGGCTGAACTACCATGCTGTGGCCTGGCTGCTCTTTGAAGCTAGGGGTGCTCCCGACCAAACAAAATTGAAATGTTCCGGCCGCGATGTCGAGAAGTGGAAGGATGAAGAAAATCCATGGATGGGGAAAGGGCTTTCCTTGTGGTCTCTTAAGAAATTCACCCAAAATCCGATTCTATTGAGTAAGCCCTAAATAAGTTGCAAGCAGGGAGCCACATTATGTGCGACATCGCCCGTTGCCTCTTCAAGGTTTCAAACAGAGGCGTTAAAGTTTCCCGCACGCCTCAGGAAAGGTTTGAGTAGCAGCTGGCAGCAAAGTTCCGAAAGCCAGGCCACTGCAACAATCTTGCCTTCTCTACGATCTTCACGGTAAGACCCGGTAAAGAGGACAGCTGCTTTGCGCACCGCAGCTTTTAGCTCCTCCTGCGCTGCCTCTGGTGCAAAAACGCCCGTGTGTTTTTTCCCAGGTGCTGCTACCTAGCTATGTGTGGGGTGTGTGATGGGCAGTACTTCGATCGGGAGTTGACAGGCTCGACCCTGTCAAGTGGCAGATTGAACGGAGAGAGCAGCCGAGGTGCACGAAGACTTCCTGCTGGATGTGGATGCTGAGCTGAGCTAAAGGGTGCAGTATCTGAGGGTCCCAGTAGTGTAAGTCATAAGGCGCGAGTAGTCTACATATAACCCTGATCATGTATCCACCTTATAGAGTCCTGAGAATACCAAGTAGGGTCAAAAACACGTACCCCTTCCGCCGCTGAATATAAGGTGTCCAAGTACTGAGTCGACTCTGGAAAGGTTGCCGCAGCATCTTGCTGTTAGGACACTGTCAGGCAACATGTCAAAAAACAAAACCGCTTGCCTTGAGATTGTAGCGCTATAGAACGGGGCTGTAACATGACGCTCCCTGCATGAGCTGGCAGGATGCCAGGCATGAACTAGATTGGAATGCATATTGATGTGAAGATGCTGTGCCCAATAGCTGCCCGAAAGCGGTCTGTTGCACCTCTTGACATCCCGCGACCATCCATCCTTATAAGCCCCTTATAAACCTGCACCTGAAACAGGGTTCATGTTACTGTTATTGGTGAGTGTATTTACGGTTCCTGTTTTAATATTGGTGAGTGTATAGAATTGGTGTCCCAGTGGGGATACAAGGAATATAAACTCTACACTACACCTTATTTCACCTGAGGATTGTGACGAGTTCCTGGTGCCTCCCAAAGGCGGACTCCGTGGCGTCGTCAAGTTGGATCCAGACGCAGACGCTCACCTGTGTACCTCCAACATTCCCCTACTCTACTGGGCCGTTCTTACCTTTGTTTCACAGGGGTTACACCAACAGCCTGTTTCTTTGTTTCAATGTCTCTTATGGCACACCGGAGGGTCCTTAGGCCTTGTCCTGTGAAACCGAGCCCCTGGTCTGAGGACTCTAAACCCTAAACCCTAAACCCTATAAACCCTAAGGATGCATTCCATCTCCGATGGACCTGCTATCCCAGTGATGCGCTCGCCCTCGATGGCCAGCCCAAAGGCCTGGTGTTTAGGGTTTAGGGTGTAGGGTTTAGGGTTTAGGGTTTAGGGTTTAGGGTTTAGGGTTTGAAGCGTGATTGTTTTGATTTGACAGGGTTTTGGATGACAAGTGTACAGGGTCTCGCTGTCACGAGTGTCGGACTGCTTGTGTGTCCATCTCTGGTGTTGCAAGTCCGGCCCTCAGCTAATACAGCCAGGGGCTCCGATCTGGCTAGTCCCCAAGTCCAGTGGCAAAAAGGGTTTAGGGTTTAGGGTTTAGGGTTAACAGGAATAATTACGCAGGGATTTGGGAGGAGAAAGAGTTTGCTTGGGGTCCTGTCCTTAAAGTGATGGCAGCAGGCCCTGTGGGATGTGTTGCTTGAGGCTCTGGGTCTCATGTTATTGTGCTGTCATGTTCTAGAATCCCGAATTGAAGAAAAGCGGCGGATCCCACGTAAAGTCTATTGCAGTCAGATGGTGTTTCAGATCCTTGGTTAGCCCTAAACCCTAAACCCCAAACCCCCAAACCCCCAAACCCCCAAACCCCCAAACCCCCAAACCCCCAAACCCCTAAACCCCTAAACCCCTAAACCCCCAAACCCCCAAACCCCCAAACCCCCAAACCCCTAAACCCCTAAACCCTTAAACCCTAAACCCTAAACCGTAAACCCAAAGCTTCCGCAACACCCGCAGAGGCATCCCATGCACCGGCCTCAAAGGCATGATCCGAACGAAGAGCTTGCACCTGCCTCTAATTACATAGAGGCCATTCAGGGTTTAGGGTTTAGGGTTTGGGGTTTAGGGTTTAGGGTTTAGGGTTTAGGGTTTAGGGTTTAGGAATAGGAATGTCGATGTAGGGTTGGATTGATAAGTTTTTGCGGCTCTTGCCGTTTGAGCCGTGGTCTTCCTATGAGTGTCCAAACCTGTCCGAAGTTGCCGATGTCTAGCATGCGATTTTGATCTTGCGCAAATTCCCGAGCTGTTTGATCTGAGTCTGTTTTTGGAGTTGACCATGTCGGCCTCAAAGGCATGACATCAACGGCCACTACACCTTCGTGGAGGGCACACCGATGTGTGGTGGACAACGCGACTTCGGAACAATTACGGGTTTAGGGTTTTTAAGGTTTAGGATCACACCGGAGTGCATCAAGCTGCTAGTCACTAGTCTTGCTCAGTGAGGGTGTTTCTAAGTAGAAGCCAAAGGTTGAACTGTCGGAACCGTAAACCCTAAACCCTAAACCCTAAACCCTAAACCCTAAACCCTGTTAATTTGTTCATCAGGTTCCTGTGTCTTCTCCAAGCACGTCCTTCCACTAGCCCACATCCAGTACCGCGGATTCTGGGACAGCGTGCTGAAGGACTCCATATCGTTTACGAATTCTTGCGAATCATTTTCTCTCACCCCAATTATAAGCCCTGAAGTGGGATTTTTTTGGCCCGGACCCATGGAGACCTTCCGAAGCCTGCGAGTGTGAGAGTCGAAGAGCTGGACAGGAAGCGGATGCTGAGTCAAAGCCTAATTCATCGCCGAAGCACAGCTTTATGACCAAAATTAGCCAGACCCGAACTGTATGCAGTCCACCTGGCATACATGAGAACGGCTTAAGAAGATAAGGGAATGCGACGGGCATTGCCCCGCATCCGACACTCTCCCATCACTTTGTGAAGGATTTGTGCTGCACAGGTCCCTTCCCACCGCCTTTTGCGGCCTTTGTCAACAAGCATTTTGTAAGGTACTTCATTGTGGGTTCTCCCCCCCCGAAGTCTTTATAATCAGTGCGCATTGGGCTTGGGGCAGCAAGACCTCCCGGAAGGCGAACACGGCTTTGTTGGTTTTGAGCTCGGCTTAGCGTTTGAGGTTGAGGTTTCTGGGTTCAAGGAGCGTGGCGAAATCCAGGGTTCTGAAGTTCTTGAGCTTAAAGGACTCAAGCATACTATATGCGCCCTAGAACCATGGTGAAGGTTCGTGTGTTGTGTTCTATGTGAACGAAAGCAAAAGATAGTTCTTCAGGAGATGAAGTTTGTTTGAACACCTGGAGAATGGGGGAATTTCTGAGATTCTGTTTTTGAGAGATTCTGGAAGATTGTTATGCCCAAACGTTGCAAGCGCGGGAAGACTTGCCTGACAGAGCTTCAGGATGGTAATTGTTTTAGCATCGGATCATCAGAATTCAGGAGGGGATTTAGGTTGCGGCTTGCGATTCTTGAGGGGCCTCTCAGGATGTTGACGTGTCACATCGTGTCATTGTGCAGAGATCCCTGTGACAGGGACCCTGTCTATGCCCACTGGCGTCGAAAAACTCAAAACCCTCAGGCTCAACAAAGCCCAAAAACCTGATATAGTAAGGCCTTTGGCCCTTAATCAGGAGTCCTTTTTGAGTCTTAGGGGAAGTTCGCGCCGTGTGCCAGGACGTGAGCTCACCAGCCGGGTCCCAATGGATGTTGCCTGGCAGAACTGGGCTCTAGTCCCACCCTCCCCCCTCAAGACTTCACCCCCTCCCCCAAGAACCATAAACCCTTCCCCCAACAAAAACATCGCCCGGCCAGAAAACTGTTGGCACAGGCTCAAAGGCCAGCCCAAAAGCGTGGCACTGCGGAAGATCAGGCACGGGGGTTCGGAGAGATCATTCGATTGTTAAACGAACGACCGAGGTCAGAGACTGATGCGCTCACAGTTCGAGCGGCCTCAATTCAGCTTGCATTCATTTTTGCAGCAACAGTGAGGCCATCTCCTCTGTAATTACGGTGTAGCCTACATACATAGATACAGATATATATGTATAGATATATATACACACACATATATATATATATGTATATATATATATGTATATATATATGTATATATATATATATATATATATATATACATGTCTGTATATATATATATATATATACATATTGAACAGCCTATGGGGGGGCTCACAAAGAAAGCCTATTGGCTCACTCGCACTTTTTCAAGTGCACCGTGCCACACGATACTCCTTCGTCAGCGATATGCTGACTCAGTCAAACAAGGGCCCTGACTTTGAGATGGGCGGCAATCGTTCACATGGCAAGCATGGCTCAAGTGAAGGGCTTTCAGAAGAAGATGCTTCGCTTTCACACGCCCTCAAAGGCCGGAAATCAGAGCACATGCTTTCAGACTGACAGGAAAAGGCTATCAGCCCAAGACACGATATCGCCCGGAAGAACTTTTCAAATTCAACCTTTCAGGGCTCTTTGTACTCGCGGTTGGCAGAGGCGGTGTAGTCACGGCCACGGAAGTCCACTGCATTCGCGTAGGCCACGAAGTCGGAGATCTTCCCGGGCTCCGGAATGTTCCCGGCGTAGCGCTGTTGCGCCCAGGCGACGTAAGAGAGGACGTCCTTGTCACGCAGGGCCAGGGCCAGGAGCTCGGCGTAGCTGAGGCGGCGGTCCTTGTACTTTGGGCACACGAAGAGGACCTTGCTCCACTTGAGCATCGTACCCACATCACGAGGCACTTGGACTCCGTTGCGAGGCGTCGCGGGAATATTGAGGTTGTACTTCATGCCACCACGACCATCAGGAACAAGCTTCACCGCAGGCTCTTCGGCTTCCGTGAAGGAGTCGTCACCGCCACGACGCGTAGGTCTCGAGGCTCTCGTTGTAGGAGAAAACCTCGCTGGAGATGATGCTTCCGACGCAGCAGACACCACCTCGTAGCCACCATCAGACGGAGGAGGGGAATGCAATCGCTTTGAGGCATCTGTCATCGAAGAAGAGGGAAGGTCCAAAGCTTCCTTGGCGTCGGACGACATCTTGGGCCGCAGGCCAAGCCCTGAGACCTCCTTGCACCAGCGCGACGTAGCCTTGGCGACACGCTGTCCAGTTTCCACATCGCACACTGCCAGGACCTCCGGCATGACCTCGTCGGCCTGGTCGTTTGCCATGACCCGAATGAGGTAGGACGCAAAGAGGATCTTCTCAGCGGGCTCCAGAGGAGGGAACTTTGCGAGGTCGCGGTTGTGGGGCTGCATGGTCGGCGACACAAGGCAAGGTGAAGAGGCTCACGCAGGACTGGGCTTACAGGGCCTCACGGTTGAGACTTCGGCAGTGGACGGCGCACTGAAAAACATATCTTGCAGTCAGCCTGAGGAGGCCTGGGGTGCCCAGGCGGGGTGTGTACAAGAGCAGGCGCTGCACTACTTTAACTAAAACACAAACCACATCCTAATAGGCACCCAACCTAATTAGGAAAGAACCCCGGCTTGGGAGAATGTGGAAACCCGCACATTCGTCTGTCGTGGCACGCTAGGCATACTTAGACGCTTTTCTGAGCTACTTCAGCAGCCCTCTCTCTACGACCAGAGATTTTGCTTGGACGAACGTGATAGCGACAAGTATCTAGCAACTTGTATAAGGTACCCTTGTCCCCCTTTATCTTAGTGAGGCTATCGGCCACCATCTGTCGATTGTTTGTCCAGAAAGGCAAGACATGTCGCTCCTGCAGGCAGGTTCTGGCAATGGAGTAGTCAATGGCAAGTCGTTTCTCGATTGCAAGAGCAGTGGAGCAGGCTGAGCGGGTGAGTGCATCGTATAGGGACTTGCTGTCAATCACCAAGGCTGAGGGTAGTTCTGGCAACCACTGTCGGAAGTGCTTCGGTGTCATGGCGCACAGACACTCTTGCAACAGAGCTTGAGCAAACTCGATGGCATCAAGACCATTCTGGGCGGCCAGGGTCTCCGCTGCGGTGGAACTCCTAACGACCCGCCTAAGCTTCTTACTGGCCCATTCAATTACCCAACAAACCCCTTCTTGCTGTTTGAGGACCTTGGACTCGCACAGGCACAGGATGAAACCTCCTTGGGACTCCCCGCTTTCGCGAGTGCCCCAGCCCGCGTCAGTCACAACCAGCAATCTCCAATCGCTGGTAGGGATGCTAGGAAACTTGAGGGTGCACTTCCTTTCCTTCATCTCTCTTAAGGCCTTGTTATATAGGAGTAGGTGGGAGCAATTGGCACGGTCCTGAACACCTTGCAGGTAGGAGGCCAAGAAAGCCTGGTCTGGACGACTGTGACTGGCAACCCACGACAGTTGTCCACAGCATCCACGCATGACACGAGGTTCAACAGGGTCCGAACCTTTTCCAGGGACTTGGGCAAAGGGCATCTTATCAATGTACGATTCTTGGCTTAACTCAATTTCGAAACTATCTCCCTGTCTAATTTCAGCCCCTGTGTACTTGACAGTTCGTGTTCGGAATTCACCAAACGGGAGACGCTTTCGCAGCTCGGCAAGGCACTGGTCCATTTCTGGGCTACCTCCTCCAATTAGGTCGTCAACATGTACACCACATACCCCTTGGAGTTGTCGGGTCTTAGGGTGCCTTAGATAATAGACACAGGGGTCTAAGGCACTAGCTTCCAGGCCGGCTTGGCGCAGCTCCCGTGTAAGCCGGAGAAACCATGCCCGCGGGGCTTCGGCGAGCCCGTAAGCTGCTTTCTCAAGGCGCAACAGGTCATCGGACTCAAGACCCATCAGGTCCTGAACTTCCTGCGGGGGCCTGAAATGAATGTTTCGACACGAGGCATCTCCGGACAAGAATGCTGTCTTAATGTCGGCACCCCAGAGAGTCCATTTTTGCGCTGCGCAAAGGCTCAAGATTATATGCTTGCTTTCCTTACGGAGGGTAGGAGAGTCTGTTGCAATTTTTCCTAGATCAGGATCCTGGTAGCCTACCAGCACAAGTCTAGCTTTTGGGGTGACTTTGGGGTCATCAGGGTCAGCACTTTTCTTCCAGGTTAGCACCCAACGGCTGCCGATGATGCGTGACCGGGGAATTCCCCGTGCTTTTACAATGGTGGTTACTTTGTTTTCAAGCCATGACTGCCATTCTTTTGACATAGCCTCCCTGAACTTAACCCGATCCGCTTCGTCAAGCTTCCTAAAGGAGACCTCTACTCTACGCTTTTGGGCAGGTTGAGTCCGTACTTCGGCGCACTCAGCAAGTGCCGACCAGAGGCAGAAAATGTCGTCACGGATATCTTCAGGCTGAATGTCGAAAGAAACTTCGCAGACCATGGTTTCTTCCGGCACACTAGCTTGCGGCAGTTCTTCTGGGCCTACCCTGACACCTACCCCGCCCTCTACACTGTCGCCCTCTAGGTGACCTGCAGAAGGGGGAGCCGGCAGATGGCTCTCATCGTCCGTCGGCTCATAGTTAGGAGTGCTGGGGCTCTCGGGCACAGGCTCAACACGACGGCTCTTGTGCTCGCCCTCCTGTCTGTGGTAAGGGTCGAGGCGACGCGAGTGGGGGCAGCAGTCCGGAAGAGACGTCGTCCGCACGACCCTGCCAGTAGGCGGAATCGCGCGTAACGCGTCGGCGCGTGGCAGGAGGCTCAGGGTCATGCGCCAGATCTGGCGCAGCAAGAGGAGCAGCGTCGCTCTGCAAATTGAAATCCGCTGGCTCAGGCGGGGCTTGGGTCAGGTCAAAGTAGCGGCCAGCAGGACCGCCATACACAGGCTGAGTCTCATCCAATTCAGGCGGCACACGACCAAACTCATACTGGCGCGCAAGCTCGCGAAAAGCCAGCTCATCTTCAAGGACTGGGCGCAGGGTTTCGGGCGAGCACTTGTACATCATCCCATTAACCACAACCCATATGACCCTTGGAACCGGACTATCTTCCCGAAAAGACTCAGTACCCACAACCTTGCCGGGACCCTTCCAGACCCCGTGCCGAGTGGACAGCAGACCACGGCCCGCGCGGCGGAAAACATACACACTCTGCCCTACAACGTAGGGACCACGCATGGGACGGTTGCGTCCCCGTATGGCACGTGTCCATGTCTCATGCGCATGAGCCTCAATGAAAGCGTGCGCAGCCTGCTGTCTACAATGCATTTTTTGGGCAAAGTCGGTCTGTGACAACACTGCGTCCTGGGTAGCCAGATTGTTGCGCTCATGCAGGTCGGACAAGGCACCCGGCACGCGCGGCTCACGTCCAAGGAACCACTGCGAGCTGGAGAAGCCGTGCTTTCGGAGCTGCTCGTTTCGCACAGATGCACATGTTTCTATGACTTCTGTTGCAGGACGGTGAGTAGAGCGCCAAGTGCGCTGTGCCATATTGCGCAGGATACGCTGAGCAATCTCAACACGCCCCAGCTGCCAGTGGCTCTCAGTTGCGCACGAGAGGAGGGTGATTCCGTGCTGCTCCAGGAACCTCTGAAACTCGTCGGACAGCCAGCGTTGGTCAGGGTCAACATACACTACCTTAGGGGGTCCATAGGGCCTACACCACAAACTATGAAAGGCTTGGGAGATGGAATGAGGCCTATTGGGCAGCACGATTTGCTGTGCAAAGTCGGTGGCATAGTCCACGGCCGTGAGCACATTGAATTTTTCCTCTTGTACCCCTTCGTGACTATCCCGCTTCAGTTCAACCTGCACAACATCTAAACCCACGATGTGGTTGGGAGATTCAGTGTGCTGCAAGGCTGCCACACGGTGAGACGGAGGCACCTGAAGTTCTTGGCACACATGGCAACGAAACTGACGAACGGCTTCCACCACGGCGGGCGGCGCGCATGCTCGCTTGGCCAAGCGCAGCATCTGGGGCACAGAGGCATGTCCCGTGTTGACATGTAACTTCTGGACCATGGCTTTATAGTTTGCAGCGCCTGCGACTGGCCGTTCCCTAGGAGCATCTGCTTCGTCTTCTCTTTCCGAGTCAGCCTCTGCCTCGGACTCCACGAACACATCTTCTATCACATGTACTTCAGGGTCTCGTCTAGCAAAGGATTGGCAGACGGCTTTGCAAAAAGACTCTGTGTATGTTTCGGCCCATGCCGAGAGGGACTTACCTTTGTACTGTCCTTCTAAACAGGCGTGCTCCTGGTGTCCTGGACACATGCACTGGCTAAGGCGGGAGGCCAACAGACAGTCGGTGGTGAGAACCCGGGTCGGTTTGCGAAGGGGCAGCTGAGACACAGGGTGTCGCAACCCGAGTGCACACATGTGGAAGTTAGCCTCATACGCTGGGCCTACTAAGATGTGCTTGCAGGCCTCGGACCCGGAGGGGTTCTCCCCATGTGCATGGCCACCTAAAATGCCCTGCAGTCGCCAGATCTGCTCAAACAATCTGAGGAAGACCATCTCCGTGGCTCGTTGTGACAGGATGCTTTTCCGAAGGGTTTCAGACCTTGCCATGTTTAGCCTAGAGTATGAAGACCAGTACTTGCATGGCCATGATACCCAAACATCCCTTGGTTTACACCACCCTATTAACAGGATCAACAAACGTCGGTCCCGAGCTCTTCGTAGGTCCTGACCGTACTGCAGGCCAATGCGGACGCTAGCTCCTTCTCGGAGCCGTTCACTGCAGGCTGAGAGGGGAGCTTTTCCGGCGAACACCTCTATTAAATCAACCTGGGAACCACCCTGAACGACCTGAAACTGATCCCCTAACCAATCCCTTAGCTCTTCCTTCACACGGTCCGGCTCCTCTCGGAGGGCCGATAATGCAAGTTGAAAGGGAACACGGCAGACAGAGTCCACTTGGCGAGCGATCAAAGCTCTGCTATGGCTTTCAGTTGATGCATCCTGGAGTTGAACCCAGTCTACATCTTCATAGAGGGCTTCGAGGTCACGGGACTCTGGACAGTCCTCACGCACGCATTCTGCACTCAGTGTCTCGGCCTGCAATGTTGGAGCGGGCTCGGCAGGCTCAGGGATACTGTTGGGCTCAGGTATTTGAGGTAGGGATGGATGGTTGCTTGCTGGAGGTTCTTGCGGGGAAGGTGAGGTGTGACTACGACGGAATGGCCTGAAAGCAAAAATGCATGTGCCATCTGCTTCATACGCTTGCCGTCGCTTACCGGCTGGACGATCCTCCCAGGCAGTCACAGTTAGGCTCCCTTTAGGGGTTAAGGTTGCTACGGCTCGCTGCAACTGGTGAGTGTGCGCTTGCTCCGGGATGCGTTCAAACTTTGGGCGATAGGCACACAGAGCTGCGCAGACTTCCGGTCCGAACAAACCCTGAAGCTCGTTCTGCAGGGAGGACACATCAACAACACAGCGTCGGGTCCTTTTCATTATGGTTTGGAACCACTGCTTCTTCTTAACGGACTGCTTGTTGCCCTGGGAGTTCGTGCGGAGGTTAGGGCTTAAGGTGTCAGGAATCTGTCCTTCTGGAACCTGGGGCTCAGAGACAGCGTCCTCGTCAAGCTTGGCTACCTCCAGTTCAGGCTTGTCGAGAACCAGGGGCATCAGGAGATGTCCGTTTGCCGCTTGCTGGAGCGGCCACTTGGCGATACCATGCTTCTGGCTCGTGATGGTCATGGCACCAAGGTCAAGCGATGCCTCCATGCCCTCCAAGACCTTTCGCGAGAGAAGAAAAGGGGCTTCTCCTGGAATGACATAGGTGGTCACCGTTCCCCAAAGGTTGCCAAGTTGCACCAGCCATTTGAGTCCTTGACTGGATGTGGTTCGTGCGCCGTTGAACCCTCGCAACTGAACTGGAGGTAAGGTCAACGACTCGGGCCCTTGTATTCCACGATCCATCAAGAACTGGCTCAACCTCTTTGCCGTCTCAGCTCCAATGACTGAAGATGTGCATCCCGTGTCGATGACTGCATATCCTTGAGGGACGGAAGCCAGGTACACATCGACCTCCAGGCGAGGGCCGGACGTCGGCTCCTCTTGCAGGTCTGAGTCACCGGAGTTCTCGAAGGCTTCTTCGGTGATCATGTAGGAGAACTCAGTCATGGTCACAGTGTTCAGCATGTGGACTTCCTCTTTTCGAGCACGACCGCCTCGCTGAGGCTCTTGTCTGGTCCTCTGCTTGCGATCGTACTTGAAGGTGGGCTGCATCGTGCCTTGGGTTGCTGCAGCTGACCCTAGTCCTGCATCTTCGGGGGGAATGGCAACCACAGGCATGTATGGCTGGCGACTCTTCTTAATCTCTCGGATCTTCTTTCGGCTCTCCTTGTAGGTCCGGAAGTGCTTCTTCACATTAGCTTTTGCCTGCTTCTGCATCTCGAAGGCATCCTGCATCGCGGCGGTCGCCTCGTCATCTTCAGTGTCGAAGTCGGCTTCGAAAGCTTCGTCACCTGAACTTCCCACGAGAGGCTCCGACATGGATGGACTCTCGAGGTCGGCCTCTAGGACCCCTTCCTTGCGGATGGGCCGTTGGGCACGCGACGCTTCTCCTCGACGATCTTCGAAGTCACTGGCTCGCATAATGCGCTCCACGTCCTCAAAGCGAGAACTTCCACCGGTTGCTCTGACCACCAAGGTGCGTTGCTCCCGCGTTAGGCCATACTTCTTCATGTAAAGGTGACCCAAGACCACAGACGGAAAAACTGGGCGCAGCTTCAGGTGTCCAGCCTCAAGGCGGCCAAGCTGTCTCATCATCACTCTCTGCGCCTTGTCTTCCTCGGCCTTGTGGGAGCCGTAGCCTGAGTCCTTGGACTTGCGACTAACTTCTGACCCTGGCGAACCAGGTCGCTTGTGGCGAGATCCTGCGGGGGATGTGAACGAAGGAGCAGGTGACCCTTTCTTGTCTTTGCGACGTTCCTCCTTCTCCTTCTTCTCAACTCCAGCGGACGCAGAAGCCGTCTCGCGAACGTCACCTTGCATGCTGCTGAAGGAAGATGCCTTTGAAGGCGCAGAAGACTGCGAAGAAGTAGAGGAGGAAGTAGGTGCATCCTTCTTCTTCCGCTTCCTTTTCTTGGAAGCCTTGTCAGCAGCAATCAGGGTCTCCAAACGACTCAGCGTCGCCCGGAATCGCGATGTGAACGCCGTAGCCCCTTCATTGGGCCGGCGTCGCAGATGGAAAAGAAACTCATCCACGCACTCGTTCAGCTCTGTCTCAGGCAGAAACTTGTAATGCTGATCAAGAGCCTTTAGCACCACCAGCCATCCATCATCTCCACGCACTTCAGAGATGGCCAGGTGCTCAGTCGCACGCCACGCCTCGCCAACCAGACGAGTCAGGATTTTTGGTCCGGCATAGCGTAAACTCTTTGGCTCCAGAGAAGCCACACTCAGCAAGATCTTCCTCCGGAACGCGCGATACTCCGCAGGAGATCCGTTGAAAGCCAAGTCTCTGAACGGATCTGTCCTCTCAGACGACATGGCGTTTTCACTAGGTCCCTAGATCGATACGAGCGGTCTCAGCCGCTCCGCTACCATGAACAGCCTATGGGGGGGCTCACAAAGAAAGCCTATTGGCTCACTCGCACTTTTTCAAGTGCACCGTGCCACACGATACTCCTTCGTCAGCGATATGCTGACTCAGTCAAACAAGGGCCCTGACTTTGAGATGGGCGGCAATCGTTCACATGGCAAGCATGGCTCAAGTGAAGGGCTTTCAGAAGAAGATGCTTCGCTTTCACACATATACTTATTAATTTATTTATTTATTCTTATATATGTTACACGTATATCTGCCTGAGAGCGCGCCGATTTGCGGGTTCGGGTTGAAGGGCTGCGGTGAGGCAAAGTCTTTAGGACCCAATTATAGGATCCAGCGCCAGCGGTGCTACTCTGACTTGAAAGTTCATTTAGCGCCTTGGGGATCCTGTGCGCGAATCGGCCCTCAACAAGATAGGAACCCTAACCCCTAAGCCTTAAACCCCTGAACCCTGAATCCTAAACCCTAAACCCTGGTGCTGCAGAAACGCTAAGGGCCTTATAAGCCCCTTTCCGCAGGAGTGGGCAGCCGGCCAAGCGCATGCAGTCACTGGCCTTCGAGCTGCTCGACCTCGTTTTTTGTTTTGGATTTTTCTTTGGTTTAGAGTTTAGGGTTCTTGTGGATGGAAGGATGACCCCAGAAAGGGGCCATAGCCTTCGGCCTCCACAGCGCAGTGCTGTCACAGCCACCAAGACCGTTGGGCACATGTAGCCTTTAGCCGCAGAGCAGAAGACATAACTTCAGCTACGCGTATAATCACAACTAAGACAAGTTGGGGTGGGAGTAGCGAAGAAAGTTGCCTGACCAGAACTCAAAACGCAAACACAACCATCACGACTACACTCACTAGGACATCGCATGCAGACTGTCGAACGCGGGCTCAAGAGGCGTAACCCTTCCAAAGCAGCAACTAGTACAGGGACCGCTCAGGACTTTCGCTAGAGTCCGAGAGCGGAAGTTAGGAAAACCTGAGCATGACACGCGACCACCGACGACACCCTTAACTCAGACCCGGCCTATAGCTCAGAACTGAAATGAGAGGCCCACACCACAGATCAACACCATCTTACGCCCAACAAGACCCTAATGCCCTCGCTTAAAGCTCAAACCACAAACTTGAAGCGAGGATGGTCTGCGTTGAGCGATTTGGCGAGGAGCTCTTGCTCCTTGCTTCCGAGAGTGGGATATTTAGGGTTTAGGGTTTAGGGTTACTTGTCGACTTCATGAAAAGCCTACAAACCCTGGGGATGTCGAGCTTGGCAGCTAATTTCCAAGCATCCCCGAAGTCTTGAGAGCTCTCCCTTTGCGGCCCAGAGAGTCACCCCCTCACTCCCCGTTTTGCCTGAATCCTGGAACCTTATCAACTTTCGAAGGGCTAGGGGAAGATGTCTTGTGTTTTGCCTTTAAAAATTTGGGTTCAAGAGGAACTTACTTTGGGACTGCCTTTTCTTTGCCGAGGGTTTGAGCCCCCCCCAAAAAATGACCACGAGCTGTCGCCATCCGAGTGCTGGATGCTGAGGTCTGACCATCGGCTGCAAGTCCCAAGGCCAGCCGATTGACTGGTGCGACAGGGGGGGGGGGGAAAGAGAGAGCCTTGACCCGATACATGTCCCCCTTAAGCCCACACTAAACCCTAAACTTCCCTAAACACTAAACCAATTCAATCTACGCTCAAGGGATTACCAAACCCCGAGAAATGCCCGACGCCCAAGCAGATGTGAGCTTTAGAGACCAGAGTTGTGATTCCCAAACGCCCTTAAGCAACCACCTACAAATCCTATGTATCCCTCAAAGCCCCTAAAAAACCGACAGCTCTATTAGTCCCATAAGCCACATAGCGGTGGGATGTTGAAAGCTTCTTGTGGGGGGGGGGGGGGGGGGTCCAGAGACTCAAGATGGAAATTCAGCAGTCTGGCCCAAACCCTAAACCCTAAACCCTAACCGACTCAGAGTCGCTGTGAAGGCGGATGAGCTACTCCGTCGATCGCCATCTCCAGACGAGGGCCTTGGCCAAAGCAGGCTTCGATAGAGCGTCTCGGACTTTTTTGGATCTCAGGGTAGTTACATGGTCCCTTTGCGTGGGCCCTTAGTACTCAAAAACCCATACGTCAGAACCATTAAAAGAAGGGTGCTGGAGGTTCATGGTACTTAGTAACCCAATTATAGCTGCACTTACAACCCAATTATCACCCTATTGGGGTACTTGAGGGGCTTATACTATATGTGGACTATACCTACACTTATCATGGGTTGCTAAGCACCCTGAACCTCCAAGTGGGGGACCATATAAAGGGGACCATGACACCTCCCTCAAATTCGAAGTCATGCACAGTGTTCACCGTCGGGCTTTGGCCAAGGTGCTGAAGATGCAAGCGGGGAAGAGCTACAAAAGCCACCGGGCTTGTCTTGGCAGTTACTGGGTTTAGGGTTTGGGGTTTAGGGTTAGAGGGTTTAGGGTTGTAGGGTTTCGGGGTTTTGGGGCTTATATCGATAGTCTTTGTTGCACTTACAAAAGCATGGAGAGCGAAAGGCTGAATGAAGCCTCGACCAAGGATACAAGGATGCGTTGCACTTGTCCTTCAATCGGTTGCTCTGCAACCCAAAGAAGACCTGCAACGATGCCCCTCGCCTCAAGGATCTGCTCAGGGAGTAGGGTCTGACGACATTCCGTGCTGCCGCTTGATTTCCAGCCATGGCTGTCACGAACCGCTGCGGTACTGTCCTAAAGTACTCGGTAGTACTTCCGAGAAGTCTGCAAGCATTCTTCCAAAACGGTCCTGCACGGTTTTCTGGTAAACGCCCACACCTAGGCCGGTTTACACACCTACTCCCCCCTACACCCACAACACCCCACACGGGGCAGGGCCGGGGCAGGCGGGGGGGGCTTCGGTTCGGTATGTCTGCGCTGCCCTGCGTAGTTCCGTCAGTTAAAGGTTCTGAAGCAACCCAGGTGAAACCACATCACGTTGCGAAACTGCTGGAGAACATGACGGCGTCGATGGTTCGGGCCTACAATGGCTGCGCCCTGAGGAGGGCCAATTTCTGTATTTCTATGGAGTAAGAGCCCAACCATCTTCTGATCACCGTTGTTCTTGCTATTCCCACAACTTGCTTATAACCGGTAGTCATAGCATACTGTCATTCTTGTAGCAACTATGCGGGTTTAGGGGTCTAAGGGATTCGGGGCTTGTAATTTCATCAGGGCTTATAGGGGTTCATAAGGGCTTGTGAACCCGAAAAAGGGTACCCCTAAACCCTGAACCCTAAACCCCAAACCCTAAACCCTAAACCCTAAACCTCAAACCCTAAACCCCCATGTGCCCTTGGCAGCTGGAGGTCGCTGCCAGAAGCCCGAGTCCAGTAGCCATGGCACGGAGTTCGCGCAACATGGGCGCCTGGGAGCTATGACTGTTGTTTGGGGTTTACGGTTGAGGGTTTAGGGTTTAGGGTTTAGGGGTACTCGAGAATGTTAGTGTTTAGGGTTCAGGGTTTCGGGGTGCTCAGGATGTAATTGTGTCGGGTTTAGGGGCTTCAGCCCCTCTAAGCTACCCCTCCTATGCTCCCCCCAACCTTAAAGAGGCTTGATTCTCCCTAAATTACCCTTAGTTATTTAGCAAACCTGGGAGGGTAGCATAGAGGGGGGTAGTAGGGGAACCCCTGAACATAGCTCATCGTGGCCACAGCGCTCCCGCATGCTTCCGCCGCAAAGGTCTGTCGAGTTTATGTTGCCCTAAGACCCTAAATTCGAACCCGGCTACTGAGACCCTAAACTGCTTGGAGTCAATCTGCAAGTCCGATATGGTTGAAATAAAGCCCACGGGATTATGAAGACAACCTTGGGGACCAAATGAGCCAAGAATGGTTTAGGGTGCATATACCGTTGTAGGGATTGCAGTAGTGTTGGGTATACGACCCGCATTCTTAGGGGTCATCTAGTTCCCAAGGAAGATATTTACGTCATTCTGGTTCTGAGGGAGTATGGAGTCTTGTCGAGTTGAATTGAAAGGTTCCTTGTTTGCCTTGCAGAGGCAAGTGAGCAACCACACCCACAAAAAGCACAAGAAAGCCGCGCAGAAGGCGAAGTCGTGAGTGGCAGGGTCGGATGGCTGATTTACGATGATCTGTGGTGGGTATCAAGGGACCTAAAGGAGGGACCCTTATAAGGGACCTTTGGGGGTTATTTATGGGGGTTATTTAGCGGGGTTCTTCAGGCCCTTCTAGGGGTCCCTCCTTTTATACCCCTTAAGAGGACATTGCCGGTTCCACGAGGGCTTGTAGCTAGCTTCTTGCGAGCTCAGATGCGATGGCGGCCCTGACACCTTCGGGCCTTCGACCTGGCAAAAAACCACCCTGGGGTCAAACACATCCAGACTCAAAAAAGCGCGCGCCCTCGAAAACCTGCAACACGAGTCCCTACCTGGGACCCTATCTGCCTTACGACGACTCTGTAGGTATATAGGCTCCCAGGTATAAACCCTAAACCCTAAACCCTACAATGCCCTACAAATGACCTCCCATAAGGCCCCCAGGCTGACGGCACTTGTGGCCCCCAAAGCTTATTCGGAGCAACTTTAAGGTGCCTTCAAAGCGGGCGAATGCCCCCCCGCCCCACACAGGCCAAGCCTTGTGGTGGCAGCCGCTGGCATCATCGTACATTCCTTGCCAGACCTTTTATTTTGACTCCGAAGCTCCAACTTCCAACTTTTAAGACAGAGATGAAGGGACCCCTCTACCCCAAAGCTCCCCTAGCCCTAGGAACGCCCACACAACTTGTCTAGGACAGGATGTAGCAGGATTGTGGCAGCCACGACGCGCGATGGCGTGAACTTTGTCCTGCCAGAGCTTAGGCCGATAGCAGCAAAGAGCGCCTCCGTTCTTGGGCTTTTTTTGGGTTATCCGGCTTTACACAGCACCCTAAGCCCTAAGCCCTAACCGCTAAGCCCGAAGCCCCCGAATGAAATAAGGTCTTCTGGGGGCCCAGGTAGTGTTTATACCGTTGATGTCTACAGCTCCCGAAAGCTTCTTCAACCTCAGGCTTCGTGCTATGGTGACAAAGCGGGTGACACATAGGTGTGGTTTTGTTACCTTTGGAAACTTTTGGGGGGGAGGTCTCGCTTGAGCATGGTACGGTATGTGCCCATTTCTGTGTGTATATATAATGCATTTGTATGTTATGCGATTCATATATATGTATATATATATATATATTCATTTATTTATTTGTTTATTTATTTATGCATATGTATATGTGTATGTGATCTGCTGAGCAGGTGTATGTCACAGATAGGGCCGCTCTGACATGTGTATGCGTATGTGTGTGTGTGTGTGTGTGTGCATGCTTGCGTTTATGTGCCGCATGCACTACTACGTGCACAAGTACATGTGCATGTTCAACTGCATGTTTGCTACCGGACACGTAGACCTGTACGTACATACTTTGTGGGCGCATACCTGCACGTGTGCGCCTTCACAAATGCAGGGTCCCAAGCTTCGATGGTTCATTTTTGAACCCAACGCGGCCTTTTTCCGGCGATCGATCCCAGCTTACCGCACCGCTACACTTCAACCAGGCGTGGGGACCATGGCATCTTCACCTGCAAGAGCTACAAACGGGCTGAGATTGGGCTTTTTGAAACGGGTCAGTTGCGACTTTCCGATCGTATGCTGTATAGTCCTTGAGCCGCCGTAGCCGCGGGAACAAGTTTCGAGGCTGAACTTCCATGGTGTTGATGGCTGCACTTACTTTCACGATTGAGTCGGCGATCTCATCTTAGGAAGAACCTTCCTTCCTCTTTCAGACTCTTTCGACTCATACAGGGCTACAGCATACCTCACATTCTGGTGCCTAGTACATTCAAAGTTGAAGCCCGAAGGGCCTACGGAAGCGATACTTTGCAACTTATACCTTGGGACCCGGTGGCCTGGCTTGTTCTAAGGCATTGCTGAGACGAGCCCTGGTTGTCGTTCTGGGTGTGGCCGTTGTGGCAGGCGCGCACAAGAGTTGTCCAGCAATGTGCAGCCAGTGCCACGTTTTGCTTTCCTGAGCGCAGAGATCAGGCACGCAGGACGATGCCACCTGCCTCTCGGCAGAGCCTCAGCATGTGCCTTGTTTTCTGGGAAAGGCCAAAGTTTGGGTTGCGTCGAAGATGTGTTTGACTAGCGAATTAAATCCCTGCCTAAACCCGAAGGCCCTAAGCCCTACTGTACACCGCGGCCTACACCCCAAAATTTGTGGGTTGCGAGAACCCCTATAGACCCTAAACCCTAAACCCCCCAGATTCCCTATTGTTGGAAGTGAATGTGGGAGGCCACCTGGAAGTCCAGCGAGAAGACCGACGGCCGCTTTACAGGCACAACCAGGTTCAGGCGCCCTTTTTTTGGGTGGGGGATTTGGGGGGGGGGGGGCATCGCCAGGGGGGGGCGGGGGTGGGGGGGTTCGCCACGTGAGGAACGACAGAGACACACAGCCACACACAGCCAGAGATACATATGTCATACATATATATATATAACTTTTTTGTGATGTGAAAGAAAAAGTTGTAGAAGCATTCTACAAGAGTATCAATTATTGCCACTATAGTAATAGCAGGACATCAACGGAAGCGCAGCTGACACCCCGAAGCTCTTAACTCTGAACAGGCATCACAAGCACAGGGTCTGGATCGGTTGCATAGGGATCAGACACCTTGCTTGCCGCACCTTTTGCTGCACTTTTTGCTGTGCTGTATCGTCGCTTTGTATTGCAGCCTGTCAGTGAAAGCTTTCACTACATGCAAAGCGTAGAGGCGCAGAGACTTGTGGCGCTGCAGGCGGCGCAGAAGGACCACGGACCTGCGGGACAGCGGCGTGCAACAGCCCATCCGGCCCATCAGGCCCATCAGGCCAAGAGGCTCAGCACGGTTTAGAGTTTGCCTTGGGACTTTGTCTTGGTCTCGCGCTATTCATGGGGCGGTTGTCACCCTTTAAGTCTTGTCCTCCCAAAGTCCAAAGGTGGGACATGTGGAGGTCGGACATGATGACATTGCAACTTTCTTTTACATCAATACGTGGTCATCTTGTTGTGCGGTTATATCGATTCTATGTGATTGTGTTTTTCCCATCCATCATGCTTTAAATTCTTTGCATGGGCAGATAAAAGCCATAGAATAGCCCACAGTTTAGGGTTTAGGGTCCTGAACCCACCCGCAAGTCCATGTTCGCATCGTCGGGTCAGCTCAGGAGGCGGGGAGCCGACACAGTGGCACTGCAGTCAAAGGAGCGGGGCCAGTGATTTCAGGATGTGCAGCTTGTGGAAAGTTTTCGAGAGTTGCGTGTTTGGGAGTCAGAGACATACTTCATTCTTCATCGTTCATGAAGCGGGAGGGGGTTGAGCAAGGCCTTGCGAGGATTGTTGGGGTCAACAGCAACAGAGTTGTTTCTTGGGATCAGGCATCGGAGTGTCAGTGCAAGGAAGAGCGGTTCTTTCTGTGAGAAAATTGGGGTGCGCAGATATATACATACATATATATATATATATAGAGACATACACATACATAAATCATACAAATAATATGTATAGTCTAATCTAGTTCAGTCATCCTAGTGGTACTACGGGTTGCACTGACCATCTAGCCAAAATTCCCAGGGGTCTTGAACGACCACCCCCCGAAAGAAAGCCACACAAAGCAATCAAGGCTGATAAGCCCCTATATAGTTGCACTGTATATATATATATATTATACTATATTGCAAGATATTACATAGTCAACACGACCTCGCAGAACCGCAGAACCAGGTGCAGGATCCAGCGCCGCAAAGCCCTGCAAGCCCTGCAACCTGTATTGTTTCAAGCTGCAGTCCCCAAACTGGCTGCCTTCAGTTTTTCACCATCGGCCTCCAAACTCACCTTTCACGTGAGTATATGTTACAAGCACGACATTCAAACCCCTCCACGGCACCACCTCCGCGGCGCTTTCTGGAACACCACAGGCCTGCTGGAAGCAGCCAAGCTACACACCTTGATACACATTATGCGTAAGCATCGCCTTAGCTGGCTGGCGCTCACAGAGACGCACATGAAGCAGCCTGATCAATTCATGATCGAAGGCTACACCATTACCCACAGCGCCACAGAAGAGTACGACAGCAAAGGCAAGCCCACACAGACCTTCACAGGAGTCTCCCTCATCACAGCCCCACACCTTACACCCACCATCACAGATCTCACCTGCGTCGACGGCAGATTTCTTCGGTTCACCATCGACACCGTCGAAGCTCCGCTCAGCATACTGGCGGTTTACGCCCCACACAACCAACGCGAACAGCAATGCCGGGACCAGTTCTGGCAAGCACTCACCACACAGCTCTCCACTCACAGAGAACGCACCCCCCTTCTAGTGGTGGGAGACTTCAACGCACTAGCCTTAGACGAGCTCGCAGCCATCCCTCACGCCACTGGCCCACATTTCGTCCCAGGCAAAACTGCCGAGGAAGACGAGCCAGACGATGCTGCAGAAGGCGACACCAACCAGCGACAGTTCCACGACCTCCTGGCCTCACAGGACTACTGCCTCCCACAGAGCTGGATGCAAAAAGCACCTCGCAATAGACACACCCACAAAAGACCCAACGGCGACCTCGTACAACTCGACCACGCCATTATACACAAAGACTGGCGCAACATCATCCACGACATCCACACTCTTCCCGGCGCAGCACTCAACAGCAACCACTACTTGGTCAAAGTCGAGCTGCAGCTCCGCACCAAAGAGGCCAAACGCACACCCCCCAAACCACGCCACTCCAGAACCCCCACTGCCGCACAGCGGCAAGCCTACAACAACCACATCAAGCAAAACTTGGATGCCATCACCCCTACCACAGACTACTCACAACCACCCCCACAGCTCCCACTCCAATCACAACCACATGAGCAATGGCAGAGCCTCCAGGCGGCGACCAAGGAAGCCATTAGCGACCACATCCCAACCACCGCGTCCTTCCCCAAACACCCCTGGATCTCACAAGCTACTTGGCAGCTCATACAGCAACGTTCCGCCGCACGCCTCGCTCAGAGATTTGATCTTGAGGCCCAACTCCACAAAGACATTAGAAAGCAAGCCCGCAAAGATAAAACCCAGTGGCTAAAGGAGCGACTGGCCGAAAGCGAGGCCACTCTTGACCCTCGCCAAAAATGGAAGTGGATCAAGAGAGTTCGCTCAGACTACAAGCCCAGACCGGTCTCCATTAGAGACTCACAGGGCAAGCCCACCAGCCTCTCACAGCAAGCCCAAACCTTCGCAGAATACCTGCGAACACTGGGCAGCTCCACCTACACCTTACACTGGCCCCACAGACCCAATACACCCGGCAGCAGCAGTGGACCTCTCACCCATCACCACAGCAGAGCTCAACGCAGCACTTAAAGAGCTGGCGCACAACAAAGCAGCAGGCCCCGACAGCATTCCTGCTGAAGCATGGCAGTGGTTAGACGACCATAACCAAGAGGCTCTCTTGCGGGTCCTCAACCAAGCCCTGCTCACAGCCACCATCCCGGATGACTGGCACCATGCAATTGTAGTCGAAATCTACAAAGGCAAAGGTCCCCTCACTGACCCTGCCAGCTACCGCCCCATCTCACTTTTGAACACATCCTACAAACTTTTCGCCAAGATCATTCACACCAGACTCCAAGCAGCCCTGGACGACAGGCTCAGGGAAACCCAATACGGGTTTAGGGCGACGCGCTCAACATCCCAGCCAATTCACATCGTCCGCCGTCTCATTGAACGTGCGGAGGCCACAGGACAAACACTTTACACCATCTTTCTCGACTGGGAGAAAGCATTCGACAAGATACACCCGGACGCCCTCCTCACAGCGTTGTCACGCTACGGCGTCCCACCACATCTCACAGCCCTCATCAACAACATCTACACCTCACCACAATTCACAGTGGCGGCGGCTGGGAAGCAAAGCACCAGGGAGCAAGCCAGCGCGGGCATTCGTCAAGGATGCCCGCTCTCACCATACCTGTTTCTCATAGTTCACGGTATGGTTATGCACGATGTGGACCGGGAACTCACAGCTCACGGCGGGTCTCTTCCATGGCTGTACAGCCAAAACCAGCCCTTCTACGACCTCGCTTATGCGGACGACACAGCACTCATCGCAAGCACAGCTCACAGAGCAGAACAGCTGCTCCACATCCTGCAGCGGATTGCGGCTCACAGCAACCTCCACCTGAACCTCAAGAAGTGCGTGTTACTACGCTCCCCCACTTCACAGAACACAGTCCACTTTCACAACGGCGCCCCCCTCACTATTGAGCAGCACGCCAAATACCTTGGCGTCACAATTAGCAGCGACGGGTCTTCTCACAAAGACGTTCTCACACGTGTCGCCAAAGCCCGCAAGCACTTTAACTCTCTGCACCAGTTCTGGCGCAACACCGACCTCACACTGAAGTGGAAGTTACGCATTTACAATGCGGTCTTCATTCCGCTCGTAACATACGGGTTGGAATCAGCAGCGCTCACAAAAGGCGATCTCAACAGACTCGAAGCTTTCCACTCACAGAGTCTTCGAAAGATCCTCCACTTCAAAAGCACTTACTACACGGAGGTGCTCAACCCCACAGCCCGCACATACACCAACCAAGAGGTGAGAACACTCACCTCACAGCCTCCACTCACTCACCACATCCACAAAGCACAGCTGAAACTTTTCGGGCACATTCTTCGATCCCATCCGAACAGTATAGAACGGAACTGCTGCTTCACTAGCGCTTTTCAGTACAGAGGTGGTATGGTTGGTGCTGGCCTAAGGCCAGGCAGGAGGAGAGTTCAATGGAGAACAGTGCACTACAATTCTTTGGCACTGGCTTTTAAAGTCCTCCAGACCCCCTGCCACTCGCAGCCCTACCTTCCCATACTCTTATCTACAAGCTCACAGAGCTGCTGTAGGCCGCCACTTTTGGAGTACCCTAGTGAGGTTGCCAACGTGCAAGACACTCCTAGAAGCACACTCCTGCACAGTCTTCTCACAGCCTTGAGTTTTCTGCGGAGTTGCTGCTGAGCGAGTTGCATAGGGCCGCCCAAAAATATGTTGATACCCTCATCTTGGGTGGTGTGCGCACGACATCTCTGGAATTCTGAACCCACACGCCCAAGAAGCTCATGGAGGCTTCGGGCCATCGGAATCAGACTTTTGCCGTCACCACCCGCATCTACCGTGCCGAGCTGCCCTACCTGAGACTCTGCCTGCAGCAAATCGCGGTCTTGGAGCTCGAAGGTGCGGCCTAAGGGTTTAGGGGTTTGGGGTTTGGGGGTTTAGGGTTTAGGGTTTAGGGTTTAGGGTATTGGTGAGTGTATAGAAGGTTCCTTTTTAAGATTGGCGAGTGTATATATTGGGTGTCCTTTTGGGGGGTACAAGAAGTATATGCCCTACTTCATATGTATCAGCAGCTAAGGAAGCCTTTCCTGAGCCACTACATCAACCGGCTGTTGCTCGGCTTTGGTCCAGAACTCCTGTAACCAAACACAGAGAACTACGAAGCGAATCATTTATTGACTACTGAAGTCAGAATTCTTCAATGTGTAAGCTCGTTAGAAGTGCAGATAAAACCATTGTATGGTGGCATGAGCACAAGGTGAGCAACACAGTATAGTGGGATGACATGATAGAGCTTCAGAAGCGAACCAGAAGCATAGACAGAATAACATCCACGTGACATTCTCTAAACCAACAATTAAAGACTGCAGGTCCAATCCAAAGAGCTAAAGATGACCAACCATAAGAACATAGTTCTAGGAGACGTGAGTTCCAGTCCGCGAAAGGCCACACACAGTCACCGAACAGATCGTTAGAATATGAGTTACGATCTCTGGGAGCATGATGCCCTTTACCAGGGTGCTCCCAAAAAAAAACATGCCGGCAGGGTACTAGCATGCCACTTTCACCTTCCGCTCTGGCTCAGGGTCCATATAGGGTTTATGGTTTCTAGGGGTGCACATTCTTGAGCCCATAGACTTAGTGTAGGGCACCCCACTCAGCAGTAAACCGCCGCTCTCTTCCTAGACCCTAAACCCTAACCACAAAACCCTAAACCCTAAGCCCTAAACCCTAAGGTCGGCCAATCGAGTCTATCTCTTCTGTACCAACCCGGATGAGCAGAAGCTGATTGCCCAGAAGGCCGCTTCCCTCGCATGGATGGCCTAGCGGCGTGATGCCTTCCTTATCGAGCAAGTCGCCTCTGTGGAATTGTTGTGTTGTGATCTCCCTTTTTGGGGTTGAAGAGGGATATCTCAGAGGGCTGAAATCTTCAAGGGCCGGGCGGCCGTACGCCTTAGCTTTGGAATCCATAGAAACAGCGCCACCGCCATTCTGGCGATCGAATTCGAGCTTCGCGGCCGGACGGCTCAGCGTGCCGGCCCTGCATTGAGTGTTTAATTCGTCTGACTGAAGGTGACTTTGGATCTATCGGAAATTTAGTCCGGTTTGGACCTCACATTCACGACCAGACCATGCGCTTCTAGGTCAATGGCCTGGGCTTCAAGAAGCAGGCGTGAGAGCTTGATGCCCCCCCCTCCCTATCCTCAAGATCAAAGATCGCGACTTGGAATAGTCCGAACTGCACTGTTGACTTGGACCTCCTGCAAACTCTGAGTCTCAAGAGTCACGCGCCTCAGATCAAAGTCCTCCCTATTAGGAAACTCTAAACCGAAACCCTAAACCCTAAACCCTAAACCTTATAAACCCTAAACCTTATAAACCCTAAACCTTATAAACCCTAAACCCTAAACCAAAAACCCTAAACCCTAAACCCTAAACCCTAAACCTATCCACCCCCTGAAGGTCACCTTCCTCGATTCAAAAGACCCGCAGAAGCTCCTCGGCTGCCACGCACAAAGCCCTGCTTCGTTTCAATGGTTTCGGCATCATGGTAGCCCTAAACCCTAAACCCTAAACCCTAAACCCTAAACCCTAAACCCATGGCAGAGACTTGCCGAATCTCTGAATGCCTTGGCAAGTGTCTGAGAACCCAGGCTGCAGAAGTTGAACTACTCCGCGGCTTCCTCCGAGTTGGCATGAAAGGGTTCTTGGTGGGGGGGCACTTCGGATTGGGTTGCGGACGATGGTCCACTTGTCTTGCGGCTCCGGTCGTACTAGGGGAGTGCTCTGGCACTCATGACATGGCCCCCCATGGTTTCTATAGCCCCCTTTGGGAATGAGCTGTTTGTGTTTGTTTATGTAAAACGCAAGGGAGTATCAGTAATATGTTTTTTTTCTACTAGGGTTGTAAGGGGAGTATAGGTAGGTTTCTTTCTAGAGATCCTTCCGAGCTAGGATAGCTACATTTCGTCTTATGCCCCTGTTTTGTTTATGTCGAGCGCAAGTGAAGGAAGGCGGAACCACAGAAGTAGCAAAGAGAAGCCTGCAGAAAGATCAAGCGCAGCTACAATAGATGCCTGAGACGACGTCAAAGAAGTTTCGTAGCTGACAGCATTGGCAACTGGTCGGATCTCGACAAGAGCAACGAAGAAATCAAGTAAATAGACTAGTACTAGGGTTTAGGGTTTAGCATAAGTAAGTATAACCCATCGAACAAGTAATCCCAGGCAGTCTCAGAAGATTGGATCATCGATGTGGACCTGCAGCTGCCCTTTAGTGCTTAAGGGTTTGGGGTTTCGGGTATAGGGTTTTGCTTTAAGGCTTTAGGGCAACATGAAAAGTGAGTCAGAAGATAGAGTGTGAGAACTCACCCTTGGGAAGTGGTGCATTCGCAACAGCAGACACACGGGTACTGGAGCCCAAGCCCGAGATTCGTGCCATAGTCTCAATCGGACCGGTACACACGCCGTCAGGGTGGCCCCCGCTCGGGAGCTAGGCGTTCAGGAAGGAAGAAAGGAAGCAAGGAAGGAGTTTGGATGTAGAGAGACAGAAGGTGGGAGAGGGAGGGGAGAGCGCTCCAGGTAAGAGAGATGGTTGCCTTACCATGAGGCCTTTAACAATTCGGCAAGATGCAAACGCATTCATGATCGACCTAAAGCACCCTCGCCTGAATAGTGCTTCCCCTCATCAGCCAATGCATGCAGCCAATGTATGGCCATGGCTATCAATTGCTGTGAAGCGTTTGCCTGGAACATGAGCTGACATATTCATATTTGACATCTGACGGTGGGAGGATGTGGACGAGTTCTTGCGACCGCCGGAGTTCAGCTTGCAGAAGATTGTGGATTCTGAGCCAGATGCAGACATGTCCCTGAGCACTTGAATCGTAGGTTTGGGAAAGATGCCTCGGACAGTTGCCGCCGCAAGTTGTCTTTGCGAGTGTGCATGCTTTTCAGGTTTGAGCTCCAATGGCTCTGCTATCCCAGTGACACGACGCACAAGGTCGCAAGGCCACGCTGCCCCACAAGCCACCACGACACCCCTCAAGTGAGTTCCTGATATTGGGCTATTCTACCCTATAACCCCTTAAAAGGCCCTTTATAGGCTTCATTATGGGGATTTTAAGGCCTAATAGCCCATCCTGGTACTGGGAGTGCTTACGGATTGGTTTTCACGTATTCTGATTCGCAAGCTTGGCTCTACATAGGTCGCTGGTTGGACAGATCCCGGCTCCAAAAAGCCAAAATCCTCCAATCATGCCGCCAGGCCATATCCTCTGCCATGTGTGGGGCACCTTAGCTTACGGATTTAAAGGCAAGGGAAGGGTGCCGTTGAGAATTTGGGATGATTTGGGATGGCGGCTTGGCATACGTAAAGAGCACGTGCTTGAGTGCAAGTGTGTATCTCTCCCTTATCCGAGTTTTGTCTACTTCTGCGTTTCAAGCAAACCCATGCATACAAGTACTGCGTGAGCACCAATGAACTCGAAATGCTGCGGCATTCTTGGGATGACAAAGTTCAACTTGAGCATTGGCAGGGATCGTCACACTCCTTATGCAGCTGAGTTTTCGTTATGGAGACAGGCCGCATCCGAAATGAGCCTAAACCCTAAACCCGTGGCTGCTCTGCTCGGGCCAGGTGCAAGTCTTGGTGTGTGTCTCAGGTAATCCCCTCCCCCTAATATTAAACCCCCCCCTCCCCCTACCCCCTACTAGGGTTTATCAACTCCCACTCAAGGTCCACGGCATCGAGCACATGTTTGATTTGGCTGTAAAGGTTTATAAGGCCTAAGGCCTAGGGTGGAGCGAGCCATGGCTACGGCCGAGTTCGTGACTTTCCTCCTCCTTAGCGTGGCAGTTCACTGGAAGATTTCTGGCGCAGATACCAAAGACTTGCTACTGGAAGTTTGGAAGTACATGTGGGCCTCGAGTTCTGGCAAAAGCCCAGAGTCTGCCAAACGCCTTGACGATGCTATGGACCAGCTGAGGCAGAACAATTTTGTGTTCGCGTGCCGGATCTTGCGGCATGGGAATTTCATTTCTTTTGCCGGCTGTCCGATCCTTTACGGCAGTGATCCAGCCACATGCGCATGGACGATGTTTGCGTTCTTTGTCACCTACACAGTGAATTCGTGTGTGGCCTGCAAATATCAGCAGCTGTCGATTCCCAGTTTACGTCGACTGTTCAGCTTCTATTACTTCCTGATGTTCGTGACCATCTGGATACCTCCGCTGCAGTTTGATGCCTTGGATCAGGCTCTCTTCATCTGGCAAATCGTAGCCATCGTCATCTACGTTGACAGTGCGGTTCATATTCCGGCATGTCTGCTTGGCTCACTGAATGCGGTCGCCCACCGCTACACGGTTAGCAGCGCGGACATGGGTCTCCTGCAGTTTGCCCCTTGCGCAGGCTTTGTTTGCTCTCCTGGCCATTATGACCTCCCTTGTGCTGGAACGGGACCACTTGGCCAGGGATCTTCGGAACACCGACGCTGAGTCGATGATCTCCGGCTTTCGCAGGGTGCTTGAAGGCGTTTGTGATGGTGGGGTGCTCCTGGATGATGGCTTGCGCATCCAAGAGGGCTCGCATGGCTTGAAACGAATTCTGTCCAACTGCGAAAGCTTCGACAAGAAGCTCTTTCAAGACCTTCTCAGCCCGAACGCAGAAGAGCTCGAGCGCTTCGCCGAGTTCATCTCAGAGACGACCCTTGCGGGGCAAAGTGTCGCCCCATGCTTGCGGCTGTCTATGCAGTCTCCTGGTGGGCGACTGGGGGTGGATGCGTATCATGTGGCCTTACCACACCTCTATGGTTCTGAGGGGATGTACCATCTTCTCGCACTGAAGAGAGACGTCGAAGAGCGGGCCATTCCTGAAGCGTAATTACGACCCAGTCCCTATAGTCAGGCATACATCCATGCGGGCGAGGCAGAGCTCGCAGCGTGGCCCCCGCTCCGATGCCTCATCTGGCGGATCCCTCGTTCGGATGGTGTCCGACATCGAGGAGCTCATGCTGCTTGTTCGGGAAGAGCACGTATGCCAACTCCACATCAAGTTCCGAGAGCCGGAGTCACACCCAGCAACTGGGGAGTCTCCAGAATCTGTTTCGGGTTGCAGACCCCTCTTACGGAACTTGGTCCGGCCAACAGACTGGGAGACGGTGCGCGCCGCGATCGAGAAATTCTCTTCTGGCCGTCAACGGGACAAGATGAACCTGCCAAGTCTCTGGGTGAAGGCCTTTGACAGGTCCGCGGCCTACATCCAATCTCGCCAAGCGTCACTGCAGCCGTGCAAAGACTTCACCAGAAGGAAAAGTGGACATCTTTGGCTGCATCTCAACAAGCTACGACACGAAGAGCGGGCCCCTAGGCCACCCAGCGAGCTTGCCGACTTGGCGGAGCTGTCGGAAAGTGGCTGAGTTCAGTCCCCACGACCTTCCAAACCCGTGTTTAGTATGTTCTCTCTCGGATTTCGCTTCAGAGGCTGATGGCATTCTCCTGATGCGTTTCTGAGCTAGGAGACTCCTCAGCCGTGTCCAGAAAGGCACCAGCTGAGGGACCAAACCAATACAATCTTTCTCAAATTCCGACACGAGCCGTGAGGGCTGTGGCCGGGATCTTCCGCCCAGTCCTGCGTCACGAAGCATGCATGTGTCGCGGCCGAGAAAAAATCCGAGCCCAACTTCAACCTTGACACCTAGAGACCCTGAACCGTTGCAGCTTGGTTGCTTCGAGATTGAGAGGAGATTCGTAGTCGGTGCAGGCAACTGAAGTAGAGCGTATCCCATGACTATCTATAAATTATATTTGTGTCGAGAGAATCCTTTGATAGTAGGGTGAGCTTGCTGTGCGACGATGTTTCTGCAAGACGTCTGCAAGTCTCACGACATGGCACACGAAGTTGAACCTGTCAGGACAGTAGGGACGACGCAGTAGGGATGATTGGTCTGGCCCCCCTCACTTGCATAGTCAATAGTCAGACAGCGTACTGGAATGTAGGCTGAGTTGGTGTTGAAGGTTTGTGGGCTGGGCGACTTAGTAAAGTTGATGACTGTGCGGGCAAAGGGACAGGGGTCACAGAGACGTTGCGGACCGGATGCATTGAGCCTGAAACGGTGCGAGTGTGAGAGTCAAAACCCTGTAGCGTTTGTCCAATCTGAGGCTGAAAGGAATGGTCAGATCAAAAGCCTTCATTCCGGATGTGCTTTGAGCAGCATTGATGTGGCCCACAGTTTTTCCAAGCTTTCTGGGGGGGGCGTCCGCCCACACCGCCCTCCCCCCCCCCCCCCCCCCCCTGCCCCTTTAAGAGGACCGGGGCGTCTACGACGTCCATGGAGGCGAGCCACGCTGCACGGAGCCCTGCAAAGTGGGAAAGAAGAGGCCGCCCGTTCGCGGTTATAGGGGATGTCCCAAGAGTGGGGGCAGTTTTTTTTATTGTTTTTTTCGGGGGTGGGGTACTTAAAACTTGGTATAGACGGGGGTATTTAAGTTGGGAAGTACCTATGTGGTTGTGTTGAGAATAACGTGTGATCAGTTACTCCATAGGTCAAGTCATGTTATGGCATGTTATGGTTATTCCATACTATGGTGATGTTCTGCGTCTGACTAAGCGGGTACTGCGATGGTTGCTTGAGAGTCTTGAAGAGCTTGATTTTGTTATAGTGCGGCCTCACAAGGATGCTTGCATCGTGCTTTGTTGGAGTTCCGGTTTCACGTTTCACGTGCGCGCAGATGCACTGCTTGGACTGACAGCCTCTATTTGCAACCGCATCTTGCCGAAGTCTTGCAGGAATGAGTTGTGTTAAGTCTAGACCCTGTGGAACCTGAGCGCTCCGTGTGCGAAGCATCCCTGACGAGGGTTCATCTGTGATGAGGTACATCCTGAACCACTTTCAGTACCGGGGCTTCTATGACGCCTTGCCTCTTTGGCCGCTTTTTGCCTCCCTTCCACAGCCCAACGATGCCTCATGCACACGTCACCGAATCGCGTGATGAAAGTTGGGTTGATGGATTGGTAGCTTGTCAAGCTCACAGGTTTACAAAGAACCTTGGCATGTTCTCCCCCTTGTACTAACAGTCCTGAACAGGGTTTATAGCCCTGTTGTAATCCCTATTAAGGAGTTAGTATAAGGGGGAACATCCCAACCCTAACCCTAAACCCTAAACCCTAGCTGAGGGTTTAAGGGGGAACATCCCAAAGACGACCCTTTTGCCAGCTGAGGCTGAGGGATATTAGCTCCCCGGAGGGATCCCAATGGATGCCACTCGGTCCGACTTAGCACATCTTGGTGGGTTTAGGGTTTAGGGTTTTAGGGTTCAGGGTATGTGGTTAGTGCAAATTCTCCTTCGAGCAGCTGGTGTGTGCTTGCCCCTGCTGCCTGAAGAAACCCATGCATCTAGTCATTCATCCGAACCTTCACCCATGCATTGCGTGATTCAGCCTAGCGCTAACCCCGCGGTACACGAAAAAATGAAACTTGAGCGCGGCGACGATTGGAGGCCCGAAGTCTGCAAGAGTAGGGTGTAAGGTTTGGGGTTTAGGGTTTAGGGTCTAGGGTTCAGGGCATGAAACATGGGTGTTGCTCGAGACGATGCAGCGACACGGTCTCGTCAAGCTTCCCTTCCTACGCAGCCCTCCAGTCTAAACAGCTTCCGGCCCCCTTGCAGTGTAAGTAAGCCTTATATAAATATAGATAAACAGATAGATAGACATATATATATATACACACACATTTGTTGCATACACACTTTTTGTTTTCGCAACTTTATTCAGCAGCGACAACCACCCCGAAGCTCTTCAGATGATGTACTCCAACCTCCTAAGCAGCCTGCCACCACACTACTGGCCAGCACTTTTTGCCTGCCGAGGCTCAAAGGGCAGCCAAAAGAAGTGGCCTTTCAGAAGCTTCAGCAGGGTGAGTCGCTCACCTCAAACCGCGAGAGCGCGCGATTGGGGGCCCCACTTAAGGGGTCTTTGGAGTCCCCCTGTGGCCTCTCTGTGCTTGGAAGCCCCGAAGCCCGAAAGCCTCAACCCTGCTTAGAAGCCCCTAAACCCGAAATTCTGAACGCTTTTGTGGGTAGAAGCCCTCTGTGTCGCTTTGCCCTCCAGGCCTGGGAACCGCCTCAAGTCCCTCGCCTTCGAGATGGTGTGCTTGGAGGCTCTGAGCTTCGGAGAAGCAGGGCGAGAGCAAACCGTACAGAATCACTAGGAATTGCTTAAGAACCCCCCCCCCCCCCCCCCCCCAAAAAAAAAAAAAAAGAAGCAAGTTAAATGAATGAGTATATATATAGATATAGTCCTCCTATCAAGGGTACTATAGGGATTATTTTGATATATTTTGGGGGCGGTTCTTCAGCAGATGGTAGATTAGCCAAGGGGAAGACGAGGTGTTTGCCAGGCATGTGGCCTTGCTTTGCCATGGCAGGAGTTTGGCCGAAGCTTGGTGCGAAAATATCACAACACTTATGGCTCCGATCATGTTTCTCGGCTCATCTTTAGGGCTAAGGGTTTAGGGTTTTTAGGGTTTAGGGTTTAGGGTGGCATAGCACAAGCCACCGCTGTGCCAAAATATGTTTGAGCACAGTACATGAGCCATTGCCACACGATCGAAAACCCCAAACCGCCTAAACCCTAGTCTCCGTACGCTGTCCAGTTTTGCAGACTTGGTTCGAGAGGGGGATTCGGGATCCGGCGGAAGGCTGCAGTATGCAAGACTGCAAGAACAGCGACACCTGCAGGTTCTCTGTGGTGGAAGTGATGTGCAGGGTAGTTTTCTTCAACACGTTTCAGTTTCCGGTGTCCCTCGCTTGAAGCTGTACATAGGATGCTACAAGATAAGCAGCTTCTTCATAAACCAAAACCGGCACAAGAGATACAGAGCGATGCACGTAGCAGGGTCAGGGCGGGCATGTGTGGCTCCGCTCCGCGTGCCCAAGCGCATCGGAACTCTACATGCTCCCCTCCCCCCCCCCCCCCCCCCCCCCCCGTGTCAGCGAGACTCCTGGGACACTTTGTCATAGTTGGGTGCCATCTTACCATTCTTAAGGGTACCTAAACCTTACAAGGACTATGTAGGTTTTTTAATATTCTACCCAAAACCATGAACTCCTCGAAGGTCCCCACAACCCTAAACCCTAAACCCTAGTGTAGGGCTTTTTTTTGTGGTTTTTGGGGGCCATCCTTCGGGGTAACCTAGGCTCCCCAGACACTGGACATCGAGCTAGAGCTGCAAGATGAGAGACTTGGCAGTACCTACGTTTAGGGTTTAGGGTTTAGGGTTTAGGGTTTAGGGTTTAATGGATTATTTTTTGTTTATATGAAACCCAAGAGGGTTTATATCAAAACCCAAGAGGATATTAGCAATTAAGGTTCTAAGGGGAAATGTAGAGTAAGGTTCGCACGACTGTCAAAGTTTGGGCTATACGGATGGGCTATTTGAGGCCTTCGAATCCCCATAATGAGACCGATAAAGGGTACTTGGCATCCTGACCAGGATTGTGAAGGACTCCGGCGTGGACAAGATACTGGGCGACGTTGCGCTGCAGGGCTACCTTAACTACAAGGCCAGGGTTTGGGGTTCAGGGTTTAGGGTTCAGGGTTCAGGGTTTAGGGTTTAGGGTTAGGGGCGCTTTGCGGCTGGACGTTGTCCGTACATGTGCTCTGGTTCTGGAGTTCTGGGCTCGCGGGCGCACTCCAGTGACTCTGAGCATGTTGCGTGCTGTGGTCTACGAGGAGTCTTCGACCTCTTTACCCTAAACTCTACCCTAAAACCCTAAAACCCTAAAACCGCCAGTGTGAGAGTCGAAAACCCTAAAACCCTAAAACCCTAAAGATGTTGGGCACTCTCCATCGGTACAGGAGCTGACCAGAGAGCTGCAACTGCTGTGCTCGCAAGGGTGTTTTTTAGAGGATAAACTGCGCGAAAGGCCCACCGCCTTCCGTCTCTCTTTGAGGGCCCCTAAACCCTTGAAATGAGGCGCTCTCATATATTAACTATATATTGGTATTCTTCTTGCTATTTCTACTATTATAGCGATCACTGTTATTATTCTTGTTCTTCTTGCTGCTCTTCTTATTACTCTTGTTACTGCTCTCATTGTTCTTTTGTTATTCTTGGTATGATTCATCCCGACTTCGCCCCCTTTTCTTGGTTTAAAGATGCCGAGGCCTCCTTGGCAGCCGCCTTCCGGAAGATCCTCTGCGACCCCGAGGATGCGTGCAACATCCGACCCAGCCACGTCACGAACCTCTTGAGCAACATGACGGTGAAGGACCGAAAAGGCACTTTTTGGAAGGGTTGAGGGTTTAGGGGTTTAGGGTTTAGGGTTTAGGGTTTAGGGTAAAAGATCTTCAGAGGCTTACGTGGCGTGAACTTGGGGGCTCCAGTCAGTCTTGGGATGTTCCCTGTTAGACTAACAGTTCTGATTCGGGGTTATAGGGCCCCCTATTGGAATTACAATCCTTAGTAGGGCTGAGAGTGCCCCCGATTAGAATCCCTATGAAGGACTGTTGGTATAAGAGGGAGCCTCCCAAAGTACGTCCCTTCGACATCTGATGTGGCATTGCATGCTGCTGGCCGATCACCTCCAGGACATCAAGCACTTCAAGGGCCCATGCCACAAGGGAGTTGCGCTTGAGGCGTAGGTTAGCATCGGACCGGTCGGGACGATCCACGAACCTGAGCCAGAATCCCCATTACGGCTCACAGCCTGCGAAGATTATGGTGTCATAGGGTTCTCGATTTCTTTTTCGGGGTCGACATGGAGAGGCATGCATCATTTGGCAACATGCCTGTGCACAGACTCAGGCAGACTTCTTTTACTGGCTCCACAGACACACCCACGGCAGACCTCAACTGATCATGCTCATAGAGTAATCTGCTCTAGGATGATACATGCCCGGCACTGAATTCCGGAACCCGGATGCGCCCCCATAACCTGAGTCCCAATCGTGCCCGGACCTTAGGAGGCGTTCCGCCCTCAGAGGGGGTGTGGTCCGCCCTCTTGCTATTTTAAATTTTATTCTCGGCCTGCCGCGAAAATCGACGAACTCCGTCATGGTTTGTAGACCTGAGCGCCGCAAAGGCCCAAAGGTAACGCAGGCCGTCAGCGAGAGCTGACTTATGCAATTCCGAGCATTGGCCAAGCCAAGATCGCTGCAAAAAGCTGCTGTCCGGTCCACCTAGCATGTGAATTGGGATGTTCCTCCCTATACTCACAGTCCTCAATAGGGATTGTAGTACCCCCGATTATAATCCCTAGTAAGGACTGTTAGTACAAGGGGGAACATCCCAACATATGAAAGGTTCCACACTCCTAGAAGCTCCCCTGAAGGCCTGGGCATCTGTGTGTTGCTGAGGCGAGCTTGAAGCATTGTAGTATATGAGTCTTTCCCAAAATAGGGGGTACGCCTCAGATACCCCAAAATGCTTAAACCCTTATTGTGGGAACCTTCAAAAAAGGTACCCTTTTTTTCGGAAACCCCATATCTATAGAGAGAGGGTACACTTGGGCCTCCCTTAATCGGTTGCACTACACCCTAGACCCTAAATCCTAAACCCTAAACCTCAAGCTGCGCTGATCCCCTTTCTCTTTGCAGGCACAGCCCAGGCAGCAGACGAGCTCCGGGATGGCCTCAGGGCGAACCAGGCAAAGGGTCCAGGGTTTAGGGTTTAGGGTTTAGGGTTTAGGGTTTAGGGTTTGCGGTTCAGGGTTCAGGCTTGTCTCTGTGCTGGAAGTCATGCATCTGATCTTGGCAGACATGGGGCTAAGAATGCTTGACGGCTCTGTGAACAGCTCCATGCGGCATTTGTGGGCAACACGCTTACCTGTGACAAGAAGGTTGGGCGAAGTTTACACAACACCGCACACGCAACTGTCCCAAGCTGGTCGGCCACACGCCCTAAAAGCAGGTCCCCAAAACCAGGTAAACATAAGGACCCTACAATTGGGGTACAAGGTCCCTTATAGAAGGGGGTTCTGGAAAACCCTACTTGTAGACTCCTTCTGTTTATGTGGTGTTTGAAGCACCCCTAAACCCCAAACCCTAAACCCTAAACCCTAAACCCACGTTCTTGAGGTTCAAGAGCTTCGACAGGAGCTCGCCGAAGGCGCTCTGTGACTGGAAGGTATTGTGTTTCGTACTTGTATGAGTATTGTTTTCTAATCTTCATACAGCTACTACTACCTAATATTGTATATATATATATATTATCTATATACATATATGTATATATATATATATTTGTTTATATTTGTTTATTCATTTTTTTACTTCTATATGATTATAACATCGATATGTATTGTTTTGCAGTTCGCTAATATCAACTGTTGCTACGTTGCTGTATGTGCATCTCGTCCGGTTTGACATAAATTTGCAGGTCTTCGGTATGTGCTGCGCCTCGGCCATACGGCATAATCCCTGACGAAGGGCAGTTTGCAGAGTGGTATAGGAGCATGATGAGTGGTGCTCTTCAGCGCTTCTCTGCAGATAGATGCTAGGTGCAGAAGTACACTGTCTGACTTCCGGGTCCCAGTTACAGAAAAATCCGTGCAGTCGGAGGAGGCAAACATTGCACTGCCCCATTTTCTGTAGCATAGTAAACATGGACATGTCAACGCAGATTGCGCAGCCAGGCACGAGGGAGTGCGAAGCAGGCTTGGAGAAGGTACCAGGCGCCTGGGGTGTTCACAGATCTTCACAGGCCACCACTGGATAGTGGAGGGTTCAGTTCTGTTGTCTTCTCGGGCGCTGAAGGGCTCAGTGGTGCACAGCAACTGTTGCTTGAGGCTCTTTCAAAGTTGCGAAGTGATGGGCTCGAAATTCTGGGGCGCAGATGCAAGAGAGCATGGTGGCATTCCCCAACCCGAGGGAGCTTTGGGGGGGTTAGGGTTATAGGGTTTGGGGTTTAGGGTTTGGGGTTGAGGGTTTGGGGCTCAGGAAGTCCTGAGCTCAGCACGAGGAGATGCAATCGAGCCCCTAGCTGCGGAGAGCCGTGCGGACCCCCTGTGGAGATGATCGGGTTTGGGGGGGGGGGTTCCGAAATTAGGGGGTCTATACTAGAATCCCTGATTTTCGCCCAAAAATCCATATCATTAATTCTGAATATCTATAGTAATGTTACGAGCTGAGTTTGAAATACGACTTCTTCTGATAGGCAGAGAGAATGATAAGGATGGTTGTCTGCATGGTCCATGAGATGCTCAATGCAGAGTCTGTCGGAAATTGAGTTGTCGCAGGCTCTATGCATCATGACTCTCACTAGAAGTTCTTATACCAAAGATAGACACTCTTGGAAGACGTACTTCTAGTAGTTCTCATACCAAAGATACTGAGGGTTGAGGGTTAGGGAACCCTAAACCCTAAACCCTAAACCCGAAACCCGAAACCCAGCAGCAGCGGGGCTTGGGGGATTGCAGCCCGAGGCGCCGCTTGGCAGGAGCTCCAGAACCTGTGGCGCTGGCCTCAGAGGATTCCAGTGCTTACTTGGCTTTGGGGTTTAGGTTTTAGGGTAAGGGTTTCAGGGTGAGGGTTTAGGGTTTAGGGTTTAGGGTTTAAGGTTTAGGGTTTAGGGTTTCGGGTTTCGGGTTTGGGGTTTGGGGTTCGGGGTATGGGTATAGGGTATAGGGTATAGGGTATGCATGGTTGGCTGCGCCTGCCCTTTTTTCACAAGGAAGGGTACGTCTCTAGGGTGTCATGTTAGCTCGGCATGAAAAGTATATCCAGTATATTTGTATATACGTAAATGGTCCTGCATTTGTCTCCATATTAGAGATCGGCGCGGGCTGAGAGAAATTTTCGATTTTCAATCTTCGGTGGGAGGAGTTTTGCATCTCATGGGGTGGGGGGGGGGGGGGGGGGGGGAAAGTTCAACGCTCCCCTCCCTGAAGATGGAAGGTTGAAAATTCCGGATCCACGGAACCAGACAGCAGTTCCAAAAACTACATTAATTACTCGCACTATAGTTATGAACAGGCGCGGTCCGTACCATCCGTACTATAGCGGGCAGGCCTTACGGGCCAGCCTTACACTCAAGCGCTCGCACTACAGTTATGAACAGGTGTGCTCCGCAACATCTGTCTTGTAGTGGCTTGTGCAGTATGTCTTCTTCTAACAACATCAAGCTTGGTGCGGCGAAACGCCCCATGCAAGTTCACAGGCGCGATTTGGCCTCTGATCTGGAGGCTCTGGCCGAGGCGGATCAGAGTGGATCGGAGAAGCGAGTCTAAGTGTTGTTTGATTCCAAAGCAGGTTTGTAAAAATGTAGGTTTCCCAGAGGGTGGAACAGAACAGGTGCATGTAGTTGGAGATATATGGTGCCAGAGTTTAACATTCTTTTTACTTGACTCTTGAAGGCTTCTTCTGGACCCATGTCCACATCGGCGACGTCACTGCGGCGAGTCTTCGACACATCCGTAGATGATGCAGAAAAGCAGCCAGCGACTCAACATCCAACCTGGCCCAGGGGGGAGTGGACGGATGTTCCTGCAAGTGACCGTGTCATCCCGAAATGAAGCAGAGCTGCCGAAAGGTAGTCTTTCGCAACACCGTGGCCCACTTTCAAGCCTCCCACATCAGCGAACCAACACCCTTCCAGGTTGAAGCTTCAACTGGATGTTAGCCCGCCTTCATATGTTGCCGAGGAGTGGCTCAATATGACAACTATAAGGTCATGTCATATAAGTTATAAGTAATTAATTATACGATTTGGATTCCCTTTTGGTCCCCTAAATTAACCCCAACCTTAGGCCTCAGGCCTTATAGGATTTAGGGTTTAGGGTTTAGGGTTTAGGGTCTGAGCCTGGAGTCAAAAAGGGCGCAACGTTAGGACAGCCTTGGCGTTGGCTGCGCGTCGGGCCCTGCAGTTCGACGAGGAGAATGGTTGCTTTTCTGGGCACTTGGAGGTTCAGGGTCCTTAGTTACCAAGTGTCAGTGTAGTTACAACCCACTTAGAAGCCCCTTGAACCCCCTAACAGGGTTATCATTGGGTTCTCAGTACAATTATACTTGGGCTACCAAGTACCCTGAACCTCCAAGTAGGCCCTTGGCATATAATTGTTTATCCCTTATTGGGGCGGGGGGGGGGGAGCAGGGGGGAAGAGGATCCCATTAGATTCAAGAAGGTGTCTTTTCTGAGGGTTATGAGGGGCCAACCGAGTATCGAGCACTCTCCGATGGGTTCCTGGGCTGAGAGCCTGCGCCTTGTGTAAGCACTGGGTTTTAGGGTTTAGGGTTTAGAGTTTGGGGTTGTGTCTCGGCTTCTGTCTTTATGCACCACGAAGCAGATGCATGAGATCCGGTGTCGTGGCCGAGCTTGGCAAGCGCCGCCCATTCAACGGAGCAGGCACTTGAAAGAAGGAGACCCTAGATTCCCAGGCCAGCCCCCCTGCTCCTGTATCAGATGTTGCCGTGCCAGGAGCTGCAAAGGCAACGCCAAAGGCCAGCTGCATAGCAAGGAGTTTCTAGAGGCCAAAGTTGTGTGACATTCGGCCAAGACACGACCCGCTATGGCAGGCGATACTTGTGGTGGAAGTAGAATTCGCAGGAAGAACGAACACGCAGTCCTCTGCGGAGCCCTCTTAGACGCATGTCCTATAAAACATCTGAACCCCGAAGCCCTCACTTAGTGACCCCGAATCCGGGGGACCCGGCTAGGTTGGTTCGGCGAAAGAAGCCGACGAAGGAAGCCGACGCAGAGGCATGGCGGTGGAGGTTAGGACACTCTACCTTAGGCACCACATGAACCTGTTTCATACAATCTGGTTGGGTTTAAAGTTTATAGTAGTCTGGGGTATATGATCCCAATTTGAGGTTTCATGTGGTGCTCACATGTATATGTATTTGTGTATTTATACGTGTCTTTGTGTATGTACCCTGATGTACATGTCATCTCGAACATGCCCTACATCAAAGCCCGTTCAAAGCCTGTGACTGTTTTGATGCCGATGCCTCCGCGGACACGTGGTGGGCACCTAAGAGCCTGACAACCCTGTCATCTACCCCCCCATAAGTTTGGGTTTTTCGGGTTTAGGGTTTAGAGTTGAGGGTTCATAGGGTTGAGGAAAGAAGGGTTTAGTCTAGGGTTCAGGATGCTGGGTTTGGGGCTTAAGATTCAGGGTTTGGGGCTTTCGGGTTACAAGCGGAAATGGTACCCTAAACCCCAAACACCCCAAAAAACCCTCAGTGGGAATATGTGCATAAAGCCAACAGGTGCCCGGGTCCGCCGAGCCCGCCCCTGCGGAACGTCTCCGTGCCTTAGGCGATGCCGTGGCGCTGCAGGCCTCAACGAGGGAGTCGCAAGCCTTTCGATTACTATCCTGTATTACTCTATCTATATACATATATATATATAGACGTGTATATACACATATATATATATATATTTGTTTTTATGATTTTTTTTTTTTGGGGGGGGGGGGGGGGGGGGGGGGCGGGGCCGGGCCGGTTGGGGGTTCCAAAGAGATACCAGTCCCTCTCCCCATCTTCCTACATATGTTTGCTTTACAAGGCATGCAGCATGCCGAAAACTTTTTGAGGCCCTGGCATCAGACGGTGAGGCAGCCGCTGCATGCTGTCCAGGACCCGGTACGCGAAGCCCACTCTTGCCAAGGCTTCCATTGCCAGCTTTGCTTTATAAGGCTTGCACAAGCCTGGCTTGGGCTACGTACCGTAGGCCCTTAGGATATGTGATGTTTCCCGTGTTGGGTTTAGTGTGCTCATATTTAGGAATGTTTTTTTCAGAGGTTTCCAGGGGTCATCCTAGTAGGTGGGTTCGTTGCTGGACTGACGATGGTGGTTTTCTGCTCTCTTTCCCGTGTTCCTGCCTAGCGTCAGATGTGGGTGAGGCCTTCTTCCATAAAGCCTGGCGCCCAAATTTCAAGCCCCAGGTCGCGAGGCCCTTGCCAAGGCCGAGGTTGAGCAGAAGTGGGATGAGGTCAGACTTTCCTGGTTTCTGCCACCTTCAGCTCTATCATGGCTTTAGCCACGTATCGGGGTTTGCGGTTTTGTGCAGGACTTCCTAGCGATTCGATCTGGGGTTGCGAGCCCAGAACTCTGAACATCTAGAGTTTTATGAACCTTAAAACCGGATAGCCAAAGGGTGCCATGTCATCACCTCAGGCTTCAGAGCCTTGCATCACTTCTCGTGGCCTTCATGCAGCGTGCTTGCTGTATTGCACCAGCTTCATCTGCACGCTGTGCGCAACAGCAAGCACCAAGAGACCTGCTACTTGCACTAGCATATTATACAGTGCCTGTGCTGCTGTCTGGTTCCATGCCAACAAATCCTCGTCTCGATCGACAGCAGCATTCAGCTCAAAGGCGAGATTCCAAGGCCAAGCCAGGATGTTTTGCGCGTGCTGCTCCCACTCCACCCCGGACGGGGTTGCCGAAGACGTCAGCATCGCCCCTTGCCAAGAGTCAGAGGTCATGTTCAAACCCTAAACCCTAAACCCCAAACCATTTGGGCTTACGGAGCAAGGATGGCCTAACTCAGACCTTCGGCATTGCGAGATGCCCTTAAAGGTGCCTGCAACGAGGTAACACGCGGCATTGTTTTTTCTCACCCTAAACCCTAAACCCTAATTAAACCATGAAGGTGTGTCTACTTGGGACTAGGCGCTTTCTGCCTCCCAGGTCCAAGCACTCGTGGACACGAAAGCGGAGGCTGAGACCGAAGCAGTGGCAGGCCGCCCCCCAATCTGGCACCTGTTTCCGTTTTGCTCTTTGTCTCTAAGCCCTAAACTTCCTGACCTCCGGCCTCCCCCATACCTCCTAAAGTCCGACAAAGCAGCCACCGTCCGAGGGAGTTTTATTCCCTTCGCGGGAGTTGCTGTGGTTATTGATGGTTACTGATTGGTAGCAGACTATAGATGTTACTACGGTTCGGAGGCGCTGAGGTGGACGTATCGGAACCGGACAGATCTTTTTGCTAGGGTCAGTATCCCTTAAAGGCTGCTGATGGTGTTGAATGTGCTCTCCTCCCAACAGCGCTTGATGTCGAACATGGGGCCTAATTCGTAAGAAATCCTGAAACCCTAAACCCTAAACCGGCTACGGGAGCAAAGAGCTTCTTGCCCTTGCGCTCCCCCCACGACATATCCTGCCAGCCACCAGCAAGCTTGGGCACATATTTCAGCCCTGTCTCGAACAAAGAATGAAGGAACAAGGAACACCAGAAGTCCATCAAGCTCACTAGGGTTTAGGGTTTAGGGTTAGGGTTTAGGGTTTGGGGTTTGGGGTTTGGGGTTTAGGGTTTAGGGTTTGGGGCGGTTGCATCACGAACTTGCGCACTTCTGCCTAGAGCCTCTGCTTGCCTTTTCTTCGCGCAGGCGTCGAACCAAAGTTCCAAACCGTGCCGCCCCCTGAGGCTCGGCTGTTTCTCGTGTCATGCGTACTCAGAGAGCTGCCATTGATTCGGAAGTGGGGCATTGTCTAGCCCATTTGGGGCAAGCTATCTATGAGGCTCCGTAGAATAATCGAGGCCCTCAACACGAACTTTGATTTACAGAAACTCTCAAGCGCACCACTGGCAAACCCCCCCCCCACATGCCCCGGACCCACAATTTCCAAGAGGGGGGGGGGGGGGGGGGCGGAGTCCGATGCCACAAGGAGAAGGAGACCCGCGAGCCCGCAACGTGGGATCCACCGGTTGAGGATCCACCGGTTGAAGAGGAAGGCGTCAGCCTAACCTTCCTGCCGCTCCAGCTGACATCATGCGAGTGTTGAGACGCTCTTTGTTTATTGATGGTGGACATGTGTGTGTGCATATTCAGCTTCATTGTCTTATATGTATATATATATATGTATACCTGTATTTATATCTTGTTGGTATGTGTGTATGTATGTATAAAGATATGCACATGTGCATGTATGCATGTATGCGTGTATGCGTGTATGCATGTATGCATGCATGCATGTACTCATGTATGCATGTATGCATGCATGTATGTATGTATGTATGTGTGTATGTATGTATGTGTGTATGTGTGTATGTGTGTCGCTTCAACGGGACTTACACACGAAATATATGTTGCACGCATCCAAGGCCAACTGCACAACGATTTTTTCTGACCCCAGGAAGTACGCAGCCTGGACAATAAACCCGACAAAACAAATATGCAATTATTGCCCACACACTATGAGCCCTGTAAACCCAAAACCCTAAACCTCCCCGCTTGTCGAAACCTCCCCACTTGAACCGACAGCCGTCCGAGTGTGAGAGCCAAATCCTCCCCACTCCTTCAAACATGTGTATATATGTGGGCATATTTCGGTTATGTATCTATATATATATATATCTGTTTATGTATTTGAATAGAGATACACATCTCTCTCTCTCTCTTTCAAGCCCGGTATACACCTAGAAGCCCTGCAGAGTCCCTAAAAGCCCTGGCCTCCCCCTTGAAACCTCTCCTCTTTACTGAGGCTACCGGACAAGAGTGCCAAGGAGGTCCGTTTCTCCCAGAAGCCACTGGGCCACTTGGCATTGGAGTCCCCCCCCCGAGAGTGTTGTTTAGGGTTTAGGGTTTAGGGTTTAGGGTTTAGGGTTTAGGGTTTAGGGTTTAGGGTTTAGGGTTAGTGGGATCCTTTAACTCTTGAAGGTTTTTGAACCAGGTCGTATCTTGAGGGAGTCAAGAAGTCTAGGATGCCTTGACTTGACTTCGAGGTTTATGAAGTGATTCTTCTGTAGGGTTACCCTAAACCCTAAACCCTAAACCCTAAACCCTAAACCCTAAACCCTAAACCCTAAACCCTAAACCGTGTCCAACTGGCGGAAGTTCAGGGAGTTTTGGGAACCACCGAGTTCGGCGTGCTCGCGCTGTCATTGTTCAAGCTTCACCACTGAGTGCGCAGTTCGCCGAGCAAGAATGCTTCTTGAGCCTAACAGCCACCGAAAGCTTCCAAGAGTTAGTGCTGAATCATGTGGCATTCCCGGCGCACCCACACGAGTTTGCGTGACACGAGTTTGCAGTAGCGGCGACCTGGGAAAGGGTTTCAGCATCCTTCAGCGTACCTGAACTTCGGCGCTGGTTCAAAGTTCAGGGCTTGCTGTCTGCGGACATGCACCTCACTGTGCACAGTATGGGGCCCTAAACCCTAAACCCTAAGCCCAAACCCTGTTTAAGGGTTCGGAAACCCCATCGTGGCCGAAAGGCATTAGAGGCATCGTTACGACACGTCAGGCTTGGACTTCATGAAGTCCATGCCGCTGACGGTCAAGAATGTGAAGTCTGGTTCCATTGCGGAGAACCTGAAGGTGGAAAAGGGTTTAGGGTTTAGGGTTGCTTCCCCGAACTTTCAGACAAGGATGTGACAGCTTGTCCGCCAAGATCAGCTCGCCCGAAAAGATACCCTCGCAGTGCATCCACGCCAGCCAGCCTTACAAAGCCACTCGAAACGCCACAAAACCCATCCGCGAAGATTGCAATAGTTGCTGTCGTGTGGCTCACAATTCGAGATCTCATGTTTTTTTGCCGGGTACTTGACGGGCAAAGTGGACCCCCCCTATCTAAACCGCCAACCGCTTCCGGAAGCTCCAATTTAAAGATCACAGCTGGAGGTGGAAAAGACGTGGGTGATCACGCACGTGCAGGGGGCGGAGCTTGCAGGCGAGCTTACGGGCGCTGTGACTCAGATCACCGATGCGATCCTTGCCTTGGTTTCATGACTGGCCCGCTTCTACACGGGCCCGCGTCTTCTCTGTCAAAACAAGAAGATTTCGTGTTGCTTTCTGGCCATTTGGCTTTTTTTATAGGTATCTTCTGCGTGGCCTGCTTTTTCGTCGCCAGAATAATCCTACTTTTCTTGAGGAAGGTGTCAACTTGTCTTGTTTTGCTTGGCTGCTTGCGGGGGGCAGGTGTTTTTGTGGTTCCCAGCAGGTATTGTACCGTTGGGTTTCAGTCCTCAAGAAAAGGGACCCGATCAAGACTACAACGGCCGTGCAAAACCGGAAACGACTGAAGCGACCGAAAGCCATGCTTTTAGGTCTTTGAACAGACCATGTGTTAGTCATTGTCTGTGCTTTGCCCAACTCCTCTCAAGTGACTACTAAACCCTATACCCTAAACCCTAAACCCTATTACGCTATGTCAAATTATTTCTGTGATTGGCTTTCAGGACTTTGAGGTGCAGCGTTCCAAACCTGATGCCGTTGCCCAGCATTACATTCCCATTTCTGCCAGGATTCTGCCGCTGTTCCGACACTAAGCCCTAAACCCTAAACCCTAAACCCTAAACCCTGAACCCTGAACCCTAAACCCTAAACCCTAAACCCTAAACCCTAAACCCTTTCCACCATGTTCTGGTGTCGATCCCTTGCCACTCCAAGATCCCAAGTGGCAGCTGTAGGGAAGCCAAAGACCTGGTGCCCTATAGGATTGGTGCAGCCGACCTCATGGCTGATAAGCATATACATCCTAAACCCTAAACCCTAAACCCTAAACCTGGCAAGGATGGCTAAGCTGCCCATCAAGAAGTGACCCGCAGACCATCGGAGGTTTCCCAAATGAGTGGTACATCCCAGAATACGTGTCCTGTGTATTCGGGTTTAGGGTTTAGGGTTTAGGGTTTGGGTTTAGGGTTGGGGGTCCCGACTTTGGGAAACGCTCCATAGTCTTAGCTGCGCCAGCTGCTGGCGGATGGCTTGCGCGAAGTCCTCACATCGCAGCGCCAGCAGAATAAGATTGTGGGGAATAGCCAGCGACAATTCTCGGACCAACTGGAGGCATGTATACTGTACTAACTTGACAAGCAACTTCCATCTCGCTGTATCTGCACTGCTTCTTCGAAACCGTGGGCTTAAGTCATTGGACGCAGCCTCCGGCACAGCGGCTGGCGCTCGATTTCTCAGAAAGCTATAGAGCTGGTCCTTCAGCTTGCGCAATGCCCGCAAGTTCGAAGAAGCCTCTCATGAACATGAGAGCTGTCCGGCAGTGTCTGCACATGTGCCGGGGTTTCGAGGTGCAGGGGGCCATCCGGGATGACGGGAGCTTGTAAACTCTTTCTCAGGGTTTAGGGTTTAGGGTTTAGGGTTTAGCGTTTATCCACGAAGGCTGCGCGGTGACCCGGAAGTGCCTTAGATGCCCGTGGCTGACTGCAAACCCTTGTTTACTGGCTGCTGGTAGAAAGACAAGTTGCCGCTGTTTTCAGAATCTTGAAAAAGATTAGGTCGGCTGCTAAAGAAGTAAATTGGATTGTTTTTTTGGGGATGCTGGGCATGCGCTTTAACAAAAATGCTACTTTAGATAGACCTGCTGGCGCATAGCAGTGCAGAAGGAGATGGCAATCGTATATTTGTGCAGTGTATATATGTGGGTTCTAGCACAGTCAGGTACAGTCCAGTGAGAAAGTTTACCAATAGGCCCAGGGCGGTTCCGATTCAATAACAGGCACTCGGCTAACATGTGGACATGGATAGGCATGCGGCCCCTCTAGGCACCAGGTTTAGGAGGCTCGTCATTGAAATGCAGACCTCGTCGAGTCGAAATGAGCACATCTGAACTTTCACACGTGGCGGTGACCTAGTCTTCAACTCATATCCTTCCAAAGCGACACGTGAGAATTCACCCCCAATCTGCATCTTGATCTCCACGCCTCTGTAAGTACGGTCCAGCTAGTCGCCAGAATGTCGCCCCGCTTTGCTCCAGCTTCCTTTTCTTGCACCTTTCTTTGCCCTGGGCTGCCAGGTGCAAGGATGGAAACAGATTCTCGACGTGCCGTCGCCTCAGTTTTCCGGATCTTCGACGTTTGGGCATAGTCGTGACAGGGGTCGATAGCTCCATCTGGGAGAGTCGAAACCTCTAGCTGGTGTTTAGAACCAAGCGGTGCGATACCCTCATGGGGCCTTCACCAAGAAAGGGTCGCTGACGATGTCTCGAAAGCCCACACATGACCGCAGCTTCATAGAGAGAAAAACAAGTTTAGACAGTGAAAACCCTAAGCCTTCTCAAAACAACAGATACAGTCAAAATGATGCATAGTGCTCATCAATGCTTTTGCTTTGTATTCCGGTTCTTTATCACGTGCTTTCGACCATCCGAATCTCAGCTCCAGCCATGGTGGCGACCTTCACTGCCTTTGTGGGAGCTTGGCTTGCAGGCCTTACGTGCACCCTTAAGTGCAAAGGGCCCCACATCTGGCATGCAGAGCCAGTGATTGCATCAAGGCGTCCTAACCTGCGAGCGGGCAGCGCGCGCGAATGATCGCTTGGGGAGGTAGACGTTTCCATTGGCCGTGGAAGCCGTCTGTGCTCCGCAGGCCTCCATTGGGCTTCGGCGACTTCGGCGCTCGCTGCGCGGTTCGATCAGGGCCTGGCGGATCCTGAGCTTAGGGTTAGGTTTAGGGGTTTAGGGGTTTAGGGTTTTAGGGTTTAGGGTTTAGGGTTTAGAGTTTCTGAAGGATTCGGGGTTTTGAGGCCTCAGGTGGTGCCGGGCCTGGGGGGGCTCCTGTTCACTTGCATCACCGCGTGAGTCGTGTCAAAGGAAAGCTGGAAGTGTCCAACATGATCCAACAGGCATACATATGTAGAGAGAGAGTCAACTATGTATTTATATATACGTATACGTGTGCACATACACAGGCCTGGCAGTTTCTCCAAGTGGTGAGTCCTCGGAGACATAGGCCCAGCGCCCAGTGCCTTCACGCTGAGGAGAAGTATCTTTGGATCCAGCAGCTCACAATCATGCCTGCGGCTGGCGTCTCAGTCAATAGAAGTCCCCCCCCTCCCCGCCCCCCCCCTCCCCCCCCCCCCCCCCTCCCCCCCCCCCCCTCCCCCCCCCCCCCCCCCTACCCCCCCCCTCCCCCCACCCCCTACCCCCCTGCCCTTCCACCTCCCTCCCAAGCCTAGGGGCTCCAAGATGCAATAGGCCTCAAAATAAAGGCGGCAATACATGTGCAGGCTCAAGAGCCGGAGAACTGGAGAACAGGAATGATCCTGACATTATCCGGGCCATGCTTCAGGCTGTAGGATTGGGGCATGTATAAGGCTCTCAAAAGCTTTGTGTTTTTCCGGTTGCCAGGCAGGTCCCCGCCTAGCCGGACAGCGCTTACATGCGGACTTAAGCGCAAAGCCTGAAGCATCGACAGGGGCAGGTATTGTGAGCTGTGCTACTTCAGAAGCCTTGTAAGCTTTGACGTCGGCTTCCACCTGATCCTGCAAAAAAGCACCAACAAGAACCGACACACACAAGGGGCATATTTGCTGAGTGTCTCACATGACTCCCTGCTTTGCGAAGGCCGAATTGGCACGAATGGATTGTGGCTTAGCATGCGAGATGCTGCCGGAGGTCGCGCAGGCAGTTTGAGATATTCTGGGGCTCCATGAAAGAGCTAGGTGAATTGGGTCCTTTGGTCTTCCCGCTTCTCCCTTCTTTTGATTGGTTATATCATGAACATCGGCATCGTGCGTTGCGCTGCGCCACTTCCAAAAACCCCTCCACCGTTTCAAGCTGTTCACTCTGTAGAAGATCAACATTTCAGTATTCGGAGGGGCCCGGCGTTGGCTGAAGTTCCGCCTCTCATTTGGCAATTGGGAACCCCTGAAACCATGCAAACCCGAAGGTTCATGTCACGGAGGACAGTGCACCCTGGCGGCACATTTGTGGCAATCGAGGGCCTCCGGCCTTGGGTTCCCAAAGATTGTCAGGATTGTGTTTGGTGTACTGCCTATTAAATTGTAGGGCTGCAGGAAAGAAGGAAGGGAGGGAGGAAGGAAGGAAGGACGGAAGGAAGGAAGGAAGGAATTGTCTTGGGGGCACGATGTGAATCTCAGGTCCGCCCTCGGGTCGAGAACAGCTCCCAAAAAAGGTTCAGGGGTTTAGGGTTTTGGGTTTGGGGGTTCCTAAACCCTAAACTGCCCTAAACCCTAAACCCTAAACCCTAAACCCTGTTTTGGGCGACCCGCCCGCGAGTGGTGCTCCCAGGGGCCGCTCAACACCCGGGGTCTGGTGGCAACCTACGGAGGCGCGGAAAGAGGGCAAAAACAAAACATCGATATTTGAGCCTCGGGTTTAGGGTACGTTTAGGGTTTAGGGTTTTGGGTTAAGGATGTTTAAGCAGGTGAGGCAGAAATAGAAGGTCAAGAGACTTCTAAGGAGGCTAAGAGATAGTGAGTAGACAGGAGAAGGGGCATGAAGGTCCAGAATGTGGGGGGGGGGGGGTCTTGTGGCCTTTTTGTTCCGCGAAGCCGAAGCTCCCAGATTATAACCCGAGCAGAGTTTGTATCGCTTGCGCGCTTTACTTACGTCCAAGCCGAAGTGGCACTGTACAGGGCTGCAGCTTTTCAAACCCGAAACCCGAAACCCTAAACCCTAAACCCTATAAACCCTCCCTAACCAGAAGTTGGAGGCCCTGCAAGTATCCGGAAGCCCTATCCAGAGTACTAATTCTACAGTGCACCTCATGCCCGTTGCCCTAGTTCCCTTTTTGGGGCCCTTACATGGTACGGCACCCTTGCAATAAGGACCCAAGAAAGGGAAACTATATTTCGAGAACTACACAAAAACCTGTCCGTCTCCGCACTTCTCGAGGTGACGACTGCCTTGTGAGCTTCAAGGGCTCCACCAGCATCACCAACTACCTTCTCGGGGACCGTGCTCATTTCTCGCATGCCTTACCAGCTTCGCCACGGAAACAAACACGAGGCCGACAGCCTCAAAACTGCATACACCTCGACAATTCCGACGTCCCGAACCGAGCCCCCACCCTCTGTCCCGATCGCAGAATCTGGGAGTTGGCAGGATTTCGACATCCTTCTGGACCGGCCCTTTAGTTCCTGGGCTGCTAAGTTGCTTCCTGTTATGGTAACATGCCTTGTAGCCAGTCTACTGGTTCTGAGACGATTCCAGTGCCCTGCTCCCTATAAGACTCTATGGCGAACATCTCAAGGCTTTCATGTGGGGCTTCTACGCTTGGTCCATAAAGCCCCCAAGTGTACCAGAACAAGTCTGCCCCTTTGCGCACCTTTTCTGCGCAAGCTCCGCCAAACCGCTCTAAAAGGATCTGAAGCACGCGGCCCGAGCATCGTGCGTGTGCAGGCTCCTGCCCGGACTGTCGCGTTCACAAAGGCCTCGAGGGATGAACGCTTCTTAGGGATTCTCGGGTTGTACGCAGGGCGCTGCCAGATTTGATTCGAAATTCGGTGTGCCCCTACGACCAGTCAACGGCATTTCCCAAGGGATCCCCCAAGAAGTTCCCCGGAAATTTCGGGGCAGGCAGGAACAAGTTGAATGTGGCACCCCCCCCCGTCTCAATTGTTTTTCGTTTTCTGAGCCACCCCCAAGCCCTGACCTACCAAAACGGCCCATAGAGAAAAGAATCGGTCCCCGGGCCGGGATTCCTTACTTGAGGGAGGATTTATAATTGAGTTCCGGGCTTGGGATTCCTTAATAGAGGGGGGGGTTTTATGAATCTGAGGCTAACATGAAATTTGTGAGCTGGCACAGAACCGGGGACTGCGTTGAGGATGGCAGGTGGTTCACATGCATCCCCCAAAGACACCTGCTTTTCAGAGCCCGACCTGCTCTGAAATTCCAGATGCTCTTTTTTTCAAGACACCCTAAACCCTAAACCCTAAACCCTAAATCCCAAGAAGAGGATTCTACAACAGCTGGCGCAGTCTTCAAGACGAAACACAGCGAGCCCTCGAAGATCTGGGATGCTCCTCGCCGACCAAGGGAAGATGCGATAAAGTTGCATAAGTTGCCAGGTCTGTTTTGCGGGAGGGCTTTGGGCACAGTAGCGCCACGTGACATGCTCTCGAAACTTTAGAGGCCTACTGTTGCGCAATAGTTGAAAGGGAAAGGTTCCGGGTGGTGGCATGGTAGGATTAGTTTAAATTAGTTTTGGACTGCTGTTTTCCATGGCCCGAAAGCTCAACGCAATTCCGCTGCACCTTTTTTTAAGGTGATCCTGCCACAGTTTCGAAGAAAAGTGCTCCACGAATCCACCACTTCGCACCACTGCTGAGGCGACAAGAAGCCGCTACGAGTTTCTGGCCACTCCCTAGGAGGCACCGGAGCGTTCTTGGAATGTCAGGGTTTAGGGTTCAGGCGGTTTAGGGTTAAGTAATCCGGATTCGGGTTTCTGAGCTGTCGCTCTTGAACAAACACCTTGACTCGCTTCTGTTCAGCCTACGGCTTGTAGGGCCCAACCAGGCTGGCCACTTTTTGTAGATGCCAAACCTGACCATGTTTATGCTTGCGAGGGCTAACACATCAGGGCCCGGTGCCGGGGTTTTTACTCCCCAAGAAAGGGACCCTGTTTGCCCATCCGCACCGTGCAGGTGCCATGGCGCTTCTGGCGGCCTTCCAGCTGTCCGAGAAGTACCAGATCAAGGAGATGGATACACGACCTCTAGACTTCGAGGTTTGGCTATAGGCCTTGCACCTTCCAGAAAGCTGCAGGAGATCTACACTTTTGGTCAGCCCCGTACCTCAGCATGCAAGAGCATCAGGAATCACGGGTGTGGATCCGTCAGGTCTAGGAAAAATCTTCCGGGTGCGCCTTCGCTCAGGCGTGGGCAATGAGGCGTGGGTGAACGCCTTCGAAGCTCGCATGGCCAACGCATCGTTTTTCAGGGTGGGGTGCTGCTCCTTGCTGATGTGCAGTGCATACTATACAGAGCTTGGGAAGTGCTACACAGAATTCAGAAAGCTGCGAGCCAGCCCCTAGAGTACCGCTTAAGGGCAGAGCATAAGGGGCTAGGGGTCCAGGTTTCAAAAGGGTTTAGGGTTTAGGGTTTAGGGTTCTTAAACTCAGACCGCTGGGTATCAAGTCTGCAAGAGGTGGTGTCCTACATGGATCCCGTTCCTCATCTGCCCCCTTCCTGGCTCATGGGCTACCGGCACGTTGGGGCGGAGGTCGCCGCTTCCGGGAGTTTTTCGGGCTTTTGGGGCCAGAAAAGGGTTAAGGGCTTGTCATAGTATGTATATATATATATATCTATTTATTTATTTATTTATTTATTTTTCGGATGTGAAGGGCAAAGGCAGGGGTACCTGAGCTTAGGGAGGCCCAGCAAGCGTCTGGACCTGCAGGGCCACGTGATAAAAGACCCCCGTCATGATGCTCACCTCCCACTCCACAAATGTGCCCAATCACTGGCTCAGGTGGTGCAGTGAGCGTCTGACGCACATGTGAGGGACCTCTGGTTTGGAGTTTGATGTGACTAAACGGCGTTCCGTTGCAGGTATGGTACAACACCACTTCCTTGGGAAGCCCTGCCTTTTGTGCCGCAGGTCCGGGCATTGCACTTCAAAGCCAAGTTCGTTTAGTTTAGGGTTGATAGGGTTGAGTCATTGAGAGGGTTGAGAGGGTCTAGGCCTGCGTTGCCAAAGCTGAGGCCGTGACCCGGAATCGAAGCTTCAAAGCCACTAGTGGTTTTCCACACGCACTGCAACCGCTCCCATGGGACCATGTGGCGGCTATTGAATGACGCCACCCGATTTTGCAGCTTCCTGCAAACCCTGTATGCATGTTTTGGAGCCATCAAAAATCTTGAGCCCGACTTTCATGATGATACTCATACGTGAACTGTTGTTTCAACAAGACATAAAACATGTGTATACATATATATATATGTATATACATATATTAATTTATGTATATACATGTAGCTCTCTTCTAGTATACTCTTGTTTCTACGTTACATAGTGAGTGGTGAAGCTCGCCGCCCCCCGAAGGCCAGGAGGACTGCAGCGGCCAGTTCTCAGTGTTGCGCTGCCTCTTCCACACCTGCGACCACTGCTCCTACTTGGGACTGACGCCCGGCAGCCTCGGTGGCTTCTTACGGGGCGGCTAGGGGTTGAAACCCTAAACCCTAAACCCTAAACCCTAAACCCTAAACCCTAAACCCTAAACCCCCACATGAGGGTTTCTGGAGAAGCAAGGGTGGCCCAATACGCTTCAAGCTTGACACGTGCTCAGCCTGCAATGCTCAGGAATCCCTGCAAGCCAAACGACCCCCATCCTGCTTGCCTGCAAGGCTGTGGCTGATTTTTTGTTGTTTTGTTGTTGAATTGTTGAAAGGGGGGGGGGGCTCGGAAGGCTGCTCTTGAGTAGTGTTCACTTCATATTAATAACCCTCCCCCCCCCCTGTGGTTACAGGCCGCGGTCTCCGTTATGAAAAGCCCCTGGACTTACCCTGACCCAAACCATCAAGATTGCCTTGCAAAGCCTTACAGCCTTAAACTTGACGCAGCCTCAAGGAAGGCCCAAACCCGAACCCCAAGCCCCAAGACTTGCAAGCCCTTAGCCCTTTTCAACCGGCTTTGGCCCGGAAGGATTGTGCAAATCCGGGGGGTGTTATAATTACGTTCTGGGATTTGGATTGTGCATTTACGGAGGGATCAATATGAGGTCAACATTAGGCAGGCTATGGACGCTCGGAGTTTTATTTGGGCAGGTGCTGGTTACAGATGAGGACGCCAAGCCTTTATGCTTTGGCTTGATCGGCTGGCAGCTGCCAATGTGCGTCATCTGCAGGTCCAGCACAGCCGAAACCTGTCATTGATGCACGCGAGTGCTGTCCGAAGAGGACATCGCCATTAATTAACGACACGAACGGCTCGCCGTGGTCCAACGCGCCAGTCTGTAGAGCTCCCGGCGCTGGACCCACTTGTACAGGGAACCCACCTTCGGGCCACGGAAAGAGCGGGCGAGTGGGACGGCCCTTAACATCACGTAAGGTAACTCCCTTTACAGAGGCAAAGGGCGTTTATCCACGCAGCTCCATGACATGGCCCATTCATGCCAGGACTTTACACCATTGAAGCACCGCTGAATTCGCAACTTCAAAGCCTGCACCCTGCTTGCTACATATAACTACGAAGCATGGCCAGGGGGGAGCGGCAGAAAACCTCTCCAAATCCAAGTCCTCCGAGGTACGAAAGTGGGCAGGCACCCCTGGAGGAGGCCAAGCAGGAGGTGGAGGCCGCAAGTCACCCTAAACCCTAAACTTTGGCCCTAAACCCAAAACCCTAAACCCCAAAACCCTAACTGAATCGCCTCCACGCTGCCATTTCAGAGACCTTTGAACTGCCGGCCCCTGCACCTGGAGTGGTTTTGAGCATTGGAGAGACACCGAGTAGCTCTTCTCGCCGCTTCTGCTGCGCCAGATCCCTTTTTGCGCCAACCCCTATAAGGCCCTATCCTTGAGCCGATACAGTCTCTGCAAATCTTTGCAAGGCCGCTGGTGGACTGTCCTCCGAAGCCGATCGCGTTGCAGGACCTGCACGTGTGGGCGGAGGGGGGCGCTGGGATCGGGAGCTTGTGATGCATCAGCACTGCTGCTGTCTGCGTTCTTGCAGCCAGGGACATGAAGCACAAGAGAGATGGAGAGATGGGCAAGTTGTGGGCTTGCTAGGTCTTGCGATCGATGTGGCACGTTCTCACACTGCAAACAGCAGTTGGCAAATTTTACATGAGGATACTGCGATGGTAAATGGCCGGAACTGGCCCATTGCACTTGTAACCATGCCTGGAATCGGTATCAAAAACAAGTTCGACTCGCTTGTCCAGACTCCTAAGTTTAAGCGTGCTTCGCCGCGGTTCCTTCTGCCATGTTAACTTACGCGTCCGCATGGCTGCATATGTTTTATGTCGCATGAAAGCACTGACATCAGACATCCACTACCAGACAGCCGGCAAGGCACAGCCTTCAGGGCGCGAAGCCCTAAGGCATCCTAAACCCTAAAGCCTGCGCAAGATGACATGCTCAAATCGAGAAGTGCACCAAGGAATGAACCAATCATGTGATTGCGAGAGGCCACCGTTTGGTGCAACAAGTTGCGAGAGACCAAAAGCAGGGCCACAGCCTCATAACCTCAAAACCGCCATGTACTCCAGGGAGCTTCTTGTTCTTATAGTGCTCCTTGTATGTTATGGGATCATTTGTTGTTGGGTTGTTTTGTTGACAAGGGGTTCTTTCATCAAAGGTACGTTCCAACACACCTTTGAGCTGTTGGTTCGGGTTTCCTGTTGCGCTTGGTTGGGTGCAACATGGGTTGCCACTGCTGCTTCGGCAGGGGATTTCGAGAATTTGAGCTTGGCTTCCTTCCTGGATGCGGTAGAGAAGTCTCCTCGCAGCGCCATCAGTTCATCGTTCTGTCCTTCAATCGGTGTCTTTTAAACCAGGACGCACGGTAATTTATGAATAGTTATGCGCTAGAGCAGGCATGTCGAAGCGGAAAGGGGTGTCGCTGCCCATGAAAGCCTGGAATCTCCGTTTGCCGAGGTGCAGAGGCTTGCTTGAAAGCCGTGGAGAAAGCCTTGAACACGGACCTGCAGGGTTTTCTGGGGCCGGGTCAGGAGACATGCCTATTATATTCTATGGCCCAACAAGCGACTCTGTCCAATTTAATCGCTTTCCTGCAACAACCAGAGGAAGGCTTACATGTTGTCGCATGAATGTTTCTTGCCCGTGCTTTCTTGCCCGTGCCTTCTCTGTCCTCTCTGTCGCCTCTGGACGGTGCAAACATCCTACAGCATTGTTTCCTCTTCACTGCACGTCTTCTCTTAGGTGTACAACCTCCATGCAGAGGGGTCGGCTTGGTATCTGACCACTTAAAGGGAGCCTACCTCAGCCTCAGGTATGAAAGTTTGCATGGATTTGCCAGGATTCGGGCCCGCTGGACGAGCTCATCGAAGCGCAGCAACAGGTCAGGGGCCCTTCTTTTCTTTACGGGCTGGTGCCTGGAGGTGTGAGCTGAAGCGACAAAATCGATGGCTTCCAAGGTTGTCAAAAGCATTTCTTCGGCAACACTGTAGTACTATATCTGCAATACTCAAGTTTCGGCTAGTGACCCCACACCCTAAACCCCTAACCCCTGAGCCCTTGGTGCCTGTGCTTCACTCCGTGCCATTTGATATGGCAATCTATTCGAGCTCCCGGATTGCCGCGCCACGTCTCCCTCCACCTCTGCGTCAGAAGGGTTTCCGACCTTCGTTCCGTCAAGAGAACAACTTCCAAGTGATGTCTTGATGGCTGTGCGGTCTTACTGGGTAGATCGTGTACCACAGGAGGATGCTGGTAACCCTGAACCCTGAACCCTCAACCCTTTGAGATTGAGTCCAGGTAGTCAGAGACCTGATGAGCGGTTCGACCAGCCATTGTATGCGGGTGCCCAGAAAACCCCAGACCCAAAACCCTAAACTGGCGACTTAACCCTAAGCCCTATAAGCCCTAAACCCTAAACCCTAAACCCTAAACCCTAAACCCTAAACCCTAAACCCTAACGAAGTTTCGTGAGACCAGGCCCGGAGTGTGAAGAGCAATGGCGGCTCCACGCGGCGCTCGCGTGGTGCGGAGGCCTCCCCGCCGTCCGTTTAGGGTTTAGGGTTTAGGGTTTAGGGTTTAGGGTTTAGGGTTTAGGGTTTAGGGTTTAGGGTTTAGGGTTTAGGGTTTAGGGTTTAGGGTTTAGGGTTTAGGGTTTAGGGTTTAGGGTTTAGGGTTCAGGGTTCAGGGTTCAGGGTTTAGGGTTTAGGGTTTAGGGTTTAGGGTTTAGGGTTTAGGGCTACTTTTCTCCAACCCACCAGTCGCAGAGACTTCGGTTACAGTTATCAGGTTCAGTGAGATCAGGGTGACCTGGAGGAGTTTGAGGCCCTGAGTTGCAGGGGGTTTAGGGTTTAGGGTTTGGGGAAGTGGCAAGCCCCTTGCACAGAGGGTTCAGGGTTTAGGGTTTCGACCTGCGTGTTTGTAGGTTCCAGGATTCGTAGGCAGTCTGTTGAATGTGCTTTTCCAAAATAAAAGGATACCCCTTGCCTACCCCAGATATGCTACGGCCCTCTTCCTAAGGACCCTAAACCCTAAACGCCTTTCTAAGATTCCCCCCCTTCGGAACTGACAGGCAAGATAGGTACCCTACATTTGAGGAAGCCCCCGAAAGTCGGCTCGTAGGTTACTGAGGTACAAGACGCCAGTTGAGGGCTTTGGGGTTTTCGGGTTTTCGGGTTTTCGGGTTTTCGGGTTTTCGGGTTTTCGGGTTTTGGGTTTAAGGCTTAGGGTTTAGGGTTTAGGGTTTAGGGAGGGGGATAGGGGATAATTTCGCTGCCTTGGGAGGTCGTGGCACAGGTGCAGACGTGGGACGTCCTCGAGGAGGCCCAAGGCAGGGCCCCAAACCCTGCGAACTCAATCCTTAGCCTTCTCAAGCTTGTTCCAAGCACCTAAACTCCTCAACATATGTTTAAAAAATATGTATATATATATATACACACGCATATATATATATATACTCGGTTGTATATATCTCTATCTCTCTCTTTTTACATTTACGCATCTGCCATTGCACTACGCTCCTTAGACATTACCATTGCTTCTACATTACCGCCAGTGAACATATGTGTGGGAAAGCCTAGGCTTGCAGGGACGTTCGGGGAGCAGCAAAGGTTGCCATGCTGGCGATAAGAAACATTGTAGGGTTGAGGGCGTAGGGTTAATAGAAATGTTAAGAATTTAGGGCTAGCTAGGGGAGAAAGGGCTAGCTAGGGCACAGTTTGTTTCATACAACGCCTCCTGCCCTGTTTCTGCACGTTGCGTGGGGCCCAACCTCAGTGGCCTAGGCCTGCTCAACGCTCTGAAGAAAGGAGATGTTCAAGGCCGAATCTGTGTCTGTGATGCTGCAGCCAGCGGTTGCTGCTGGTTCTGCCCTGGGCGTTCTATCAAAATCGCCCGAACTCCCAGATTCTGCTGGGAATTAGGTCCGGGTTCTCTTCAGGGATCAGAGATGTGGCGCGTTTCTTGCGCCGGGGCGCCCAAGACCGCCACCCGGAAGCCTCCAGCTTTGCACGATGTTCCTTGTCCTTGTTGAGCCCAGAGCATCTGCGAGGCGACGCGAACTCAGCCGAGACCATGCAGGTGCTGAAGCGGCTCGGTGACGAGGTCCCAAGTTATTTGGGGGGAGGGGGGGGGGGGGCCGATGTTTGAGGTTTTGGGCGGGCCTTGAGGGGTTCAGGATAGGCCCACACTTGGCAGGCAGCCAAGCAGCTGGATGCCATCTCCACAACACACGTGAAGGAATCCAACGCGAAGGAGCCTGTCTTGAAGGGTCTGCCGTTTGAGAGTTGTGTCAGTGTGCCACTGAAGCCACCACCACCCCGAGGCAAAAAAAGTCCAGTCAGCTCTTGACTCAACCGAACAGGAACTCCTGGGACCTATATGTTTAACCCCTCTAGAAGCTCAGAACCCTCAAGCCGACCGGAGGAGAAGCCGGAGCAGAGGGATGCTGGCTGCCAGACTATCTTCCGTTTGGGCGGCATGGCCTGGCGCCCTAGGAACAGGTCTTTGCAGGAAGGTTAGATGATCTCTGCAGGGGGGGGGGGAAGAACATCGTAAGGTATCACTAGCAGGCCGCAGCTAAGCCCAACACATCCCTGACCGACCAAGGCATGGCATGCCAATCCAGCCGTGCAAAAGCTGACTCTTGGCAGCGATGTGGGTTCAGTTTGTGACTAGGACCGGGAGTAGGCCCCTTTTTCCTGGTTTTTAGGGTTGGGGTTCCCTTATAATCCACTTAAAACCAAAAAGGGTACCCTTGTTATTCCTAGCTTACTCCCGGGTCTAGGTGAAGGTGGTACCCTGCTTGATTGATGTTGAGGCCCGAGTCTCAATTCGACAAAATTCTGTGCAGGAAGGAAGAAAACAACAATACAAAGGTTGAACATAGTCAAGAAAAGCAACTTCATGCCTAGGGCCTACATTCTTAAATTTTAAATTCGGGTGTCTAGAGCCCTTCCATCTCGGTGCAAGTCTCAGTCGCTTTTGAAGGAGGGTCGCCTTCGTAGCGCAAAGCAGCTCAGCAACGTCTTGTGGCGGACCTTCTCCAGAAATATACCTGTTAATGACGAAGAAGGAGTACATTTTAAATGAATGGAAGCTGTCCCAACAGAGCGTTGACAAACACTGACACCTCTGAGGCTTGAGGAGTTTCATTTTCGATTAAGAGCGTCGTCGGGAAAACACACACGCACTTATGGCAACTTGTGGGCACAATCGGATGCCGCATTCTCGCACAGACATGTTGCGGCTGACAGCTTCCCTCCCTGAAGCATCCCTTTGGTTCGCCTGAGGTTGGAGGAGCTGATGAAGGCCGGGAAAGAAGCGAAGTCGAGTCGTTCTGACAAGGGACTGCATGAGATCATGCGAGGGATTTTGTGAGAACACCTCGTTCGTGTTCGGCTCATCGAGGCGATCCCATCAACTCTTCCCCGATTGTGTCTGGAGTGTTGGAGTTTTGCGGCATGATGCGCTTTTTTGTGCTTTGGCTCGAGCGCGGGGCCCTTCCCCCGCAGCTGCGTCTCTCAAGCATGCCTGTACAAACCCCGCAGCAACCGGTGGTGGTGGCGAGGCAAGTCTTCCGATTCTTGCATCGTGCGGGTGGCCTTGCCGACGCGCACTACGTCACAGGCAAGTACCTGGATTCGGCTGGCACGCTTTGCATATTCTTGCCTAGCTACCTCGAGCACCATGAACGAGCCTGCGCAGCCAAGGTATCGGTGCAAGAAGCAGTGGCTACTAGACTTCGAAGGTGGAAATGTCTTCGAGGCCCCAGCACATGTCAGCCGCACCCCCAACCCTCGATTTCTTCAACTCCCTCAGGGGGTTTCCCAGATTGTCCTCAACCAATTAAGCCCTTAGAGCCTTAGATGCAGACGTGGGCAGGAAGACGGTGATAAGCTCAAGCTCAAGGGAGGTGCCTTTGCCGTGGCTGCAGCCGCCGCCGCAGCTGGTCGAGTTAGCAGAAAGGCTGGCCGCAGGACCTTTTTGCGAGATAAGACCACGCTGACAGTGTAAGAACATCAAGGATGTCTAAGAGGTGTTGCCTTTCATGGCATTGCGGAATATGTCGGTCGGTCTCTGTTCAAAGCGTGCCCCAAAAAGTTGGTGAGGGGCTAAGCCATTCAGAAACCCTGACCCCATCCCACTTTCCGCTGTACGGCACAGGAGCTCGCCGGCGCACTTGCTCACGAAAGCAGGCTTCGCCACCCAGAAGGCGCCCGAGAGGCGCCTGAGGCAGCGTCCCTCGTCGCAACGATGTTAGGGTTCGCTCATTTTGTGCAGCTTCCCTAAATTCTAGGGTCCCTTTTTTGTGGGGCTCCTCTTACAATACGGAGCCTTCAAACGGATACCCAGGCAGGGCCGCTGATGTAGAGAGTAGAGAACCCCCCCCCCCCCCCCCCCCCCCCCCCCCCCCCCCCTACATGAGCAGCAGCGCTGTGATCTCCACACCCAGCATCTACTGCCTATAGCTCCCTTAGGAATTACTTTGTAATTGCTTGTTTAATTTTCAAGAGAATATGAACAATACTGCTGTTACTAAGGTTCTAGGTGAGTATAGCTGTCCACCTGCAGCCTTGCACGAGGCATTGAGGGCCTCCTGATGTCTGCCGGCGACGGGGTGCTTCCCTTCAAGGCCCACCAGAAGAAATTGTAGTGGGAACACCTCACGACTACCGGACTACCAGTCAGAAGGAAGGTTTTATAGGCTCAGGGAACAAAAAGAGTGGCGACCACACAGTTGTACTGCAAGGATCTGGCACTCCTTGGCAGCATGTCTATAGTTCTCGGTGCAAGCCTCAGGCGGTGCTCCGGGCTTTGGCCCTGAGGCCCTCGCACGCATTGACCCGATGGCTTCCCAACGCAGATTTCCGCATGGCGCCCAACGGGGACTGCTGGTTACCGGTTCTTGCTGAGTTGCGACCTTTGTGTTTTTTATTCTGTAGAATCCGGTCAGTGACATCATCTCTGACATCTCCATCCCGGGCCTTCCCCAACTTCCTGCAAAAAAAGTATCGCGAGGACCTGTGGCTTGACAGCTACCGCCTCTTCCACTTCAGGCTCTATCGTGCGCTGCGCGCGGCAGCCTTCATCACGGAGCCCGACGTAGGGTTTGGGATCATCGCCGCATAGTCGGATTTAGGGCTTAGAGGGTTTAGGAGCTACTGTGGCTACACAGGTTCGAGGGCATTGTTTCCATGCAGGCACATAGCACATTCTTGGCGCTCTCCCAACAAGCCCTAACAGCCGATAACGCCCGCCCCCCCCCCTCCGCCCCCCCTCCCCCCCCCCCCACCCCCCCCCACCCCCTTCCCCCCCCCTCCCCTCCCCCCCCCCCATCCCCCCCCACATCCCCCCCCCCCTTCCCCCCCCCTCCCACCCCCCCCCACCCTCCCCCCCCCCCAAAAAAAAACTAAGAAAGTAAATTCATAAACATGTGTACATATAGAGACATATCTATGTATGTATATATACATATACACCTATGTACAAGCTACATACTTTTGTATATATATATATATATATATTTATATATGTGGAGAGAGAGAGAGAGAGCATTTTCATTCATAAGACACCAAGGCCCGTGCCAAGAATCCTCCCCACCATGAATCAAAGCGAGTTATCCCAATTCCCAGCATGCCCTGCTTCGGTAGGGTTTAGGGTTTAGGGTTTAGGGTTTTAGGGTTTTAGGGTTTTAGGGTTTTAGGGTTTTAGGGTTTTAGGGTTTTAGGGTTTTAGGGTTTTAGGGTTTTAGGGTTTAGAGTTTAGCTCTCTTCGTCTCTCTCCATTCAGAAACCCCGAGTACTTCGGGTTAAGGGCTTAGGGTTTAGGGCTAGGGTTTAGGGCTTCGGGTAGTCATACTGGTAGCGACGGCAAGACTAATGAGCATTCCGTGGCAATACTCGTTAGGGTAGCATAGTACTCGCACTACTGCTTTGTCAATAACCAGGATAACAGTAATACAATTCCTAAACATAACCAAGCACTAAGAAACATAATCTGAGTCATAACAATACAGGCAAATAACATCATCCCCGTAGGTTAGCCAAAATAGGAAGAATGGGACTTTGTGATAAGAAAATTCAAAAGGAATCAAGAATAACCCTAATCAGCAATAAATAGCGAATATTTGTCAGACGACTAGTACAAAAACAAAACAACCGAATAGCACCAACACAATAGTCGTCATAATTCGAAACAAGAATAACAATCACATAGAAGCGCGAAACATAGGAAGAGCAGCAAGAATTGCCCTAATAGTCATCATACAGCAACAAACCCAACATCAGCCAGAAGATTTTCTTGAAACCGGGAAACATAGCAGGAAACCGGACACCGAATATTTGCCATAAGACTCCCTTTCAAGAATCGTGAAATCAGACAGAGGCTGCGAGAAGAGGAGGGAGTCAGCAGAGTACTAGGGTTTAGGGTTTAGGGTTTAGGGTTTAGGGTTTAGGGTTTAGAGGGTGTGAACTGGAGGAGCGAGATGGCGAGGCGCCACTTCAGGAGCTGATGGAGTGACGCGCCTGCAAAGGTTTTTTTTTTTTTATCAGGGTCTAGGGTTTGGGGGTTTAGGGTTTAGGGTTTAGGGAGAGTCCTGGAAAAACAAGAAAAGGGGGAGCAGAGGATTTTGGGTTTATAGGGGTTGCGATCGAGGATTTAGGGTCAAGCAAAGGCCCCTTGTTTGAGCGAGAGCCAAAAGGATTACAATCGGGGTTGTGGGCGGACTTTCTGGATTCCGAGCAGGTAGCTCGAAGCACTGATACGTTCCGAGCTTTGTAGGGTAGGGGGCTGCTTTGCGAGCATCTCCTTTATAAGGTATAGACGGTTTAGGGTTTAGGGTTTAGGGTTTTGGGGGCGCTTTGGGGCTTTTTGAGTGTGAGTCTTTGAGCCTTTGCAGTGCTCAGGGTGAAGTCGACAGCTTGCATAATCTGGACGCAGAGTTCACATGGCCCTTAGCAAGAACGGACTGAAATCCTGACCCTAAACCCTAAGCCCTCAACCCTAAACCCTAAACCCTGGAGTTATCCCAGAGGGGGTCTGCTAGGCGGATGGCAAAAACCCTAAACTCCTCTTTGTGAGGTACCTCTACCGCCCCTCCGAGCTTCAAGACATCGAGGAGGCGAGGAATGACACGCTTGCCATTCTCGGTTTTGCAGGGGCAGCGCAAGAGCATCAATCCAGCCCGAGGAGGTCACGTTAGGGTTCAGGGTTCAGGGTTTATAGGGTTCAGGGTTCAGGGTTTAGGGTTTAGGGTTTAGGGTTTAGGGTTTGGGGTTTAGGGTTTAGGGTTTAGGGTTTAGGGGCCCCCCAAAAGTGCGCCATCGAAAGTTTGGGATAAGAGCCCTCCGTTCAAACTGGGGCGGGCGGGGGGATTCTTTGAAGGGGAGCTGCCCTATATGCTTGAGCTTCAGGGCGCCCGGGGTGGGCAGAGCACCACCTCAGAGCTCAAACCCTAAAACCCTAACCCGCCTGAACCCCAAAGCCCTCAACCCGAAAGCCACACTATAGAGCCCTAAGTTCCCAAAAACAACTGCAAGCCCTAAACCCTAAACTCCCTTAAAAGCTCTGCAAAACGAGGTGGAGTTGACTGACGATGGCCGCCAGAAGTCCTATGAGGCCGGGCTGGCGCCCAGCGCCCAGGTGGAGGAGTGTCTCGGAGCGAAGTAGAGGCACCTTGTTGTTGTTGTTGTTGTTGTTGTTGTTGTTGTTGTTGTTGTTGTTGTTGTTGTTTTTTTTTGTTTTTTTTTTGGGGGGGGGGGGGGGGGGGGGGGGGGGGGTGGGGGGTGGGGGGGGTGGATTTAGGATCCCTAAACGAAAGGGTTTTTTCGGGTTTAAAGGGTTTGCAGCGTTTGTTTGGTTGTTAGGGGTCTTGGTAGGGTTATGGGGTTTATCGGGTTTAGGGCTCCATGGCCAAGAAGGACTCGACCCATTGCAGTAAAGCTTGAGTAGCCAAGGTGGCGCCTGGAGGCCCGGCAGAGGTACTGGCGCAAGGCACCGGACGAGCCAAGAGCGCTGCTGCCTCCGCCGAAGGAAACCCTGGAGTTTTCCGAAAGCAAGGCGCGCCTGCTCTGAAACCGCTTGGGAACTAGGGTGGGCTACTACGTAGGCCCTGAAGTCCCCATAATCAACCCTATCAAGGGCCCTTTTGAGAGGTTATAGGGTATAATAATATAATAGCCCGACCTAAAGTTCTTATGTGCGAAAGTTTTTGTGGGGCGCTCTCTTGCCTCTCGTTGCACCTCCAGATTGCAAGTTGCCCAAGCCAATTTGGCTTTTTGGGATGTTCCCCCTAACAGTCCTTAGTAGGGATTCGAATAGGGGTACTACAATCTCCATTAAGGGCTGTTAGTATATGGGGGAACATCCCAACCCATTTTGTACTCTTAGAGCGAATCAGGAGGAGCTCTTTGGATCCGACGACGAGGCCCTGGAGAGAGTGGAGCTCTCGGAGGAGGCCATCAGCATATTCGAAAGGATCTAAGAGCCCCGTTGAAACTTCAAAAAACTCACATTTTTCTTTTTGTTGCTGGGCTGTGGCCTTTAAGAGGCCCCAACTCGCATTCCTGTAGGCACTTGCAAAGATCTTATCATAAGGGTGAGTTCCGCTTTACTGTCACCACGTCTTCGAAGGCTCCTTTCCACTCTTCTTTCCAGCACTTGCAGGCACTGGAGTTTGAGATCATCTTGGCAGAGAGGCGCGGGACAATGCGCCCTAGGGTTTAGGGTTTAGGGTTTGACTTTGCAAGCCAGTTGCAAAAGGGTTTCGGGTTTAGGGTTTATAGGGTTTAGGGTTTAGGGTTTAGGGTTTAGGGTGTAGTGTTAGGGCCGTGCTCCACTTTCTCTTTTGATGGAGTTGCAATGCGACACAGAGCCGTGGCCCTCTGAGCCCCAGGGGGCCTCCCGGAACAACGTAGGCCCACGCCATTCATCCCAAAGAAACCTGGGTTTAGGGTTTAGGATTTAGGATTTATAGGGTTTAGGGTTTAGGGCTTATAGGGCTTAGTTTGCCCCAGGCAGGTCGACCCACCGCTGTGGCTCGAAGCGTGGCTGCGGGAGTACTTCGTGGTTGAGGCGACAGCCTCCCAACCAAGCTGCAAGTTTGGACACAACTCGGGCAGATGTCGGATGTGGGGCCCCATATTCTTTCCGGTCCCGTGAGCCATGACATGTCTACGTTGCGAAGCTTGCTTTGGAACTTTGCACGTTGCAGGACGATCTGGTCTCCCTGCCTTTCCTGAAGCCCTGGAAGCCCCGCGCGTCCCGAAATCCGGATGCGCCGCCTCCAATGAGCCACACCGAGCAGGAGGCGCTGCTGATGAGCCTTGAAGACAGGTTGAGGTTGCAAACTTGTAGGTACTAGTAGATCGTGCACAGTAGCAGTAGCAGCTTCATTCTGTTTGGATAATCAAGGCCAGCGTTTTGAAGTTGACCTCCACCTACCTAGCAACTCCTCACCTCATTGCATACAGTGAAGCATGCCAGAGTAGCTATAGGGGGCTAGTGGCCTGTTTCAGCACATTGCACACACGGGGATGATCGTGGTCTGTAGTACTGTAGCTGCAATGAAAGAATCAGAAGCAGCCGAGGAATATTCAGGAAGAGATGCGGCTCAGCCACTCGGCTTTGTGTTGTCTCTCCGCTGGTGCGAGGGCAGCTGGTCCAAATCACACACTCCGATCTCACAAGAAGAAGCAGAATCTTATTCACCTTCATCATAAGGATCATAGCACAAGAATAATATGCAAAAAGTCTACTCTAATTTAATCGTAATACCATGGGTAACAGATACAAGTCCTAAAGCCGCCCCCCCAGGATACGGCCGGGTGCACATTGCAACGCTTGGCCCCCTCTTCATGGGTGCCAAGAAGGCATGGATCAAGCGGCCCCTGGGTTGCAAGATGTTTTGTCTCTCTGTCTCTCTCTCTCTCTCTCTCTTGCTTTTTTTTACTCTCTCTCTCTCTATGATACATACTCTCCATATTGTATATAGCAGATATATATGTATATATATATATACACATACATACATAACACCACACAAACATATGTAGTATATGTACACACACATATATATATATATGTATGTATGTATGTATATACTGTGCGATTCACATCGATTGCCGCTGTCGGCTTCACACCCCCCACACCCCCACCCAGCGAGGCCAAGACAAGTGACACGCAGTCCTAACTAACCTGCACCAGCATCCGTAAACGAACCTAGTGCTTGACGTGGAAATTTGAAATCCCGGCGATCTTAGCATGCTATCAGCTGAACAAAGGGCTTTCCTATACTGGAGTAGTTAAATGGCATCCCCGCAGACAAACTGCACCCGGCAAACCGTCTCACGAAACACCGGAACACCGGCCGTGAGTTTCTGCCATCATCTCTCAGGCCACTCATGTTAAAGCACCTTTCCGCCAGTTGAAGGTATTTCCCTGACCGGGATGGGCCATTAGGCCTGATAATGCCCACAATGAACCCTATCAAGGGCCTTTTAAGGGATTATAGGGGTCTAATCGCCCATCCTGGAAATCCTGAGGTTCTTCGACATAACCTCTTATGGCGACGTCCTCGAGAAGAGCATTGCCCGACAAACGCGGGAGGCATGGCCTGTCAATTTCCAGGATGGCTCAGGATAGGCTATTGGGCCCTATAATCCCCGTAATCAACCCTCTAAAAGGGGCCCTTTTAAGGGGGTTATTGGGGTATAATAGCCCGTCGTGGTTCGCGAAGTTCGCGCATCACACCAGAATCCCTGCCCCCAGCAGCGCCTCCTCCTGGCAAGATGAGACTGCAACCATCACCTTCACCCTCAGAATGAGAAGCATTGAGAGGTGCCTGTCGGAGTGCGAGAAGGTAGGAACACAGCAGTTCTGTGCTTGTTCCTTAAGGGAGTTGGCTCTCATATCACTCTGAGAACTCAACACGCTGCTCATGTGAAAGGCCATCGCCGTGGCTGCACGCATCCACTACGATGGTTATACGTCCATGGAGGTCACATGGCCAACGCCGCCATACGCCGCCCAAACATGCCCAAACCTTCTCGCGTGAGCTTCGGCAAACTGTTCTGTTCTTCGGGCAGTATAGGTCTTCTTCAGGTTTCAGATTGTTTCGGAACGAAGGCCCCTCTTTCAGCATGCGCAGTCCCAACTCATTTGCGTTCATCTTGAGCCACTTTAGTTCCTGTTTGCCTTTGCCAGCCTTATGCTGTGCAGCCTTCCCGGTGTGCCTTTTTCTAAGACTTGGAGGTTCATGGTATTTAGGAACCCAAGTATAACTGTACGTATAGCCCAATCTCTACGATGTTAAGGTACTTAAGGTGCTTATCTGTGGGTTCTAACTACACTTCTAATGGGTTACTAAGTCCCCTGAACCTCCAAGCAAGGCATTCTCTGACTTTGGCATTGGGCGGGAGTGGCTCCGGAGATACTTCCTCATGGACCCGGAGACAAACAAGCTCAGCATGGATCCAGCACGCTATGCGTTCCTTGGGTGCAATATTTGATGTCCGGGTTTAGGTTTTAGGGTTTAGGGTGTAGGGTTTAGGGTTTAGGGTTTAGGGTTTAGGGCGTTTCGAAGGTTTTGTGGGCTGTGGTGCTGAAATTTCCCTTCCACAGCGCCTGAGGTCCTGGGAGCCACCGCAGAAGGATCCAGAGGCGCCAGACCCTCGCAGCTATGCAAAGCTGAATGCGCCGCGCGGCTACGTCCGAAAGGGCAACGGGAGGTATGCCAAGAGGAAGTACGGACATTATGCAGGCGGCATTCAGTTCTAGCCTGAATCCGAACTACGGAATCAGGCTGACCGGGATCTGCTGCAGGCCCACGAGAAAAGTTTCCGCGTGCGTGGAAGGGAGGTTTTGGCCAGAAAATGTGACATGTGATGCTAAGCAAGGCAATGTGCAAACCTGCACTGTAGCCTCTGCCAAGAGCATCTCTGTGCAAGTATGCTGGCACAAGGCCAGCGCTCGTTTAAACGTGCTGGGTTTCATGGAAGCATTTCTTAGAAACGGTGGTCTTGGGAACTTTTTAGCGTCTGGGCTTACCGAATTCCCAACACATCACTGCGGTTTACCGGAAAGATGGGTCCGGACCAAGTTTGATGGATGATAACAGTGTCGCGGCTCCATCTGTGCATCCGGTTACAGACTTCGAGTGTCGGAGAAGGGGCGGCTTCGGTCTTTGGGCCTTCTAAGCTGTGAGCCGAGGATGAAGTGTGGGTGCTGCAAGGAAATCCAAAGCCCCGACACCCTCGCCAGGTGTCCACGCAAGGGCCGGCAGCGGACCCCGACCAGGTGGACAAGTTGGGTGATGAGGCCATCCCTACCATTTGGTAAGCAGGGAATGATGGAAATTCGGTACCTCACATCCCCCCATGTGCACACTTTAGTTTCCGGGATTCTAGAGGGTGCCTAGTTCCCCTCATTCCAAGACAAGAACCAGTAAGCATCCAAGGTTTTGAGGGGGAACCAGTGGCCGCATCGCAAAGTTTTGCCCGAGGTCACCGCAGTCATGGAAAAGTGGCGCAAGACGTTCATCGAGCGGAATCGCCAGCGGGCGACCAGCCGCGCTGCCCCGGTGTTGGTAGGGTTGGTTGTCTTGGAGATACGGTTCCGTGAGCAATCGTCTGAGTACGAGGCGCTTTTTCGGGGCTTGGCTCCTGACGTGAGCTCCTAGCCGAGGTTGGGACTAAGGTGATTTGGTTAAAGATGTGTTTTTTTTTTGGGGGGTGGGCGTCGGAGCCCTAGGGGAAACTTTGCGCACCTGCTGAGGATTCCCGTTCCACAGGCGTCCAAGAGTCGTAGACTATCACATGCAGTGTAGACCACTTGCAGCGCTGCGCCGAGTCGGTGGGTCAAAACAGAGCCCTCAAGATCCGACTCCGACCCATCAAAGTAGCCAGGTGCTCGCCGGCAACGGCCGCCAGAGGTCCACGCGCTGCCACCAGCGGCGCCAGCGCGACTGCCCGGTTTCGTGTTTCCTTCGGCTTGGGTTCGGAAGCTTCGAAAGCGAGGGATGCGCTAGCAGCTAGCAGCCCAGTCTCTCTACTTCCCTCACTACTTGTGTTGATGGCCAATGTCGTGTGGGATGCGCTGCAGAGGCTTCTGAGGCATCGCGTGTGGGCATTGCTATTGTGCTGTTTGTACAAAAGCGGCGCCACGTGTGTGTAAGCCCTAAACCCAGCTGATCAGAAGTGTGCTTCCCTGTGAGCACGTGTTTTGTTCCTTGCAGGGCAACTGTTAGTCTGCCAGGCGGGGTGGCCAAAAAGAACCCTCCTGGTAGCGATGAAGGGGGAACGGGGGGAGAAGCCTTATGCCCTCGGGAGTCCTTTCAGCCTCAGATGACAGACCTTGTGCGAGTGTGAGAGCCGAAGCCCGAAACCCTAAACCCCAAAACGCAACTGAGAGCTCTCGAGGCCCAGGCGCCCGCCTCTCCATCAGCTCCGCAGGCACCGCCCGTAATGCGGCTTGGCGCAGAAAAGTGGAGGGTTTCAGAAGTTTGGGGGCGCTTTGGGGGTTTTTTGGCGGCAAAAAAAGGGGTTTGGGTGGTTCTGGGGACACAGGGCACTGGAGGTCGGTGCTTAGAACTTGGAGCTGGTGGTACTCTCGTAGCTGTTCAGGCCACCCAAGGTATCACCGCAAACGAAGCGGTGATGCCAAGCCCAGGACAACTAGAGACTTAATTCTGTGGGCTGTGGTTGGTATCCTGCACTAGACGGACCACCTTGCATTTGAGGGAGAGCTTGAGCGCCTTGACATTGCAGTCTTGTGAATGCCAACATGGTGTGTGTGTGTGCGTGCTGAGTTTTATGCCACACTCGTGAACTTGTAGACACATGGCAAGTTCCTGCAATTCTACAGCCAGATGGTGTCAGCAGTGAGGTTGGAGGCGGACTTGGTTGCCCGGGCAGCAGCAAAGAAGGCCACAGCACGAAGATGTGGGGCGACACACACACACACAGAATGCACTTATACTTGTACTTGTATCTAGAGCACACAGATGAAAGGTAGAGTGCGCAAATTTATATATACACACATATTTGTATGCGTATATTTACATATGTTTACTGCTTACACACATTGGCAGCAACTCTGTCGCAGCAAGAGCAGGTCACGGGCTGGAACTCGAAGACACGCAATTGATCCTGCGATTTTTCTCTGCCCCAATAGCCACCTGTACTGAAGCATTTAGGGTTTTTTAACGTTAAAGAACCCCATTATAATATGGTTTTTTAACGTTTAAAACAAAAACATGTTGGGTTTTTTAATTTTCAAAAAACCCTAAATGGTAATGAACAGGCTGTTTTGAAAGCGAGCATGCCCTGGTCTTTCATACAAACGCGAAGCCATGTCTGCAGCGCCTTCAAGCCCGTTACACAGCAAGGGCTATCTTATAGGCCTTAGAATATCCCCTCTAAAGGGCATTTTTTAAGGGGTATATAGGGTGTAATACCCCTTGTAGGTAAACACCTGAGCCCACCTGCCCTCAGCTGGAAGCGCGTGAAGCACCCGCCCCCTGGAGCGGCCTCAAGCGCGATGAGGCCTCTGAGCTCAAAGGAACTTCGGATCAGACACAGGTGGTTTAGGAAACTAGGGGGGGGACCCCTAAGATAGTCTTGTAGTAGGTCCCCTTACAGGAAGGACCCCAAGAACGCACCCCCAACATCGTAAGCCACCAAATGATTTGGGGTGCTTGGGGCGCAGTGTGAAGTATATGCTTCCGTTCTCTGATGTTGGAGGGTGTGCCACAATGAATGCCCTTGTTACGGTTTCAGGCCGCTTGGCTGTACATATGGACACCGACTCGGGAGATTGTAGGAGGGCAATGGCCCGAATGGTTGGCGGAGAGCCTTGAGCCCAGCATCAAGTTAAGATGGAATCGTCATCATGCACGGGGACAACCACAAAACCAACGTCTTAGTCGTGGCATAATCCCCATAGTCAACTCTGTAAAAAGCGCCCTTTTTTAACAGGTTACAGGGCATAATAGCCCGTCCTGGCATGCTACAGGTGACGATGACAGTGGAGGCATCGAGCTTCCAGAGCTCCACGTGGGGGGCCCAGCATCGAGTCGCCTGGGAATGGCTACCGGGCTCTTCATCGCTAAAGGGTTTATAGGGGTTAGGGTTTAGGGTTTAGGGTTTAGGGTTTAGGGTAGGGGTTAGAGGGGATGGGCTCCTTTTGGGCTGAGATGCGTTCAGCAGCTACCATACAGGGGCGAGAGGCTTGAAAGGACTCGGCTTGGTACCTCAGAAAAGATCCTGAAAGATCCCACCCACGGGCACATGGTCCTCGACGCTTAGACTTGCATGCGACCAACAGAATGTCCAGCCAAAACAGCATCCACGCCCTTGATAAACATTTGCGCGGAAAGTTGTGGAGTCTGAGCTTCAGGGCTTTCAAGCCGCTCGCAGGTTCGACAACCACATTCCGGGCGCGATGCCAGAGGTGTGGAAGGTTTTTGGGTTCAGTTTTGATGGCTGTCAGTTCTGGGCCCCCCCCCCCCCCCCCTTCCCCCTTGAACAAAGTCGGTGCCCGCTTCATTTCCGGCACGTAGGTTGCCTTGGGATCTCCTAGGTAGGATAAGGGGGGCCCTTAAAAGGGACCCCTTCTGAACGCTCTCTTAAACAGGGACCTTATTCAGAGGGTCTATATCCCCAAGGGTCTCCCTAATCTTATCCCCTAGGATCTTGTGTTTTTTGCATCTGGTTGAAGCGTCGCGGCCCTTGAAAGAACCGGTTTTTGGCAGGCTTGGGCATGCCTGGGAGCCTAGTGCACAGATTTGTGTTAGTCCGAAGAGAGGTTTAGGGTTTAGGGTTTAGGGTTTAGAGTTTAGAGTTTAGAGTTTAGGGTTTAGGGTTTAGGGTTTAGGGCAGCAATACAGCAAAACCTGTGTTTTCTGTGGTTAAGCCTCCTTTGCCGGTCCATGGTCCAGGCGGAGGGGACCTCGAGGCCCGCCCAGGGTCTGTTTCGTGGGGCGCGAGCCTTCGAACTGACGGCCCAAGGGTCGACACGTCTTGGTGTTTGAGAGCAGTTTATAAGTTTATAAGAGTTTATAAGAGTTTATAAGAGTTTATAAGGGTTTATAAGAGGTTTATAAGAGTTTTTAAGAGTTTATAAGAGTTTATAAGGGTTTATAAGGGTTTAGGGTTTAGGGAGGCTCCAGGTGGAGTTACCTCGAGTGCCTTTTTTTGTCGAGAGCACTTCCAACAAGAAGGCATTTCCAAAAAAATGGCCCATACGAAGACCTAGCCCATACCAGGATGGGCGATTAGGCCCTAAAATCCCCGGAATCAACCCTATAAGGAGCCCTTCGAAGGGGTTCTAGGGTAGAATTGCTTGTCCTGGTACGTAACCGCACGAAACCATCCAGGCCGGGCGGCGCCGGTGAGCGCTCGACCTCGCCCGGGGTGCGGGTGCCGGCGACCGGAAGGCCGTTGTTTAGGGTTTAGGGTCACAGGGTTTAGGGTTCAGGGTTTGGGGTTTAGGGTTTCCCATATTATGAGGGTCTCTGAGAGCCGACCCCCCAAAGATCAGAGATGCTTGGGACTTGGAGAGGTGTCTCTCGGCCCGGCTCTTCGCACGATTGATGCAAATTGATGCCAACCAAACGATTCCTACCTTCCTTGCAGACCCCGGCTCAAGCAGTGCTCAAGCACGACTCTTGGAAGCACGCAGGCATGTGTAAACGACCTGACAGGATCCCACAGAGTTCGGAGTGCCGGCGTCCGCGCGCCGGAAGCGAGGATCCTCAGGCAGAGTTTGGGCTGCAACTCGTGGATGTGTTTGCGCTCGGGTGGTTGGGTGTTCAGGGAAGAAGGGCTCCCGTTTTCGGGTTGAGGATCGCCTTGGCTTTGGGCATGTTTTGGCCCACAGCTCAGAAACACGTCAAACACAACTCTGCTCTACAAATTTTCGCCCGAACCCGAAACCCGAAACCCGAAACCCTGCCTTGTGCGAGAGTGAGCGACTAAACCCTAAACCCTAAACCAAGAACTCTCGGCAGGGACAGTCCAGCGAGCCAGTGACCAGCCGATCTAGGAGGCCGCTTCCCCATCATCATTTTTGCCTTGTGAGAAAGATTTGGGGGTTTCCGAAATTTGGGGTACTTTACTTTGGGGTCCTTCCAGGATGGGCTATGACACCCTGTAATCCCTCAAAAGGCCCTTTATAGGGTTCGTTATGGGGATTATAAGGCCTAAAAGCCCATCCTGGTTATTAGAAGGGGAATCCCACAAGACTTGGGGGACTGCAGAAGGGGTAACCTATGTTCGCAAACCCCCATTTTTGTTTCGAGGCTATCCGGAGGTCCGAGATATACATGCAGACCCCTATATAGTTTCCAATGGTGTGTACAGTGCAGTGGTTACACAGTCAAGAAGACGAGTTCACAACGGTTTTTGGAGTCATGGTTTGCCACTAGCTGAATCAGTCAGGGCCAATATGCAGCTTCTTTCCAGGTCGTATCTGAAACCCATGGCGTGGAGGTATCGAAGAGCTTAGGTCAGAACTGTGAATTTGTTGGAACTTGCAAAGCATCTGCTCCCTCTCAGCAAAGTCTGACCCGCCTTACCCCCCCAACCCCCCCCCCCCCTAACGCCCGCCGAAACTCTGCAAGAAGAACTCCCCTGAACCCTAAACCCTAAACCCTAAACCCCCAAACGAATTGCTCAGGCGACGTGAGTCCGAGAGCTCGAACTTGCAGCGCGAGGTGCCGGCAAGTCAAGGCTGGACTTGAACATGTCCATGTGGGTACCTTTAGGGTTATATATATATATATGTATATGTATATATATATATACAGTTGTATATATATATATATATTTCTATATATATTCCGACCATAATGGAAATAAGGTTAACCGGTGAACCTTTTTTTTGGCCCAGGCTACGCAGCAACTAGGTCAGAGATGCAGTTGCAGAGGAGAAAAACTGGGCATTCCATGTTGCTGGCCCTTCGTCAGCAGAACGCAGCCCCCGCTGATGGGGGTCGCGAGACTCGCGAGACCTTTTGCGACAGATCCAATTGCCCCTTACTACGCTGCCTGAGGCCATCTGAGGCCTTTCTACTCAAGTCTTGTAAAGGACCTTCATGGTCGAGCTCACCAGTAGTCGATTCCGTGACTAAACAGCTCAAAGTATCCGAACAACAGACAATGTGGAAGACCTTTGCACCTTTGGAGAACCAGAAAAACGACGTGAACATATTGGAGCGTCCGGGGGCGGGGGAATCAAGGATGCGGGGCGCAAGATTCAGCCGTATACTATATTTAATATACGTATTTCTTTGTCATACTTCTGCATGCGTAGTGTATATAAGTCTACGTGCATATATATATACATATGTGTGTGTAAATGTAGAGGGTGTAAGTTTTGCAAACGGGGTGTAGGGTTTTAGGGCCGGTTTTAGGGCCTTGCCGGATGAAGTAGCAACGAAAAAGGTTTGCACGATTGATGCTGCAGGGTGTGGACGTGAGTTTTAAATCCCTAAGCCCTATAAAGCCTAAGCCAAGGTAGCCGTTAACCCTAACTGAGACCTTCACACCCTATAATGCCTAAACCAAGGTAGCCCTAAATTCTAAGGTGTCAGGGCGGCACTGCGCATGAGTTGAAAGACACTGTGATGAGAACCCGACATCTCCTTCCGGGTGTGAGTCTGAGGGGTCGCAACACCCCTCGCTAGCCACACATCCCCTCAAGACTTTCTTGACACGGCCTCTTGCACGACAGACTTTGCAGGATTGCCGCCCCCGGAGCAGTTGCAGGCACCTGCGTTGTGCTTCGGGAGTTGTTACTCAAGATGCCTAAATTGGGGGGGGGAACATCGAGGACATTCTTTTGGTTGAGAACCTTCCTGGGTTTAGGGTTTTTGGTTTTTAGGGTTTAGGGCTGCGGAGTTTTCGACTCTGGACTGCACATCCTGCCTGGGACAAGTTGGCAAAATGCAGTCGTTGAGCTCAGGGTGTGGCAAGGGGCCATTTCTGGCGATCGAGGGTGCTCTCTTGGAACCCTGTGGATCTCCTCCTGCCAGGGAGACTCCGAGCCAACCCCGGCGCCTGCAGACAAGGAGCAAGCGACCATGCAAAGCATCTCTCGAATCAGTTTTGATATGTTTCGATGGTTCTTATGCATGGAAAAACGTGCATGAATGTCCACGTCTTACACACTTGGTCAAGCTTTCTGCCCGAAAACTTCTTTATTCACAGACGGAAGACGGACAGCAGCTGCCCCATTCATATGCCCCCTTTTAATTCATAATATATCCATAGAGTAGTAGTGGCAGTCCCTTTACAACAGAGAGGAGAGAGCAGCGCGGGGAAGGGTAGACCAGCTTAGGTTGGCATCAAGGGACTCTGGGAGGCGCACTCCTGCTCGCGCCGAAAAAGGGGGGGGGGGGGGTGGGGTGGGGACCCTCCCTGAAGCCACAGAAAGAACGCAGGAAAGAAAGACAAAGAGAGGCAGAAAAATAGTTGTGTAGCCCTAAACCCTAAACCTTAGACGCTAATCCCCAAAACTTTTTAAATGTCCTTTTGTGGATGTGAGCCTTTGCAACAGAGCCCAGACCCTCAAGCGCAGGATGTCTTGGCCCAGCTCGGGCAGCCCTTTCCTCGGAGGCTTTCGAAGGGAATCTTCGAGCCTGCGCCGTAGGAGGGCGTCTGCTCGGTCAAACATATGTGTATATATATATATTATATATAGATATTTATCTATCTATTTCGTCTGTTATATTCTTAACCTGTGCAATCATGAGTAATGTGTAAAATATGTCTAAACAGATTTAACAAAACATATGATAGAAAAGCTTGATGTATAGGCTGCGGAGATTCGTGCTGAGGATTCGGCAGGCTCAAGCTGCTCCCTCCAGCTTCTTGGCAACAGAAAAATTCCTGTGCACGGCTTTTTGCAGAGAGTCATCGGGAGTGAGTCCAGGGTTCAGGGTCGTCAAGAAGACGATTCAAGAGCCGAAGGTCTCTCAAAGCTTTCTGAGGAATCCCATACAGGCCCCCAGCCACGGTAGCCTCAGTGTTCTGCACCCATTCTCATGAGATCCCATATCCAAGGTCGGGTGGCCAGCAAGGAAGAGCCGCGAGAGGTGCCTTTCTTAGGAAACAGCCTCGGACTATGGGCTGCCAAGCCCGAAAAGCCCCTGACAGCACGTTGAACCCAATCGGCCACATGCACAGGAGCCTTTCTTCTCCCTTGGGGAGCAAAGGAACCCCCCAAAAAATTCGGGTCATCTACCCTCACACTACCGCAATTCTTACGACGGCCTCCGAGCCGGGTCATGTGGTCCCCGAGGTTCATTCTTACTAAGGCATATGAGCCATAAGCCTTTTTCGAGGGTTCATGTGGTCCCAAAGGTTCAGCTTCTTCGGAATCTCGAAATCCGGTGAGGAGCCGGGGCGGACCTCTTCTGCTCTTGGGCGCCGAGGAGGAGATCAGCAAAGCCAAGAATCTGAGGATAATTATACATAACATGTGTTTTTTTGTTTATCATGTGTTTATGTGTGTATATGTATACACACACACATATATATATATATATTATGTATGTATGTATATGTGTATGTATATGTAAATGTGTTTGTGTATGTATATGTATATGTATATGTATATGTGTATGTATGTGTATATGTATGTGTATGTAGAGATACAGGTGTGCATACTTATATATACACAGGAGTCATCGGCTTTTGATCGGTTAGTGTGACGCAGCCTGGGGAATGAATGTGTTGGGCAGGTTTGAGGTGTGGTGGACCTCATAGAGCTCTCCATGAATAGAGGAGCAGTCGCGTCTTTTGGCAGCTTAGACCTGGCTTCCTTGAACATGGCCACTGACGGTCGAGGGGTTGTGATGCTAGGATATTCGAAGCACTTCCTGCACTTGCAGATATCGGGGCGGGGTAGCTACAGGGACGTGGCAAGGAATCTTCTGCCCTAAACCCTAGACCCTAGACCCTAAACCACCCTAATAGTGTCTACACAATTCTCACAATTGACTCGACTCCTCGTAGGGCCTGGAGACTGCAGTCTTCTGGTGCCGCCGGCCCACGATGCGTCAAGGCTGGACGCGCCAGGCTTCAGATGGAGAACTCCTGGAGTTTTCTGAGAGCTAAAGAGGGGGGGTTTAGGGTTTAGGGTTTAGGGTTAGGGGTTTAGGGTTTAGGGTTTAGGGTTTAGGGTTTAGGGATCTTCGAAGCTTTGGAGAAGGGCTCTTTGGGAGATACGCCCCTACTATATTATTAAGCGGGGAAAAGACTGTGGTTTTCTGGGTCATTAATCACTTCACAGACCAGGATGATAGGGGCTAGAGATTGAAGACCGCAGGAAAGGGTGAATCTTCCCCTATTTTTATATTACGGGCGTACATTAAATAAGCTCGCGCATTTAAAGCCCATATTATAATAATGGGGAAAAGACCCTAGACTTGGAGATGAAGACAGAAGACTCATGCATCTAGTTCCAGCTCCAGCGGTAAGACTCATGAAAAGACGAGTGCAACAGACCCCATTAAATGTACTAAATTCGTGCGTTGTTCACACGGCCTTACAATTTAATACTTTTAATTAGGGCTTTTGTGTACTTTTGCTCACTGTGTTCGTTCGCTTGTACGTGAATTCACGCGCTCATTCACTCCTTCGTTCACACGCTTACAATAATATGACCGCGCGTTTCCTTGCGTCTATATTCTTATTAATTGGATCCCTGCCCGGCTCATGGCTACAGTAGCCAAGACAGGAGGAGGCCCCAAACAGCCTACCTGTACACTCGGACTCCACATGCCGTCCATGTTAGCAATTGGGAAGCTGCAGCTCTTCCATGGAATTCCAGCAGCTTCATGGCAATAGTTGTTGACGTGGCAAGCTGCGGCGTCTGCGAGTCCAGGGTTTCCGTAAGAAGAGCCTCTCCACAGGTGTGCTTTTGCCATGAGAGCAAACACAAAGCTGTCGCGGTCAAGCGCCCACGCACTTATAATGGGGGTCGGGATAAATACGAGTAGTGTTCCCTTATGGTCCCTTTAACATTTATACAAACACTCCCAAAAACCCCCTTCTCAATTCTGCAGGCCCTTTATTGACTTTATTGAGGTTTGGCGACCAGGTTGAGGCTGTTTTGCTCAAGCCCAGCCACGAGACCTGCCCCCGCCCACACGGGCTCTTCCATGGAGGCAGCTCCTCGCCTGAGAATGCTGGGGAAAGCCAGACACAATATTTCCGGGGTTTAGGGTTTAGGGTTTAGGGTTGAAGTGTGCCCTCAGTCTTATCCCTTTTGTTTCTTGTCCCCAGGATGGGCTATTCTACCCTAGAATCCCTTCAAAGGCCCTTTATCGGGTTCATTATGGGGATTAGAATGGCCTAATAGCCCATCATGGTCATGGAGATCCTTGACCCGCTTTGTGTCGCATTCCCAGGCTTCCAAGGTCTCGTATTCGGTCTATGCGCAAGCGCTGTGGCAACTTCTCTCGTGCGGGACAGATGAAGATGAAGGACACGAAGTCAGCGCATGGGTGTAGGCACTGGTGTAGTCCAATTTCCCGGCACAATCGGCCGTGACCTCCCCGGACAAGGGCTTCTGGGAGTTATGGGTTAGGGAGCGAGACTGGAGAGTGTTTTTTACTTTTTTTATTTTATTATTATTTTTTTTTTTTTTTTGGGGGGGGGGGGGGGGGGGGTCGGGTTGAGGGCTTCAAACGGGTGATTTGAGGGCTGTTTTTGATCCTGAGTTTGGTGGCGAACTTGGGCGGGATGTGATTAGAGCCACTTCCTTTTCTTTAAAGCTCAACTCTTCGCAACCTCTCTAACAGTTTGCAAAACACAAAACTTCCCCCTTTTCCCCCAAATTTCGGGCTGAGGGGATCATTTCGACAGTTCACCTGGATGGAAAGCAACATATGCTTGGTCGTCAATATGAGATCTTCCTTCGTATGTTACTGGTAATTACATCTTGTATTTCCTTTTTGACTATACAGGAGAACCTCCATTTAATTATCCTCTCTTTTCTTCATGGGAGAACCTTCTCTGCCAGATCTTTAGGGGGAGTTTTTTTCATTGAAGGCAAGCCGGGAGGAAGCGGGTAGACGCCCTGCACCTCCACCACAACCTGGCCAAAACTAAACCATCCAGGCTATTGTTTCGAGCATTTCCCCTGTGCTTCACAAGCACTCTCAATCCAGAGAAGCGCACACTCGTATTTAATAACAATCCTAATGGCCTAATGGTAACATTGAAACACATGTATTTAGTAATGTTTTTTTACAGCTTCCGGAGCATTCGGCAAGTGAAAGTCCTGGAGTGACACTGTTGCAAATGGGCGGGTGGGGGCCTAGGGGAGAAGACCCCGCTCTTAACCCCCCGATGACAAAGCGCAGTTGTAAAGGCCAGGTGCGTTTGCCTTGGCCCCTGACACTGCTGCAATTTAGTCTTGCGAGCAGGCAGAACAGTCAGAAATGCCGCGAGTTCCGTATCTGCAGGTAGTTCAAAGTCGAAATTCTGCGTTATGTTTTTGGATAACTAGGGGTTACTAACTATAAGTTTTTTCCGCACCCTCGGTGTGGGGTTGTGAGACTCTTCTCCTCACCCGGTCCGCTCACCCCCAGAGTATCCCCAAGAGTCCCTGGAGTGCCCAGCCGCAGAGTATGCCCAGAAAGTCCCTGGAGTTCAGGGCCCCTGGGGCATGGTCAGAGGGTGCCTGGAGTGCACAGCCCCAGATGTTTTTTTTCACTAATCCCCCCCAAAAAAAACTCAGATGACACGAGGAGTCTTTACCATCCTCAATGTGAAGAACTCGTTTCTCCACGCGGACGTGGGCCGGGTCATCAAGCCACTTTGCTGCTTCATACAGTCAAGCCCCAAGTCTCACATGCTCCTTTGGTATTTGCAATTTTTGCCCGCAGAAAAGGCACCAATGCACCATCGGCAGATTCTCCAGTTTGCAACGTATATCATAGTTGTGCAATCGTGGGGACGAAGCCGGGCGGCTCAGGAAATCCGCTTCGTACCCCAGCTTCGACACAGATCGGCAGCGTACAGCGATTCGAGACCAGGCGCGTTGGTCTGCTTTGAGCATCTTCGACCGGCGCAGATTTGCGCCCGTAGCTCTATTGGGATGTGCTTGCATGCTGAGAGCCCTTGCGGCTGGAAGGGGTGTTCTGGAACTCGCAATTGAGCCAGCACAGTATGGCACAGCAGGTTTTGACTGACAAACACATGTTTAATTGAGGTTCCAAGGGGAGTGTAGACATAGGACCCACCAATGAGTGCCCCCTCTTGTAAAATCTTCTTTCGCAAAATTTCTGCCTCGGTACCCTATAGGCTGCTCGGCTATTGCAGTCGATTCATGCTGCGGAGCCGCAGGCTCGGCGCGTTGTCGGAGCTATGCCACTTCGAGTTGTTGGGTTAGGGTTTAAAGTTTTAGGGTTTAGGGCTGTGATGGATTGTGGATGCACTCTGAAGGCATGTGAGGTGGGGAGGTCGCGATGGTTTCGATGCTGATGAGCGGAATTGCCCCCAACACTTGAGGGCCCTCTCAAGCGAAGGCATAGACGAAGTTCAAGCGCCCTTGTCGCAGGAGGGTCGTGAAGCTCGAGACGTACTGACCGGTGATCCTGTTGGTAAAGGAACTTCTGCCAGCTCGTCTCCAAGCAGTGGCTCCCAACGCTTTGAAGACTTCGAAGCCACGAGATGTGCCGTGCAAGAATCTTCGCTCACGCTACGCGAAGGCGGCCATCAGTGTAACGACCTAAGCCAGACCTCCCTCGTGCTGCGCAACATCCCAGGCAACCTGGATGACATACAGGGGAGGTTTCCGAAATTTTTTGGGGAGGGGGAACCTTCTGGGGGTCCTTGGTGGTGTATATTTGGGGCCCCTAATTCATAATTCTCGTAATCTCCCATGTTTACCGCGCAGCTGGTTGAACTGTAGATTTGTCGGCCTGCCTGGGCTTTCAAATTCATGTTGACGTGTGACTGGTCGTTTGCGCGCCTTTGCTCTCTCTTTCCCTCTCTCTCTTTCCCTCCCTCTCTCTCTCTCTCTCGCTCTCTCTCTCTCCTCTTTTGTAAAGCTGTTCTTGCAGCAAGCTTGCAGAAATCTTGCAGAAATCCTCCACAACGTTGTGCAGCGACTTCAGAGCACCCTACTGTATGGCTAGTGCCTGGCTCGGAAATATGAAACTCGACCTTCAAAAACTCAAACTGAACCCCCATGCCAGCTCTCATTAGTCTTTGGCCTCCTAGCAACCCGGCCACATGGCTAGCCCGGAATCTCCAGCACATTCTTGCCGCTAATCAAGCGATGCCCAGGTGACTACACCAAAAAGGCGTTGCTTCAGCTCTTCAAGAAGCTGCAAGTCCTTGAGCTTGTGACTCTTGGGCAGCAATGAGCTGAACTAGCCCTCAGCCCTGAAATGCCCTGAAAAGCGGAGGGTTCAGGGTCTCTGGGGCTTAGGGTTTCAGAGTGGGACAGAATCGTGTAGCCCCCAATCAGGTGGATGGGTGTGGGTGGGTGACCAGTCAAAGGTCATATTCAAAGGAGTTCAAATTTCAGCTCGAAACACTTAGCACATAGGCCTGTTGACCTGTATAACGGCAAGCCTCGACTGCAAGCCTTGAAGAGTTGCACACGATGCTGTTAAAAAGGAGATGTCTTTGCTTGATGGTTTGCCGGATTTTCCAGAGCCATCCTCTTCATCCTCTAAGCTCATCCTCTTCTGCCATGTAGTATTCTAGAATGCCCGGCGGTTTTTCGGCAGTAATCGTTCTGCCCTTTTCTGAGAGGGGAGGACCCTCGGACTTGTTCTCATTGCCCAGTCATTCTTCCTCAGGAGATAGAAAAGGTTCAGCACTCTGACGACCTCAACAGCCCAGAGACGATAGATGGGAGACTATCTTTCTTATGGGCCTTTTTGGGGTGCCCTTTTTTGCAAGGCTCCGTGTTCAAACAAGATCCCCGAAAGCCATCATTTAGAGCACTTCCTACATGAAACCAACCTAAACCCTAATTAAACCCTAAAACTCTAAAACCCTAAACCCTAGGGCACGCGTTGCGGTTTGTCTGTCGTGACTGGAGACTACCGGAGCCTTGCCAGCGCGTGCGCCAGTGTGAGAGTCGAAACCCCAAAACCCTAAAACCCCAAAACCCGTTAAAACCCTAAGACCGGAGTGGCAGCCAGGAACTTCCTGTACCTTCCGATCCGTGCGCGTGGTGGCTCCTCATTGGGCTACGCCTTCGTGAATCTGCAGCTTTGCCCTGTTTCAGGCTACCATGTTGATGCCGCAACTTCTGGGGGCCACGTGAACCACAAAATGGGGGCTCCTATACCCTGCTGTACTACTAGAACTTAGTACCGCAAAGGTGGGTCTTGGAGCTTCTACAGGACTGAAGGTGTTGAAGAAATGTTTCAGACAGGTGGGTGGCCATTTGTTTTACGAGTGCCTAGCAGGAGGGTTCCCGTTCAACAGTCGGTGGGTCTGGGGTTAGCGGAGGCCCCTAAAAGTCGCGATCGTAGTGGCTGCTGCACTGACACCCAGATACCCCAACAGCCCCTTTACCAGGATGGGCTATTATAGGCCTTAAAATCCCCAGAATGAACCCTATAAAGGGCCTGTTCAAGGGATTATAGGGTATAATGGCCCACCCTGGTTTGCCACAGTGCCACAAGTCAAGGGCCCTCACAGCGGTCGCGCGGTCTCTGGCCTAGGAAGTGCTTTCAGCTTCGTAGCTTTTAATCTACTATTTGCTTGAGAACCCCAAAAAATATGACAAATGATCATCCCTATATTACCCTTAGTAAGGAAGAATGTTTTTTTTTTTTTTTTTTTAGGGTTCTTAAGCCATTCGTAGTAATGTGCTGAAGTTTTGGTCGAAGATGCGCTGAAGCCGAGGACCAGCGTCGACGTTGTTGCCCAGTTTGCAGCAGTGGTCGAGGGGTTGCAAATCGAAGGCAGGGCCAGAGCAAGTCAGGAAGTCGTTTACTGTTGGCAGGATTCAGAAACGTTATGTGCAGGACAATCTCGAAAGTTTGCCCAAGTCCACCAAGAGAAGCATGGCTCTGGTCTGCTACTTCTGGTATAATGGTATACCCTCTTGTCCCATGTCATGTCAGCCTTACTCCGAAGGCATTCGGCTTTTTACTAGTTTCTGTCTCCTAGACACTTGTGGCCAAGTGCAGCATGAAGCGGAATTTCAACAAGAGCCCGGCACGCGGCGGGCATAGTTTGCATCTGCATCTTATGGTTTTTTTTCTGCGAATAGTTGCTTCTGCGGTTTGTCAGTGCGGAAGCAACGAAAGAAGTTGCACGGTGTTCATCTAGGGCAGTGCAAAGTGGCGTGGGCCCCGCAAGAATCAGGACGTTCATGTGGACAAGCTAGCAAAACCTCAGGCCACATGGCACCCCATGACCTTGCAGTCTCCAGTTCCCGGTGTTTGTCGTCGGGGCATCGTTGGGGTCACAGTGCCAGCACCACCTACAAAATCTAGTGGCGATTGCATTAACAAAAACAGAGCAGCGGGCTTCTATAAGGCAAAGTTGTACGATGCAGATTCGCCATGGTGAGTCATTTACGTGGGCAAGTTGTGTTGGAACTTTGTGGACTTGGCGACCGGCCGCGGGGTGTTTGATTGTTGTATGTTTAGTTGTTGCCCTAAACCCTAAACCCTAAACCCTAAACCCATGAAGGAGGGCGGACGTATCTTGTGCTTTGGGTGCCAGGATGGGCTATGATACCCAGCCTAGAATCCCTTAAAATGGCCATTCGTAGGGTTCATTGTGGGGGATTCTAAGGCCTAATGTTAACGTCGCTTTAATAAACCACCCCCCCCCCACCCCCGCATCTTGTTTTGGTCCCCGGGGTTTGGAAGGGTCAAAAAAAAGAGGGGGTGTCAATAGTTGGAATCTGGGGGTCTTCTGGGGGTCTGGCGGGGGTCTGGCGGGGGTCAGCTGTCAGGGTCTGCTCTGCTGTGTCTACGACTGAGCCTCGGAGCTCTTTCAAGCCAGCTCAGCGTAAAAGTCTTCTCTGCAATGGAAGTCTTCTCTGCAATGGAACTCTTAAGCCATTTTCAGTAAAACTTTGCATTCCTGGCCAGAAAAATATTGCAGTTGTCACCCCATTATTATTCTCACCGGACCCCCCTATTATAGATTTCGGCCCGTAGTCTTCGGCTGGGGCCCGCTGGCCCGGCGAATATTGCAGTTCCCCCCCCCCCCATTTATAGATGTGAGGTTAACATTAGTGGCCCATCCTGGTGGGTTTCAAGCTGAGCAAGTATCTGAGTGTTGCCATGACCGGTCCTCATTGGTTGCAGCAGGCAAGGAAAGCACCACATCTGCCACACTACATGCTCCCTGAGCTGCAATGCGAAGTTTGTCGGATAGGATTTAGGGTTATTATGATGCTAGTGAGGATATCAGGCTTGGATTCGGAGCATGTTTGGCTTCGGAAGAAGATGGGCAGGGGGGGGGGGGGGGGGGGGGGGGGGGGGGGGGGGGAGTAGCTGGCAATCCCATTTCGGAGATGTTTACGGCCTGAGGCAAACATGCAGAACAGGCGGTAACAAAAAGCGCGGGGGAAGTGCCGAACTTCCACTGAGCACTGGATGAGGCAAACACTTCCATGGTGTCTCTTGATGAGCTCATCAATCGTTACCGCGGCTCGGCGCGTTGACATCCTTTCCTGCAATTCGAATTTGGTCGTTGCGAGTTCAGGATGTTGAATGCCATGTTCAGCAAACCCTAACCCTAAACCCTAAACCCTAACCCTTAACCCTAAACCCTAAACCCTAAGGCCATTTTTGGTGTAGTCCCTGCTTGCTGCCACGAGTTCCCTCTCTGAGTTCACGAAGCTGCACTGCAGGTTCAGTAGGAAGAAAGGTGACGAGGCTTTCCGAGATTTGGGAAAAGCTGCTCAGTCTGGCACTCTGTCTGATGGAGCTACACAATGAGGGAAAGACCTGATGCTTGAGCACTTTCCACTTTCCAGTGGCCTAGAACCATGATGTAGCGACCTTCCAGCCTACGAACTCTGAAGTAAGTGCTTAATCACAAATGGGTATCTCCCAAAACAGGGGCACCCCCCTTCAAATTTCAGGGGATCCCCAAAACGGTACCCCTATTTTCGGAAACCCCACAAATGGCCAGGAGAGAGCTCGGTTATGCATTCCGCAACTCGGCTCGACATCTGAGTCTGAGAGTTCAAGGACAGGGTTTAGGGTTTAGGGCTTAGGGTTTAGGGCTTTAGGGTTTAGGATTTAGGGTTTAGGGTTTAGGGGGAGTCACACTTGAGCCTAAGTGTGCTAGAGGGGTGCCTGATGCCGCCATCTCTCTCTCTCTCTATATATATATATATATGCTAGGTGGGACTTTACTACAACTTTATCAATTTAGAAGTTTAGGGTTCCTCTAATTTCAGGGAGTTAAAAGTTAAACTTTTATCGGGTGGCTAAAGAGCAACCAAGTATATACATATATATATATATATACAGACATGTATATATATATATACATATACAGTTTTATATATTATAATTATATAGTTAGACAGAATTATATATATATATATATATGTGCAGAATTCAGTATCCCCGTCCAAAGCTAATTGTATATTGCGCTATATATATATATATAGATATATATATAGATATAGGAAAAGCAGCTCTGTCGTGTACATCTGCAGCTAGACATGTACATGCAAATGTAGACGCGGAAGGTTTCTGTGCATTCCTATGATGTAGAATGATTTCCAGACTTGCACGGGCCAGTGTTCCCGGGGCTCCAGATTCCAGACTCCCGATAGCCAGATTCCAGGTTCCCAGATTTTGCTTAAGGCACACAGTTGTTCAGAGATTATGCGAATTTGGAAATCTGTAATCTGGAGCCTAAAATGAGCAATATTGAAACACGATGGGCTTTCAAATTTATTCAGCAAGCAACTGTGGTCTTGGGGGCACGCGGGGGGGGGGGGGGGGGGGGCGAGCATATATGTACATATATACACATATATATATATATATTTTTTTTTCATTTGTTTATATTTGTTTATTATTGTATTTATTTACATATTTGTGTATTTATTTGTAAATACCGATAACTACATACATGATATGATACTGTAGTATATTGTCATACACCATTATATGTATACATATATATATATATACATATATACATACATATATATATATATATACATATATACATATATATATACATATATATATATACATATATATATATGTATGTATGCATGTATGTGTGTGCGTGTGTGCAAGTATGTGTGTATGTGTGTATGTGTGTTTGTTTGTGTGTTTTTTATGTGTAGACAGATATATATATATACATATATAGATATATGTATATTTATTTATTTACTTAATTTAATTCATGTTTTTTCCGCGTTTGCCCGACAAACCCTGCAGTGGGAGGGTAGTCTGGCTGAGTTTGAAAAGGCTTCCTCAGTCCGCAGCCGTTATGAAGAAGTGCTTGTTTGGTGCAAGTTGTACGCACCTGTTCCAGGAGGCTTGGGCTCAGGCAGATCCTTTGTCCTTGTCTTCCTAAGTTTTCATTTGCGCGGAGGAGCTGTTGCCGGGTGAGGGTTGGGAGATTCAAACAGGACCCTGGAAGCCCAGTCCACCTAAGCACGTGTGGTGCCATAATATGCCACAGCTGTTGCAGTGGATGTCGATGCCCAATAAGGCCGTTCCGGGCGCGATGAAACCCGTGCTGCTGCATTGCGGAGCCTCTGCTGCCCCAAGCCAAAGGATGGTTTCAGGTATTGCATTCTTTTGACTATCTAGGGCTTAAGGATTTTTGCCACCTGCCTAGCAGCCTCGCAGGGTTTAGGGGGTAGGGTTTAGGGTTTAGGGTTTAGGGTTTAGGGTTTAGGGTTTAGGGTTTAGGGTTTAGGGTTTAGGGTTTAGGGTTTAGGGTTCAGGGTTCAGGGTTTAGGGTTTAGGGTTTAGGTCTTCTTGCGGTTCTTCGGCTAAGAGTGCATTACGAGTCTTAAAATTACACCGGCAAGGCTGCGGACGCAACGTGTGCTGTGCACATACGTCTCCTTCGGTTGAACAACGCGAAGACGACTACGGACTAGTTCTATTGCGATTTCTACCACTATTCCTATTTCTAGTCCTATTACGACTACGACTACTAAAACTATTGCTGTTACAATAACCAGCCGAGAGAGTAACCAGCCGAGAGAGTCTCTGAGGGCACCTGTATAGGTCCTTTGCAATGGGCCCTCTCGAGGATTCGATGATAAGCCTTATATGTTCACGGCGTTCACGGGTTCCTCTTGATTACCCTCTCCCCCCACCCCCCCGCCCCCCAGGTTCCCCCCTAAATGTCCTTAATTGGGCTTAACTTTCCCGAAATAGCTTGAATTATGGGGGAACCTAGGGGGTAGTGCAGCAGTCGAGTCCCTTGTGAAAAAAATAATGGGGGGTGGGGGGGGAAGTAGGGGAACCCTGAATGCTGCTTTCCGATACTACGGGTCATCCTGTCTTGGGGCCTGCGGTATAGGTCTATTTATACTATTTTGCTTAAGAACCCCCGAAAAACAAACAAACAAGGAACATCCCTATATTGCCCTTATGAGGAGGATCCTTTGTTTTTTTGTTGGGGTGGGGTTCCTTGAGCTAATAGCTAAGCACTAACCCTAGACCCTTGCCTAAACCCTAAACCCTAGCCCTAAACCCTAAGCCCTAAACCCACATAGTAGATTTTGGGAGCTTGGGTCCGTCATGGGAGGTTTTGAGGGTTTCCTCGGGCAACTGAGGAGCCGAAGTACCCTTTCCACGTCCCCGTGAGGCGTTGCAGAGGTGCCTTGGCTTTGCTGTTAGGGTTTAGGATTTAGGATTTAGGGTTTAGGGTTTAAAGCTTCGGGCTTAGGCGACAGGGTTTGGGGTTTAGGGCTCGTGAGCTCACGGATTTCATCGAGGCAGGCGACGTCTCTTGGAAAAGGAGCGTTCATTGGGTGGAGGGCTTTTGGGTTTAAGGTTTAAAAGCCCTTGCTCGTTTGGGCAAGAGTACCACCAGTCACCCCATTAGAAGATTATTCCTATACTCGTCCCTACATTT